TGAACCAATTACCATATATGCTACCTCTGGAGTACATCACCCAAGATATATGACAACAGATATAGCATACTGATCATATTTCTTCAATGAGTGCTTTGCATTACCCACACCAGGTATTCTGCTGTTTTAATGACAACTTCAAATTACTGCAAAGTTAAAGACAACTTTAAATCTTATTGTCATATACAGTGTTCTTCATGACTGAATAAGATCATGCTTATTTTAGATTGGAGATCATTTATTATAATAATTTACCTATTAGTGGTGGGCTTGTGGCGGTCCTGACTGTTGAAAAACAGAGTGAAAGGGGGATTAACAAAGTATGCAGAGAAACAGATGGACTAGAGTGCACCTATATAGTAAGTGGAGCTGATAAAATCAGCTCTCCTGCTCACTCATCTGGTTCTAGATTCATTAAGATTGCTACTTATGCTCCTTTGATCAATTCTTTGATCAAAATCCTTTGATCATCAAAAATCAGGCCAGATTTTATTTTTTCCAATATGTATATTTAGTAAATAAACAGTAATTGTGAATGTGCAGAAATGTGTTCTCTGTAGATGATGTGTAATTACTTCCACAAAACATCTATATAACTGCATGTATTTAGTAGTAATATTTTTATTAGATATCAGCTAAAAACAGACCAGTCCAAACAGACCAGATACACTGTAATAAATGAAAGAAGCGGTGGGAAATGTCTCGGCTTTCCTTATCTGTTGATGTCTGTTTTGCTCATCTGTTGATGGTAAATTAGTGCTGGTAGTGTGTACCTCCTAAATCGTGGCAGTATAAACATTTCCTGGAGTAGTAAGTTGCGGAATTCCTTCCAATAAACACAAAATCATACAGCGTCCACTTTTTGGGAAATGTCCCACCCCTCAAGCTAAAACTGAGATTTTAATCGGTTTGCAGCTGAGTTTGACTGTCTCTGTTTGTGCCCATAGGTCAGTAGCCTGCGCAGTTAGGAAGAGTGAAGATTGTTGTTCCAAAATAAGCAGCCTGAACTCAAGCACAAAGTGGTGGGGCATCGTCCAAGTGCTTGGAAAATGCCAGCTCGCCCCCTATTGTTTTGGCAGCTATGTCTCTAAACAAAGTGTTTAACTCCTTTTTACAGTAACTCAATTGCAATTTTTGCCTGTTTTCCTTAGTTGCACTACAGCCAAGAGTTAATCTGATAACATAGTAAAAGAGTACATTTTATTTGATTGTCTGTTTTTGATTTCTATGCCACTGCCAGAATAGCAAAAAGGCTAAAAATAGGTTAAAAGGCGTATTAGACCTACACTTTGAAATGACCAATTCAACACGAATCAGTCACAAATCAATGATGACCTTCTAGATAAAAAAAAAAAATCTTCACAAGCAGAATGAAAAACATATAACAGAACAGTATTGGACTTTCTTTCAGAATTGGAACTCATCTCATGCTACAGCTGTTTACTTAGTCTAATATTTTTAATTAAGTAGGCTAATTATGAATAGTCAACAGATTATTCTTATAACTCCCATTTGCAGATCAAAGTCAGCAAAAAACTGTAATAAGTGGTTGAAGTGATTATGACGTGTCTTTCAGGGAATGTTTGATCATTTGTTAATGTTAAGTTACCTTTGGTAATTTATGCAAGTTTGTTCATTTGTCCATGCTATACTTTCTCATTCAGGCCCACTCTTATCTGGACAAGGGTGGTTGCGCTGTAAGAGTCATGTTCTTTGATTCTTCCAGTGCCTTTAATACCATTCAGCCCCTCCAACAGAGAGATAAGCTGGTAAGGATGCAAGTGGATCCGCACCTGGTCTCCTGGATTACTGACTACCTCACTGGCAGACCTCAGTATGTCAGGCTGAAGGACTGCACATCAGAGACTGTAGTCAGCAGCACAGGAGCACCACAAGGGGCTATAGTTTCCCTCTTTCTCTTCACCTTGTACACCTCAGACTTTCAGTACAACTCTGAGATGTGCCACATGCAGAAGTTTTCGGATGACACTGCCATTGTGGCTTGTGTAAGGGGAGGGCAGGAGGAGGAGTATAAGACCCTGGTGAAGGACTTTGTGGAGTGGTGCCGTGGGAACAACCTGCTTCTGAACACTGCCAAGACCAAGGAGATGGTGGTGAACTTTCGCAGGGATAGGCCACCCACACAGCCAATCTCTATTGAGGGGGGTTGAAGTGGAGAGATTAATGACCTACAGGTATCTCGGTTTGCAACTGGATGATAGGTTGGACTGGTCAGCCAACACAGACATCAAAGCAAAACCGGCTCTACTTCCCGAGGAGGCTAAGGTCCTTTAACATCTGTAGGAAGCTCCTGCAGATGTTCTATCTGACCATGGTTGTCAGCTGTCTTTTTTATGCTGTGGTGTGTTGGGGCGGAAGCATGAAAAAGACAGGTGAGATGCGACTGGACAAGCTGGTCAGGCGAGCGGGGTCAGTGGTCGGTGTGGAACTGGACTCTGTGGTTAAGGTGGCTGAGAGAAGGACATTACACAAACTGCTCTCCATTATGGAGGATGATGGCCACCCACTGCACACCATCATCATGGACAGGAGGAGCATGTTTAGTGGCAGGTTGCTGTCACAGAGCTGCTCAACCGACAGATTAAGGAGATCCTTTGTCCCCAGTGCCATCAGGCTCTTCAGCTCTTCCCAGGGGGGCCAGAAGAGAAGAAGGAAGAGGAGAGATGAGGACTGAATCTGAATCTCATTTTAAATCACACATCATAGGTCTTATATCTCATGCTAAATCTTATGTTTCTTTTTATCCATCTGCGCATATGGACACCTTGCTGCACACCTTACTGCACATCTTGCACATCTGGACACTCCACACTAGACACTTTATTTTGGTACCAATATCTGCACATATTTATTCAGTATTGTCATTATATGCCATTACCTGTGCCTCCTTGTACAGTCCTTATTGCACTGCGTCTTTCATCTCAGGTTATTGATATTATTCCAGATTGTTGTATTTTTCTATTTGTATATATGCCTGTAGGTAGCTAAATTTCCTTCGGGATCAATAAAGTATCTATCTATCTATCTATCTATCTATCTATCTATCTATCTATCTGTCTATCTATCTATCTATTTTAAAATGAAAACCTTAAAATGATCCACTTTGAATCACTTTATTGAATTTTTGATTGCAAGAATGATTTACAGTTGCCCAGGTCCCAAGACAACCCCAAATCAGAATCCTTTCCAACCACACTCTGGGCTTCTTCAGTTTCTGGACTGTGACTTCTCCTAAATGTGTCTTCTGCTGCTATAGCCCTTTTACTTCCACCTTGACTGTTCTGTCCACTGCAAACTACATCAGACGTTCTGTTTCCACACAGTGGTAACCTTTAGCTTCAGTTCTGTCATTGTGTGACCTTGCATCCAATAAATTTTGATAAATACATTATTATTATTTATTAATTAATTATTTTCTTTCCTGTAGCTATTTTGATATGATTCTGGCATGCAGTGGCATTTGGAGTCAGTCAGTAAACACAAATAAACAGCCAATGTGTCAAAACATGGTGGATTTATTTATTATGGGGGAGGTATTAAAGTTTCCCGTAGGTAACTTCACAATCCCAGTTTGAGCCAAAAAGTGAAAAGTAGGAATGAGTGGGTGGATACTGGAATTTCGACTCTTTCGATGATGACACTTCTTTCTGAGAATCAATATGATATTTTCAATACTAAGTGTTTTAACAAAGGAGATGTTGCTGGCATCAAATTCAAAATGGGCATATATTTTTCAAAAAACAATAAAATTTCTCCATTTCAACATTTGGTATGTTGTCTTCGAAGCATTGTCAATGAAATATAGGGTCTAAATGATTTGCACAACATTGCGTTTTGTTTTTATTTACATTTTTCAGTGTCCCAACTTTTTTGAAAATGGGGTAGTAAAAAAAGGCAAATTAGCATAACAAAGTAATGTGTAGATTAGAAATGACTTCTCCTTCTTCCCTCTCTGTTTCTCACTCACACAGGCACATGAGACACAGTCAGGTTTATGTGGCAGTTTGGTGTGTGTTTGCATAATACACTTTTTTAAAATTGTGTTACATGGTTTATGTGTGTTTTAATGTTTCCCTGTTGGTCAAGGAGATAGCAGTGAAGAGCAACTTTTCCCTGTGGCTCACAGGCTTCTTGGACAATTCGCTCAAGTAACACTGCACCACATAGGTATTGATATTATATGGTATCGGATCGGAAAGAAAATTAGTTGTATTGCCCATCCCTAAAAAGCTTTTGCAGTGAAACCCTTCTGTGGCTGTACCAGAGCCTGGCCCCTTCCTGTTTCTCTTGTTATATCAAAAACACCAGAGGGCACTCATGAATAAATCCTGAATTAATGGGGGTGAAAGGAGCTAAACAGCTAGAAACTAAAAGGTTAAATAGTTTCTACCACTTGTCCAGGATCTTATTTTAATTTTGGAAAGTAGAAGAATGTATTTTTACTAAAAACTCAATGAAAACTTACCTGTATAGTTCCATTATTTTTACAGCAAATGGGTTTTAGGCAGTAAGACTAGCGCTGCTGCTGAGTGCTGATTGGTTGGCATTACTGCTACTGAGTGCTTATTGGATGGTTAGCAGAGCAGCTCATTGGCTGCATGAAGTGGTTCGCGCTGGCTTATGCTATTAGCGTACATGAGATACAGTTATAAAGTCTTTAATAACGAGTTCAAAAGTGCTTAAAAACATAACAAGAGTTATGAAATGAAACAGAAGAGAAATACTTATATACTATTATACTATTCTGTGTTTGGGAAATGAGTGCATTCTTCTATATAAAAATGTTTAAGCATTTACGAACTGTGATTTTGCTCAAACGCTCCATATTAACACATTTATTTTGGAAGCGCCATCTAGCGTTTGACTGACAGTTCTCCTCTCCATACTTGGCATTATTGGGGGAGGGGGGATACATTCTCCGACTGTACTTCACCACACCCCCAGCCACTAGAGGGCAATGATGAGCACACAGCAGAAACGGCGTCTTACCGCAGAAGAGGCACACACGTTGTGTACTGCTGACACTGGCAGCGGTCGTTTGTTTTGTGTATTATTTTATTATTGTATTAGTTTATGTTCATAATTAGCTGTTTTGTTACCTCATGTGTTGGACCGTAATAGTAGTACAAACTCCATGAACAGACAGTCATCGTAATGGCTGCTCAGGCTGCACGGCTTCTCCGGAAACTAGACGGTCTGTTTGCTGTGTACAAACCTCCGGGAGTTCACTGGAAACTGGTCCGGGACACAGTCGAGACTAATCTGCTGAAAGGTAGTTATGGACTGTGTGGTCAGGTTATTTTGACACATTGCTGTTCTTGTGATGTACAGATTTTACTAGATTTTCCAGTCATGCACGAGCTTATATGTCTTAACTATATGTCCAAAAAGTTGCAGAGACATGCTTGTCCTGATTTCTTCCGACATCGCTGATTTTAATAAGCAGTTTGTTCCCTCTTTGCTGCAGTAACTGTTTGTACTCTTCTGTGAAAGTTGCTGTGAAACATTGATTGTATTCGACCACAAGAGCATTAGTGAGGTCAGGTACTGATGTTGGATGTTGGATGCTTAGTTCTGGATCACAAACATCACTCCGACTCCCAGTCACAAAGGTGTAGGATGGAGCTCCATCACTCCACAGAATGCAGTTCCACTGCTGCACAGTCCAGTGCCGGGGGGCTTAATACCTCTCTGTCCGACATTGGCATTGAACATGGTGACCTTAGGCTCATGTGAACTAAGGTCTTTTCTATGGAGATTACACAGGGTGTGTGCAAAATCAAACACCTGTGTCAGCAATGGGTGCATTTTAAAGTACTGAATTCACAGTTTGAGAGGGTGTCTGAATACTTCTGCACACACTGTACAACTTTTCTGCAAGTAATCTCTCTCTCTCTCTCTCTCTCTCTCTCTCTCTCTCTCTCTTTCTCTTTCTCTGGCCCTCTCCTTCTCTTCCCCTCCTCGTCCCTTTACCTTTCTCCCCCTCCCTCCCTCCTTGTCTTTTTCCTGTTCACTTTCTCTTCTCTTTCTTCTCTCTGAAGCTGTTAATTCTTCTCTTCCGCCTGCACCGCGGTTTCAGGTGCAGTTTCAACTCTTATCCAGTGGAGAGAGCAGCAGCTCCAGGGAGCTTACAGTGGCAGCGACCAGGCTCCCTGTCCTGGCAGACCACCCTCTGGGTCAGTACGAGTTCAGAACGGTCACTCATGAAATGTCATATCTATGCAGTAAAAAGAGTGAACAGACTGTACTTGTCTTTCCTCCTTATTCAGTCACAGGACCACAATTTCATAAGATCCGTGTTGGAGTCGGGCATCGCTTGGATGCATTTTCTTCTGGAGTATTAGGTGAATACTGTTTACTAGAAAAGGCACAGATATAACACCACAGTCACTATTAGCTCATAATGGGGAGTGTAATGATATTTTTTTGTGTGTCTGTATATTTTTTTGTGGTTTAATATTAGGTGATCTTATTAATGGTGTGTTTTTTACTGTGAAGTGTGAAATTTGTTTTAATTTTTTTTCTTCAGTTCTAGGTTTGGGGAATGGAAACACTGCCCTGGAGAGTCTGTACAAATCACATGTCACCAGGGTAAAAATGGATATTTGTTATGTTATAGATATATTTCATGTTTCACAGTCACCTTTTTTCTTGTTATAATTTTTCATTTTGTAAGAAAACCTTCTACCTCAAAAATAACTTTTATAAGAATAAGAAAAAATCTTGTAAGGGTTAAACTTAGTGGTCCATTAACAAAATGTAAAGGTCAGCTGGCTTATTCAGAGAGTACAAAAAAAATTTAGCATGAATGACGTTTTTTCTAATAAAAGCGACAATATGCATTTGTAGAAAAGTTGAAGTAGTTTGTCTTAGTTTATTAACAGCATCTTGTGGGTTTAAGGCGTACACACTGGAAGGTGAATTTGGAATGGCCACAGATGATTTTACTCACACTGGACAAGTCATAGAGAGAACTACTTACGGTAATTTTTATTCCATCTTCAGCAGAAAAAGTGAATAACTATCAAAAGCACAAATGTTGATGTGGAAATGCTTTTTATACAACCGTTCCTTGCTGCAGTTTGACAGCTGTCAACTGAATGTTTTTAGGTCATGTTACGCAGGACAAGCTAGAGAGAGTTTTAGCCATGATCCAAGGAGCCAATCAGAAAGCTTTAATCACGTGAGTTGCTACAATTCTTATGGTGTCAAACGACTGCGTGTTGCTGCCCAGATTTAATTTGGTGCGTTCCTGTGGGTCAGGCTTTGTTTTTTCAGATATGATGCATTGCATGTACTGTTTCAAAAACATCTGTTTTGCCCAGGTACTCTGGGGTGGACCTGCGCTCTCAGGAGGCTTATGAGTTGGCAGTTAAGGGAATGTTGCGTCCACAAGATAAAAGTCCTCCCATTCTAACCGGCTTACGATGTCTCCATTTTCAGCCACCTCACTTTACCCTGGGTAAGAGTATCACTGGTCATATGGTCATAGTCAAACATTTAGTCATGCTTTCACCTCTTATCAGTCAGTAGTCCATTCCAGTACATGAACTTTAGATGCTTGGTTAATGCTTTAACCCATAGAAGTCTCAGTTATCAGTGGTGAATATTAATTATGCCGGTTTTCTGACAAACCGAATTAAATTGCTCCCTGAGGAAGTGCTGATCGCACTATAAGTGATTTTCTTAGAATGAGCTAACATTACCTGTAGAAAAAAATCACTAAAGCTCATCATTTCACACTACTGTTAGACACTGGAGTATTGTGAGCCATATCAGTTTCTGTCTGTTATGATTAGCAGCTACTTTAAAAACAGTTGAACATTTGGCAGCTTGTCCTGTCATAGCTTGATGTTATGTATTGGTTAAGTGGCTTAAAACACAACTCATTTTGTAAACATAGTTTTCACATGGAAGAAATGACATCCTCTCGTCCTGGAAACCTGTTCAGAAGCAGGTTAATATGTTAAACCGGTTAAATCAGGGGTGCACAACTCCGGTCTTGGAGTACCGGTGTCCAGCACACTTTGGTAGTTTTGCCTGCTCAAACACACCCATTAAACCTGGCAATTAACATACGAGTGTAATCAGGTGTGTTTGAGCAGGTAAATCACTAAACTGTGCTGGACACCGACCCTCCTGGAGTTGTGCATCTCTGGGTTAAATGATGCTGCAGCCTGAAGAGCAGTAATGTTAATCTACACATTCATTATTACATCACTGGTTTTTAAGCTACTGCAGTGCAAAATTGTGGTCAGGTATAAATAAAGTGGCATGTTTTTTTTTCTGTGGGTTTTACCTCAGTTTGTGAGAACATTGCCAAACATTTTATTGTTACTGCTTTACACATTTACAAGCCACGTTTAAACTGAATAACCGATTATTAGACGATTAATTCACACAAATAATTGACTATCAAAATGCTTTTTTTTGTATAGTCTTGTTTGGCAGAAAGAAATAAACATGGTATTTCTCAATCGAAACAAATGAAAAAAAGGCAGAAGTGTAGACTTGTTATGTAAATCAATTGTTTATTCATTGTGTAACTCATTGTGTATTATATTTAGATAATATAACAAAATGAAAGTAATAACTCCCCACTTCTAATGGATAAAAATAACTTTAATCCTGTCTACTTTTGTAAAGTCTGATAGTAAATTCTGAGTTTTTGAAGTTATTGTATGTTTTTTTTCCCACATGCTTTAGAGGTGCAGTGTGTGAATGAGACTCAGTTGTATCTACGGAAACTGCTGCATGAGGTGGGTCTGGAACTGCGCACCACTGCGGTCTGCACTAAGGTGCGTCGTACCCGCGATGGACCTTTCAAAATGGAGGACGCCTTGACCCACAACCACTGGACTGCTGATGACATTATACCAGCGGTCACTCACTTTCGCCGCGCTACCCGGAAAATCCGGAAGAATGACTTTTGCAAACAAGCTGCCAGCCAGCTGGACTCCACTACAAAGGCCCAAGGCCAAAGTAGAACTAGCATTGCTCATTTAGAGAATGTAACTGAGGAGAAAGATGGATCAGACTACCTTTATTCAGAAATGTCTGCCGACAGTAAGCAGTCGACTTAAAGAAGCTTTAAATGCAAGCACATGTTTTCAGTTAAATTAATATCTATGATGGTAAAGATTGACATTTCATTGTTGAATTAATCCAACATATTTATTGCTGTATACATTGTCACATAATTTATATACTGAGAGGTATTTCTTATTTCAGTCTCTTCCCACCACTCATTCAGTATCAAACATAACACCATGTAGGATGTTATTAATCATACCATTTTCTAATAAAGCATTATTTATTTAAAAAAAAATACAACTTCCACATTTCTTTGAATGCTATTAAATATAAGTCTTAGGTTAAGTGTAGTGGTATATTGAAATATTGTTCATAGCAGAAAATTCCTTTTCTCTTTTTCTTGACCATTTATAAATTGTGAAATACATAGAAATATACTTTGCAATTTGTTGCCATATGGCAGGAGCATGCAACAGTGAAAAAAGCAATCTGCATTGCATGCAACTGGGGTAAACCAATATGCTGCCACAGGGCATAGGCATGAAAAAACATGCCCAACAGCTGAATATGCACAAATGCACAGTTATTTTAGAAATACAGAAATGTATGAAAATAATTTAACTGATAACATCAGTTTGAAAAGTAAAAAAATTGTCACACAAAGACTTCAGTTTCCTAAAGAAAGCGAAAAATTGACATTTATTGCAGACAGTCAAATAAGAATTTTTAAAAAGTAATTGAGACAGGCAAAAAAAATCTAAAGGTTGCTGTTGCCATATGACAACATTATGCAGTATTTTTAATTCTATGTTGCTTAGTTTGTTTTTGCATCTGCTGCTGCTGCACTCCCGCTTACCGCCACAGAGGGGCAGCATTTCAAAATTATCAGCGCTGCTTCTGGGGGCGGAGCTATTCTTTTCGGAGCACAGCCGTTGTGGGGCTCAGAGGCTTCTGAGAGGACTTTCTTTTACTCCAACGAACTGCTAGCAGTGTCGGTGACGTTGCTAGTCAGTAATTTTCCCATTAACGTTACTTCATATGAAGGCGCTTTGTGTGTCGTCGAAGTAACCGTACGAGGTCAGCGGCTCGGTTGGTTTTCTGTCAGGCAGCTTGCTAGCTTGCGGCTAACAGCGCTCTACTTGCTGTTTTTAGAGCTGGTGTTACTCGTCAAGTTAACTAACTAACTGGCTTGTTTTACCTAAGTTACTTGGTTAACAACCCTCCTTCCGGTCATCTCCTTTTCAGTAGGTTAGTTCCGACCTAAATCCGCCACACGTTATCCAGCTATTTGTCTCCAGTGGATCTCTTTAAGCTGGATCAGGTGTGGTAGATTTGAGCTGAACTCGGCGGAGGGCTGGTGGTCGCTGCTTTAAAGTTTAAAGGGGAAAAAAGCTCATTCAGAGTGGTTTGATGTGAAATTCTCTATACTGGAGAAACTATAAAATCAGAATTTTGTGGTGGTAAATGGAACCAGACGTCCGAAGAGTTTAATGCCTGGAAAGGTTACATCACAGGAAGTTAAGGTCATAATTTTATGTAGATTTTGGCCTAAAATATAGTTTTCTAAATACATGCAATGTGGAGATCTGTAAACCAAAACAGTGTTTAGAGAATACTTGTCACTATCTAATTATTATCAACATCAAAAAAAATTGTGAATATTGCTTGACATTTACCAATACCTTGTTTTCAATATTGATTCCTGAAGAATACTTTTCTGTACCTTCCAGGAAAATATTCCATATAAAACCAGTATAATATGTCTATCACATGTACTTGTATCATATTTTAAAACTTTGTTTCTCAAGAAGGTTATAAAAATAAGCCAAAATCTATTGTAAAAGTAACATGCTTATGTAGTAGTTAGTCAGGCCATCAGTGGCCTTGACTTTGGACCTGGCATGTTTATTGGCTCTCTGATGCTAATAAGACTGACTAAATTTATATAGATTTGTTACAGATTTTTTTTTTACTTGGTGGTATTAAAGTAACTTGATCAGTATCATAAAAGTATTGAATTCGATAGCCCTAATAACAACTTATGCCTAAATAACTAATAAATAGCCTTCTGTTTTGCAGGACCATGCTTGGGCCAGTGCGCTGGGTTTTATGGGACGTGAAGGATACTTTACTGAAGGTCCGGCGCTCTGTGGGGGAGCAGTACTGTAGGGAGGCTGAGCGCGCTGGACTGAAGTTACCACCCCTGCAGGTAGAGGCTGCGTTCAGACAAGCTTACCGTCAGCACTCGCGTCTTTTTCCCAACTATGGACTCACTCAGGGCATGAACGGTCAGGCGTGGTGGACAGGAGTGGTGAAGAGCACCTTCTCCCAGTGTGGAGTGCAGGACCCCGACTTGCTCGACACAATGGCCAGAAGTCTGTTCCAGAACTTCTGTGGACCAGAGAACTGGGAGGTAAGAAGCTAGTTAGGCGATTAGTATTCTGATTGTTAAAATGTTCATGTATTGTGTAAAATGCCCCTGATTTCAGTCAATAGGGAACATTAGCACTTCCAGAAATTATTTCCTACCCTCTTCTGGATTTATTGCATCACTTTAATATGTGCTTTTTTAATTTTAAAGGCCCTATAAGAAAACTGGATTATAGTCCATATATAGAATGTAAGCTGCAAAAGCAGCCCATTTTGAATTCATTGTTTTTGCAATATCATGAGTCAACACATTTACATTTATCTGCTTATTCAGCTTACAGCAGGTGTGCTCAGTCCTGGTCCTGGAGATCTACCACCCTGCAGAGTTGTAACCCTAAGCTAACAGACCTAATCAGGGTAATGAATGCCTTCAGGAGCATCTGACAATAAGTGCCAGGCATGTTGGATCTGAATTCTAAAGGGTCCTCCAGGACCAGGATTGAGCACCCCTGGCTTATAGCAGTGTAGCTGCACCATTTCATACTAAAGTTATAAGGAGTGTTTCAGCCTGGACTGCTTTTTGAATGAGGTACAAATAAGTAAGGCCTCAAGAAAAAACATAATATATATGAAATCTGTAAGACATGCTCCCTTTAATTTAAATGTTGTTTCATTTCACTTAAGTCAATAGATAACAAAGCATATTAATCAGATTTATATTGTCTAATAACAGCAGATGCAGTTAAAAAAATGAGGCTGAAGAACCAAAATCAATGAGGCTGATTTGAGTTTATGTTGTCAGGTGTTTCCAGATTCAAATTCTGCCCTGAAATCCTGCACAGCTCTGGGAATGAAACAGGGTGTGGTGTCTAACTTTGACAGCCGCCTAGAAGGGGTCCTTCGTGGATGTGGCCTCCTTACTCACTTCTCATTTCTCCTGACCTCAGAAGGGGCAGGCGTGGCCAAGCCAGACATGACCATTTTCAAACAAGCCCTGCAGAAGTGTGGAGTGCCAGCTAAAAATGTAGCCCACGTTGGGGACCACTACATAAACGATTACCTCACATCTCGATCGCTGGGTATTCGTGGGTATCTGCTCGATAGACATGGACACCAAGAACATCTGAATGTTCCTCCACAGCACAGACTGCAGAGCCTGGATGAGCTACCAGCTCGACTGCAACAGGAAACTGATTAGAAAGGACGTCTCATCTCTGCGCCATCATTGCTGCTGTTCCTATTAAACTAGTCATTCATTTAAATGTTATCAAATATTTACATTTTGTGACTCAAATCATGTAGTTTTTTCTTTTTTTTCTGATTAAAGGTCCTTGCACTTCATGTCCTTGGAGATGGGATTTGTACTGAAAGTTGCTTAAATTAATTTGCAACCAACAGATCCAACAATTGATTATGTGCAGAGATGCAATCAGGTAGGCTGTGCAGATCCCTTGTAATCTACATGCAAAATAATTAAGGTCAGTGATGGTGGGAGAAGTGTAAAAGTTGGTTTGTAGATTGCAGACGTGGTGTGATGTGTTAACTGATGTCTCTTGCAGACTGTTCTCAGGAAATAAAAAAAACGTCAGATGTGTTAATCTGTGTTCATGAAAAAAATAATACACAGGTACATAGATTAGAAAAAAAGGTACTGGAATAAAAAGTACTTGCTTTCTTTCTAAATGTAGCAGAATAAGTAAAATGCTAAAAACAGAAAAGATTGAGGGCTAAAAAATTGTTTAATCAGGGAAATATAAGAGTGATGCCAATAAAAGCTACTTTAAATTAAAACACTATGGCCTGGAGTGCTTTTGTAAATGGAGAATCAAAGACGCAGGAAAACAGGTTTATGATCCACTTCTCGAGAAGTGCTCCCAAAACGCCTCAGTCAGGTAATGAAGTCCTTATAGAAGTCCAAATATTCAGTACAGCAGGGCTCCTCAGGCCTCTAGTGTCCAACACAGTTTGATTCCCCTGCTCAAACACACTGGGGGCCTAATTTATAAAACATTCATATGCATATATGAGATCTTATATGTGAAAATTCACATTTAAGTAATATATAATAAAATATTAAATAAAAATGTGAATTTGCACGTACATCAACACAATCTTCCAACCTGACATACAAACAATTCAATGTGGTGATGCCAATGTGCTACAGTCATTACAGGGTGTGATTTATGATCATCGCGTTTTCAAAAATAATTTGAAGGCAGATGTTAAGAATTTATCTTGTGATTTAGAATGAAGTTCAAGTATGTTTTATAATTGAGGCCCCTGGTTAAACTCAACTGTTATTTGCCAGGTTTACTGGGTATGTTTGAGTAGTGAAATCACCGAAGTGTGCTGGATTTTGGCTCTCCAGGACCAAAGTTCAATAGCCCTGGGGGCTCATTTACAAAGAGGTGCATAAAATTGTCCTAAATACAAACATACAATATTTTCCTAAAAGTTACTGCAAACAATTTATAAAACATCCATACAGCCGAAAAAATGTTCTTAAGTCCTTGCCACCCGTAGCCTGTTCATGAATCGTAAATGATCTTAACACAGAAAACGTAATCGAGTCTCTGATTATCCTTAGGAGCTCTCCTTTGACAGGAGCAATGTTAACAGCACCAACACACCCACACACATATTATATATATATAAAAATAAAGATCAGTCATAATATTATCTCCACCTCCTTGTTTCTATGCTCATTGTCCATTTTATCAGCTCCACTTACTATATAGGTGAACTTTGTAGTTCCTCAATCACAGACTGTAGTCCATCTGTTTCTCTGCATACTTTGTTAGCCCCCTTTCACCCTGTTCTTCAGTGGTCAGGACCCCCATGGACCCTCACAGAGCAGGTACCATTTGGATGGTGGATCATTCTCAGCACTGCAGTAACACTGATGTGGTGGTGATGTGTTAGTGTGTGTTGTGCTGGTGTGAGTGGATCAGACACAGCAGTGCTGCTGGAGTTTTTAAACACTGTGTCCACTCACTGTCCACTCTATTAGACACTCCTACCTTGTCAGTCCACCTTGTACATGTAAAGTTAGAGACGATAGCTCATCTGCTGCTGCACAGTTTGTGTTGGTCATCCTCTAGTCCTTCATCAGTGGTTACAGGACACTGCCCCCAGGATGTTGTTGGCTGGATATTTTTGGTTGGTGGACTGTTCTCAGTCCAGCAGTGACACTGAGGTGTTTAAAAACTCCAGCAGCACTGCTGTGTCTGATCTTTTGTATCTTTTGTTCAACAAAACTTTACATAATGCATCCTTATGTTCAACATCCAAATGGAGTAGAAGGCACTGTGGTCTTCTGCTTTAGTAGCCCATCCGCCTCAAGATTTGCCTTGTAAATAGAACATACTATTATTATTCTTTGAAAAGGTCCTCTAACAGTAAGTGTAGCCATGGCCCTTTATTACTCCCAAAATTCTGCGCACATACACAGTTAACCATATTAGACTGGTTTGGTCATTACACAATTACTGCACATTTCACAGCTAAATCAATGTTAGTTTGTTAGATTATTTACATTTGTTAATTATTTACATATTTAATTACCATGAATTTAATATTCAGTATAAACATTTTGTTCCTTACTCTCAAATGGGTTTTCACACTTGTGGTAAGCTATACATAAATTTTACTGTCTGTAGTGTGTCCTGAGTCTCTGTTATTCCTCAACAATTATATACTTAACAATCATGAATTAAACCATCAGGGCATGACTGAAAGTCCCCATCAGTGAACAAGAAACACACACTTGTGTATACAATTTTTCATTTTGCGTACATATAAAACATGTTCAGTACAGTTTCAGGTTCTTAGAAATCTTAATGTGTATGTTTACTTTTAATGTAACATGAAATCCATGGAATTTGAGGGGAAATCTGATTGTACAAATGTTTTATAAATGAGGCCTGGTAGATAGATCACCAGTCATCAGGAGATGGCTAACTGGCCTTGGTAAAACTTGGGTAGAAGACTGAGCTGCTACATAGGGCAGGTTAGGTGTCGGCGCTGACCAGAACATAAAATATGTTACAGTGAATGCCTTTTTTCAGATGACAAATCACTGCAGGGAATATTCCCTGGCATCACAGCATGAACCAAGACCAAACTGTGCCTGTAGAGCGCTGATATGTGCATTTCACTGCCGATAGGTCACTTTGGTGAAGGCAGCAGGACGGCCATACAGAGAGAGATCATTAACCCTAATACCCCAATATGCTCATTGTTCCCCATCTGCTCCAGCAGATACCAGCAATGCCTGCACTCGCTTCAGACCGATAGCCTATTGTTCTGTTGGGCCAAAGCCGAGAGGGGGACTCTAAATCCCAGACTAACCCTGAATTAACCTACCATAAGCAAAAAGGTCAAAATCTACAAACTAAGTTCAGCTAAAGGTTTTGGCACCTTTCACAAGAGGTACCGCACTATTATAACCTGCTTGTAGTCCTGTGAGATGTTTCTGGACTCGTTCCCTCTTTGTGTTCATTTCCCTATTCTTTAAGCCTGTTGTGCATCTTTAGGGAGCGGTTGCAGCAGAGCGCCTTAAATCAAAGCTGGCTTTAGAGGCTCAGCCAGCCGGCTCTGAAAGGCTCCGCTCCAATCCAATTGCAAACATAATGGGATTGGCAAACACATCTCTGGACAAGGGGGTAGCAGAACGGAGATGAGGAGGCAAGGATGGGGTTGAGAAAAGAGCAAATAAGAGACGTGTGGAAGGGAGCAAAACAAACTAGCAATGTTAAATCAAGCACAGAAAAATAAAAACAAACCTTGACACCCAAACATAAGACAGAGGAACTCAGAACAAGGCAAAGGATGCACAGATGCTGCGATACCTATACAAACGCACAGAGGGTTCTTTGGAGCAACGTCATAGAGAAACTACCAGCTCCCTAAAGAAACTTTCAATGGATGGTTCTTTAAAGAACCTGCACATAATGTAAAGCTATACTAATTAAAAGCTTTTTCCTACCACTAAGCCAAAAACCATTTAAGACTTTTTTATTTTTAAGAGTGAAAGCCACCACAGCAGCAAGGGAACTTCCAGCAATATGCACTCACTCAGAAACTGCCTTGCACGCATGCTGTATTGTGTGGTCACTCACCTCTAGGGGCCATCCCCCAGCTCACAAAAGGGGTGAGCGTACAAACCAATACATAAATAGGCGTGTAAGTAAATAAAAGAACTTGAACATTACCCTCAGCAAAAAGAGCACTCTGGTCGCACACTCTTTGTTCAGCTGTGCCTGAGGTTTTCTGGTTTTTAGTTTTCGCGTTTCCGTTTGGCTTGTTCTTAAAATATTAGATGGAAGCAATAAATGGACAGTTTTTTTTGTTTAAAAAAAAAAAGTGACTTGGAAAAGCAGCACGGAACAAGAGATGTTAAAAAAGAAAAGCTGGAATATAATTGTAGCTATCTGGAGGACTAAAGGAGGTCAAATAAGCTTTTAGAACAAGAAGAAAAAAAGACACCAATATATTCAGTATTTTTTATCATTTTCTGAAAAACATCATACATATACATATATATATATATATATATATATATATATATATATATGAATACGTAAGCAAAGTGGTCAGGAAGACAGATGCATGATGCAGCTGATCACAGAACAAGTAATTCAGCTGGATTAATTTACCTCTGATGATCATGCAACCAGTGAAGATCACAAGCACATTTCATTTCTCCAGTCACACTCAGAGTGATACTGCTGTACACTATTAACAATTAGGGCTGAACGATTAATAATTTTAAATCAAAAAATTAAAGAGTACAATTTTCAAACCACGAGGGCTGCAATTTTACCTCCATCCTACATTATTCAAAGTTGTCTTAACAAATAATAATAATATCAAGTCCATAAACAGTCTGGCACTACATTCAGCGTTCATGCCTCACGTCTCAAAAAACGGATGACCTGGTCTTTTTGGCAAAAAATAAAGCCTGGAGCCCAATTATAGACAATAAATGCAGTTAAATAAAAAAAAAATTATTCCCCATTCGTTCAGCCCTATTCACAATGCCTGTTTTCTCTGGTATGTATATAATAGAATTACATGTTGATACACAGCACAGTAGTGTGCAGATACAGTAAAATAGGTGCAGACAGACAAACATGCTTAATATTGACAAACTAGTTGATAGCACGGCATACCTATACGTTTCACAAGCTAGAGCAGAGCAAGAGGAGAAAAACCTTCATGAACATATGGTACAAGACTGTGGACAGTCTATGAGCATGACTGCATGATTGAAAGTTCTTTCAGGAATGTGACATTTTGGATCATACTTAAAATTTGATAAACTGCCTTCCATCCCTAAAATGAAGGTGATTTATTTTGTGACCATTTTTTTGCAATAAAATGATCAAACTTAATGCTTGTCCTGCTCAAATATGTTCCAGGGAATAACACAGAATATCTGACATCTCACCCAAAAAAAACAAAACAAACACAAAACAAAACACAGGCTTATAAGAGATGTAAACGTATATCCCACCACCAGAGCCTTCATTTGAACAACTACTTTCTTTCCAGTCTAATTCATTTTCCTGCATTTTAACATGAGTAAATATAACGTATGCATTGTAATGGAGCACTGTCTGAAAGACTGAAATAAATAAATTATCAGTGTTAATTAGAGCCTTTAGCTTGATTTTCTCTCTCTTCCACAATGAAGGCAATTTTAGGATGTCTCTGCATTAGTATAAACTTTTTTTGTCCATAGTGCCCAGTTCCAGCACAAACTCTGTCTCTTTCCCATCAATGCTGTCTTATTCAATTGATTTCCCACCAAACTGCATGCAGTGATTAGACATAAGTACTGCTAGTACCAACTCATGTTTCTAATTTAACCTTTTAAGCAGTACCTCAGGGGCTTCTGGGTTCAGAAAAAGGTGTTTGTTTCTCCTTTTCCCCAGTGCTAACCCGACTTCAGTTACTTATTGTACGTTTGCATACAAAGCAATGACAAAAGGCTTGAGGATAAATAAGACAGCACAAACAATTTTAAGCAAGGTTTAAAAATAGTGTATCCATGTATAAAAGCTTTGTAATAGATCTGAAATAAATAAACCTCATGAACAGTATAGCTCTTCTTATGTGTGTGCTTAGTTGAGTTCGAGCATGCACGTGTGGACTTAAAATATGTAGTAGTGAACAAGTGAACTTGTGCAATCTTCTCCTACAAAGGTGATAAATTTACTGCAATAAAATCTGCACTCTTTCAGATTTGAAATATTATGCGTAGGAATTAAATCAAAGCAAAACCAGGCTCTCCTCACTCTCACCTCTCCTCTCCTCTCTCCTTAAGGCCTGGACACGTCCATAAGGTTTTAACAGATTTAATTTCTAGAAAACTGCATTTCTGCATAAATTTTACTACCTAATGCCAGCAGGTTAAGAGTGTAGTTTTTAAAGTGGCCATCAGCCACTTGACTGCATTGCAGCAGTGCACGGTGAATCGTGTGAAAGCATGTGACCGTACACACTGAGCACCCAACTTTTCAAATGCTAGCATGAATCCTGCATCGTAACTTTTATGAATACTGTTGCCCTATTGAGTAATACAAAACTTGAATTCAGTTGTTGGTTCTAATTTTAGAAGTTGTATAGTGTTGACAAAAACCTTGTAACAATGCTGTCTGTACTGTCAGAAGACTTAATGAAGTGCATGGACCTGTGTGTATACTTAAGTCATAAAATGGAATCAGAATAATACCTGAAGTGCAAAAAACCCATATAAGAAAACATAAAATACATATGGATTCCAAGACTTGGGTATGTATTAGTATATTAAGTCCTTCCTCAAAAGCCTGTCATTTTCTCCTAACTTATCATTATTTCATATAATTATTATATAACACAGAAGCATATCAGGTAAAAATACTTGGCAATGATTTAAAGGAATGTGCATTGTAGTCTTCATATTATATAAATATATATATATATGCACACTATGTTGATCTAAATATTCTTACAATCTTGCACATTTATTCTGTTCAGCTAAGAATACTGTTCCAAATTTTTCTCCCAATTCTCAAGCAGTGGCATTATATGTGACATAAATAAAAATTAAATTTAAAACTTTCTTTTTTTATATGTACCACCCATAAACATTGTGCTGACGGGTTTTTTTTCCATTCTTAGTTGTGATTTAAAAGACAGAATCAACTGATTTGTCTGAAAGAACGCCATTCTAGGTATCTTGGGAGAATGTTCAAGCACCATAAATAATTGAACTCATGTATTTTTAGGAATATTTTCACGAAAGCTTATGATTTCCATTTTACTGTTTACATCCATCGTGCGAGCCCTTTGGCACTGGTCCATTTCTCCTCCACTAGGGCCTTTTCCCACAAGAGCCTGACTCTGAATCTTCACTCTGATTTGTTTTATCCACCTCCATCTGGACCATAAGACCAGTACAAAAACGGAGTCCAAGGTATCGTATTCCATGTTTCAAATTTCAAGAAAACATCTTCCGTCTTTTTAGTTTTACGATCCGCAAGAAGGAAAAACTGGATGGAACGGTTCAGTCCTGCTGAGTACCAACATTCTGAAATTCACATCTGCTGGTTTGATTTTTCCTATGGATTCGTCTCTGACCGGCTGTGCGAGTCTGTAACTTGAGGAGCCGAGATGAGGTTTACTCCAGGTATAATAGTCCAGGGACGGGGGTCTCAGGTGACAAAATGGAGAGAACAGCCACACCAAGAGTAAAACTGAGGACACGTATCAAACCACTGCAGAGGAAAAAAAAGCAGTGGAAAGTGTTTAAAAAAAAATCATGTAGTATTGTGCATACTTAAAACACAAGTGTACAGAGATGGCATGATACCACTTTTTGTTTTCCGTTACTGAAATTGAAGACTTGGGTATCGAACAATACTGATCGCGATCTCATAATTTTTCTTTCAGAAATACTAAGCTTTAAAATGTGCTGGTTTCCACTGATGCACTTCATTTAAGATGAGCATCTAAAACAAGGCTATCATGCTCAAACTACTCAAACACTCTACTTCCCCACAGGAAGAAATACAGAGCTAACAACTTCACTTCACACAGTACGAGTGTTTGCTGTTTAAGACTACATTTGTTAAAGGACTGGACCATATCCAATATCCAATCCAGCATTTTCTGCTGATATCGGCCCATTGCCAATACCTGCTATCGGAATGGTGCCATCTCTAACAGTAGGGACAAAAATTTGGACCTCACTAATCCTACTAAGTCAGTTCACAGGATGGTACCTTGTACATAGGGAACATTCTCTGATGAGAAGATAGAGGTTGAGTGTGGAAAGGGAAAGAAAAAGAAATGGGAACAATGTCAAAAAACAAACATTTCACAACATCTTTATTTACCTAAATCAAGCAAAAACTGCTTGATTTTTAATGTTTATCTATTTACCTAAATCAAATGCAAATGTATAGGAACATTACTATGGCAACTTTACCCCAGTTCCTGCTTGACAATTGCATGACAATGCTGAGAAAACATGCACATCCCTCCTGTTGACAAATCTGATTAAAAGTTTGTCATAGCCCATAAACAAGACACACTGTGACTAGACTGGTGATGGTAACTGGCTGGTCTGTCTGACCAAAATTCCAACAATTCCATTCTTAATTGCATAATTATAGCTGGAGTTTTTCATTTCCTCCTCAGACAACATAACAGTCTGTTAAACAATGAGACTAAAACAGTTCCAACATCACTTTTAAAGACTGTCCATAACTTTTGACATATAAATAGCAGGTCATAGTAGGTTTCCATACTCAAGTGAACTCCAACATTGATCCACTTTTGCTGAAGCATAATTTGCCCCAGGAGAAACAGCTCAACCACAATGCAGATTAAGATGGGATGGTTAAATATCTCAATAATTGAGCTGTACTGTCCTTAGACAGTACAGCTCCTACACCAGAAGTTTCATGTGAGATTTAGGGGCCTATGCAAAACACTCAAGTACACTGAAACCAAAGCAGATGAGTGCACACGTACCTACACGGCATGCCATCACCATGTCACTTTCTAAAGAAAGTCTACTGTTCTCTACATAGGGTCTTCAAGGGAGTGAGAACAGATGGAAGTAACATCTTAAATTCTCTATACAGACACACATTGGGGTTAATGGTCACATTCACCAGCAGTTTCACTGTAACAGCACCCCACTTGTGCTTATAATTAGTTACACCACGACACATTCATGCTTTACACATTCAAAGAAATTGTCTACTCAGCAATAGACACAGTATAAAAAAATAAAACTAAAGCCCATTACCTGTCTCTGAGTGGCAGCAGGACGTCCCACCCTTTATAATGCTATTTGGTTTCTCTGACCAACAGCAAAGGCCATGACCTTGCCTACACCCTCTTCGCCTCCACCAACAACTGCTGAGGAATCATATTTACCGTTAATCTGTTTAATATAATCAATGCTTCAGCCTAAATTTACAATTTATATGACATTTACATGAATAACGCATCTAAATCCAGGACACAGAACATTTAAATACATACTACATGAAAGTACACTACAAAAAAGCTCACTCTCTTGGTGGCATCTGTCTCCATCACAGGACTACATACCAATTGGTCCTTTTACCAGTTTCTACAGTAATGTAAATTTTATTTGGTGGTTTTATTTCAATCAATTAAAGTTTATTAATCAAAATGTTCACAGCTTAGATGCCAATTTCCACTGGATATAATTAAATATTGTTTTATGTTTAACATAGAATGTATTAAACTTTTCTCATAATCAAAATTATTCATCCTGGCATACAAAATGATAGGATTGGGATGGGTTCCCAAAAGTTCAGAAATGGCCTGCCATCCTGATCATCGACCCAAACAAAAGCCTATTCTACTCTTCATTGTAAGGTTAACTGGATAAAATGACTGTGTTTTGCAGTCTGTGTCATTTATTGGTACATTTTAATGGAATTAGTTGTCCAAAAATAATATAATTTCATGGATTACATTTCTAAGCAATAATGCAGAGTTCTCTGAGAAAACGTTCTATGATTAAAAGATACAGATAATAATAAACCCTGAGACCATTTTAAAGACCCTTTTAAAGACCCCTTTAAAAACCCTCATTTTTTTTTTTTTTACACATCAGTTTTTTCCTTTATCTTATGGTGCTCAAAGCCTAGATAATGGTCATGCTGCCAACCAGCAAAGGAGCACTGTACTGTATTTGTATACATGCTCACATGCCATCATAACAAAGAATACCCTTAAATGTGAGGTTTACTGAGCACAAAAACGAAATGTATAGTACTTACTTTAATAGAGTGCAAAGCAGCATGAGCAGGACACTACCCACTATGCACAGCACCAACATGGTCGCCACTGTCTGATGCCTGTGGTTGGTAGCCACCACAGCCAGGAGGTCTGCATGTTCACAGCGCATCCCCATGAAGCCTGGGTGGCACCTACACACACAAAAAAAACAAACAAATCAAGGTATGTCAAGTACAGAATAAGTAACAAATGTTTTGTTTCTGAAAGGCTTATATATATATATATATATATATATATATATATATATATATATATATATATATATATATATATACACACACACACACACACACACACACACACACACACACACACACAAGAGTGGTTAAGGGGACATAATGATGCTGTTCTATTCCATGGCAGCATTATATTCCAGGAAAAGGTCTCTACCAGTAGTTACATAACAATAGGAAAGTGTACCTTCTGTATGCAATTGTTTTGAATACTCATATTTACTTTGATGATACATAGCGCTCTGGTGCATTCTTACAGAGAAAACAGAGAGCTTACTGGAGCACTCTCTATATTATCTAGCTCTCTATATTATTCCGGTGTGCAATCTATCATTATTACTTCTGATCAGGACAATTTGCATGTGTAACTCGGACTCATATCATGATTAAACTCTTTCAAATGTAGAGATAAGGCAGAACACAGACTTACATAAACTATTCACATGACAGTAATACTGACAAATCTTGATTTATACAGCTTAATTGTGTTATACTAAGTCAACAATACGTTATTCAGTAAATAACAAGACACGCTTGTCTAAACCTAGACAGGCCCAAGCAAGAAACTTGAGACCGGAATTTCTCTAAATTCTCTAAATGAGTCAGCCATAGTCTGGCTGCACCGTGGAAGACCTATAGATTGGGTCACAGTTTGGGTACTACGTATTACTCATAGTCTGGCTACGAGGGTTATTCAGTGTCAAACTGAAAGACATGTTCATGTATTACTATAAATGTAAAGTGGGACACTGGTGGGAACATTAACACTGTAATTACTTATGTTCTCTGTAGATCATACTGTAGTATCATGTGGTATTTGCCATTTCTGACACTTTAAACATGTATTGTTTGTACAGAATTGCAGCATAAAGAATATCTGAGGTATCTGATGTTTTGATCTATTGTAGGTTTTGCACGTACACTTATGTACTGTGTTGGCACATTTTTCACCAAAACAGTAAGTTTGCAAAAGAAGAAGAAAGCATTAAAAAAATTTTTTGTGAGTTAATGAATACGATTTTTTTAACTAGTTTTGGACCATTTCAATTTGTACGTTAATCACAAAATTTTGACATAATATAAAGAACGGTGGGTGGGGTTTTGTTCTGAGAGAACAATGTGAGATCTCATACTATCAAATCAATTTCAATCAAAGTCTAGCTTTAAAGTCTAAACAACATGATGATGCTGCTTGCTAACTACCTTCAAAATGTCACGTCATAGACTCTACTGTCTTGTATGTTTTCAAGGGTGAGATAATGCACATTTGTTGATATTTTTACTATTTATATATCCCCATGTTGTTTTTTTCCCCTGTTCAGGAAGAACCAGTTCCCAACACTCTTTTCCCTTTCACATAGCAGTGCTACTAGTCTGGAGGAGCAAAAGCCCATGCATATTTGCTCCTGATCTTGCAGCACTGTTAAGCACCACAGAGATTTCAAAATCCACTCTGGTGAGCAAGAAAATCATTTTTGCTTTCCTTCCAGTAAAAAAAAAAGAAAAGAAAAAAAGCCCTGACCATGATCAGCTTAAATCTAGCTCGGCAGAGCACTGGTCTTGTCCTTGTTTTAGGAGTGGGAGATGCACCAGTGTAAAAGTGAATACCTGAATGTCACTGTCCCATTATATGGATTTCACCATATCGTGGATTCAGGGATGAGCCCAAAAAACAGTGAACGACAAATCAGCCCAAATAGATTTGGCTTCTTAAAAACAAAGAACAACGTGCAAGTTGTTGTCACTGACGTAACTCAAGATAGAAAATACCAGCAGCTTTTTCACCATTGAAAAACCCATTATATCATTACTATCCAGAGAAAATCTTGATATAAAGTATCATCTAACACAATACTTTGTTTCGGAGCAAATCAGTGAAGAAAACATAAAGTAGTTATGATTGAATAAAACTGAGTAACTTTTTGTATTCACCATATTTTTTGGTGTGCATACCTGGCAATCGTGTTTACAGTTCATAACCCTGGGCATATATAGTACATGTTTTGTTGATTTTCTAAGTGAAAACAGGTTAACACAACCTCTACAGAGGATGCACTTAAATATGCAATTATATATATTATATATATATACACACACACACACACACACACACATATACTCACACACACGCAGGCGTTTCCTCCACGATGAGGAAGCGGCATGTGCCATGGAAGCAGAACTGACTGTGAGAGTCAGGGCAGTCAGCGAAGTGCGAGTGGACTGCTGCTGCTATAAACTCTACAGCCAAGAGAGAGAGACAGAAGAGCATCACTGTCATGCATTTTTAAAACAGGTTAACACATTAAAGCACAGAAAACAAGTCCTTGTTGACAGATGTGGCAATATGGCAATATTTAATCAGTTAGTACCAAAAAAAAACAGTAACAAACTGCTGCATTACAAAGACAGCAACTTATTAAACCTCAGAAAAACTAGACGTCATGATTTACATACTTATCGTATTGGATATTGACATACATATGATACATATTGTGTATTAGGAAAATGTCTTTAGGTATTGTGATATTTGCCACATTAATTATTTGCCAAAAAATAATCAACAAATCACTGTGTCCAAATTTTTCATATTGACCTGTCTTTAGAAAAGTAATCACTCAATTGTCTAGACACCTGTACAACAGCACAGTAAAGGTGAAGAGAAACTTTGATTCTGCAGTAAAGCTAAACAGCCATTCTGGTGAAATTCTGTTTTATATCCCCTGCAAATCAGTCCTCATACACTCCCTTACATTTATTCTCTTCTACTCTGTTTCTTAAGAGGTCTGGGCGAGACAGGATGAAGTCGGACATTGCAGACTTAGCCAGGGTTCTCTTTCTCAGGACAGGAAAGATCTTCTGCCTTTTATTAAAATTGCTGGATTTTCAGTTCATCATTGTGAGCTTTGTCTCCAAAAATAATTGCAATGAAACACTGTGATTCCGTCAAATCAAGCCATGTGCCCAGGGCTTGTTTATAGGGGCTGTTTGTACAGTTACGTCAAAATAGGGCACTCCAGGAATGACCATGATATATATATGTTCATGTTCACATCCACATTTTACTCGGATAAACAAAACCTCAATACTTCTCATACCCAAACAGCACACAGATAAACACACAGGGTTAGAGTAACTAAACAACGTCTTACTTCTGACAACTTTAGTAGTACTTGTTGCAGTTGTGGAGCTGATAGTAGTTGCTGGAGTGGTGGTGGTGGTTGGGGTTGTAGTTGCTGTAGCTGTTGTTGAGGTAGAATTTTCTTGCACCTGTCCATATGTAAACAAAGAGCCTACAAATCAAAACATAAATTAGATTTCACACATCAAATCTGCCAGAATAGTACAATAAACTGTGAAAAATTTCCATCCTAAATGTGACCCTGGGGGGGAATATATTCCCTGAAAAATTGGCATGGCAAAGCTACTTACCTAAAGAGCCAACAGAGTGAAAAATGGCGAGACTCATAACTAATACAGCAATGACAAGACAGCAGCACAACAGCATTACAAGCCAGAGATAAGAGGTTCTAAGCGGCATACGGCAAAGAACAGTATTGCTCAAGTGAACCAGGCCCACTGGTGCTCAATCACTTAATGCCAGTTCATAATCAGATTGAGGTTAATTACACTGTCACGGAATAAGAATGGAAGCAAATGAACCTTGACTTTTCTATAATCTGAGAGATAAATTAGGGAGTGCCCAAGTAAAAAATAGGCTTAAGGCTCACACTTACTAAAAGACAGTGTTGGGGATTCCATACACTCTAATCACCTCTAGTCGCACTAATCTCCTCCAGCTGCAGAGAGCTTAGAAATGAGAGTAATGTTCTCAATGCTTTCTGCCAGTTTGAAAAATCTCAAAGAAAATTTGTTGTAATTTTAAAGAAAAAAAAAATTGTGCAAATAGATACCATTACATGCATAGATACACCATTAGCCTGTTGATAGCGTATTATTATAAGATTTTGTAATTTTCGAATTGTAAAACTGAAAATGTTCACATTAACATGGGAGATTTTCAGTTGTTGTTGGCCACAGCCATGCCATATATAAAGAGACTTTTCTCTTTACTAACAGCTTGTTTGCTACCCAGCTCACTATCAGCTTTCTCTCTATCTCTCTGCTGCTCCTCAGCACACTCACACACACAGTCCCCCAGGCGTTTCTAGCTCCACACTTTTAAATAAGAGTCCTTAGCAAAATAAACCCACAAAAGTAATGCTGAAGTACACACAACCTAAACAAACATGCAAATACATTGCTTAAACACCCTACAGTACCATACATTAGCTATAGTCTGTTACATTTCAAACAACGGTACAATGTGCTATGCACCACTTCATGACAAAAATGTATCAATAAAAGAGGTGCTCTTAGGTCCACTTCGAGTTTTTGGAAAGAATATCCTGATATGAACCATGCATGTCTTAAACACCCAGTGCTTAAGCTCAAAAGCCCTGGGGAAATCAGGCATCACCCCAGGCATAGCTTGCTTCTGAGAGCTTATACAGATTTCAGGTGAACAAGACCAAAGAACATGAATGACAGAGGATTTTCTGTTAACAAGCCACATAAATCAGCATTACAGGCTCTACAGTCTGGCAAAAACAGTCCTTACTATTAACTACACTAACAGGGGTGCTGGACGGTAAATGTATCAAATGTATTGCTTACCCAGTGTCACTGCTTGTTATGCAAGTCTGACATAGATTTACCCATCATTTTATATAGGTTACATAAACATGTAAATATTTTAAAACAGCACTGGGGAACAGAGTGCTAGAGTTCAGCACAGTTTGGTGTTCTCCCTGCTCCCTGGGCAGGAATCGGGCCCTCCAGGAGTCCCCACCTCTGCTTCAAAATGTTCTGGTACAGATCACTACAAAGTTGATCACTCTGAAAAAGTTAATATAAAACCTGTTCTGAGTTCTCAGAATTTTTATTCCTGCCTAGGGTAATCAAGCTTCCAGCAGATGGTGCTACAGCCAATGAAGACTCTGTATTTTTCCAGAATCTGTCCCTTTAGAGTCAACACAAGAGGTCATTTTTGGATCACGGAGAACACAATTCTGCGCTAGCGAGGACATTTCACACGTAAGTATACAGTTTTCTGAGACCCTTTATTGCACCATTTCTCTACCTTCAGACAATGACATGAAACCCCAAACTTCACTTTGTTTTGTTCAGTGAAAGTTGACCCTCAGCAGTCCCAAACTGATGTGTCATATGGTCGCTGATAAACAATTTCTTTCCAATCAGCCTAACAGCAGAGTCTTTCTGCTCGTTATCGTTGTTTTTGTTTACCTAGTTAATCTACCACGCTCTTTGGTGTTCTCCTCTTTAGTGTTCCAAATGGCTTGTGATTTAATGAAAACCACTAATTTTTTTTCCCTGTTTTTCTTAATACAAAAAAAAAGAAAAAAGAAAAAGAGGTATGAACTGAACTGTGGATTTGGAGGATCATTACACTCCTATTTGTCTGGAAAAAAGTCAAACTTTTCACAATATTAGACTGGAACAGAGCTCAGAAACTTTATTTTTTTATATATATATACCTTGATGGACAAATACTTTTTTAGGTGGCCTTGACTTGATAGCTTTACTTTAACTCTGAGTAGAATACTCCTTTAAGACCATAAATCAGTACAGCACTAAACTTAATCCATGGAAACTGCATATTCACTGTACCCAAAATCCCAGCTTCTTCACTTCACCTAGATATCTGACTTGCTGAAGACTTTGTTAAGGCATGGATCTAGAGAGTATTCTCACAATAGGAGCACACAGTTTGACAGAGATCAGGTGCACTGTGTCTATGTATTCGAAAGCATTAACTGAGAGTCATAGCCAATCCAATGGTTATTTGACATATAACCCTTGACATAGACATGCTGTGTTTGCAATGTGGGATGACAAAACAAGCCTGTTTTCCCAGGCCTCTCATGGGAGGACAGCAGCATATCCTGACCCTTAAATGTTACCACAATATGACCACATCAGGTCAAGATTCTGGCTGATAAACAGTTAATTCTATTTATCAAAACCTTCATTACAATCTGTAGACATGAGTCAGCTCAAGGAGTGAGAATGCATGTTAAGGATGAGTCCATTTCTGCCTCACCCACTGAGAGCTTTCAGAGAAATGAGAAAACCTGGGGACCTTTAGAAAAATGAGGAAGCATCTTGCATGATAGATGCGCTGCAGTTTTAAAACTGAAAAAAACTGAAAAAACAATATATAAAACCACTGAGGTTGCATTACCAATTATAACTGGTTAATGACAACAAATGTACACTTGCTGAGGACTGGGTAAGATGTAGCATTGTACAATATATACATAATATACCATATTGTGATAATATTGTTGCATATTGTGATTGCTATGCATCGTCCACAATATTAAAAATGCAACGCTGAACACTTGATTTGACTTTATAAAGATTGGCCTGCATTATTTTGAAAAAAATTGTTAGATTATGAGACTGTCTTGATTAATCAGAACACCCACAGAAACGAACACCAAGACGCTTATAGAACAAAATAAATCTTCTTTGACGTGTTCCTGTTTGCATACTGCAGTTTTCTGAGATATCAGTATCACAAAGCATCTCACAACAGCAATATATTGTGCAGTTCTAGTATGATGTAAACAGGCAAATTCATACAATGGCATAGAATAATATGAAACACCTTCAGAAGCCAAAAGTGCCTGAAAATTTGCATGATAAATTCTTTTTCTTAATCATCTAGTGTGTCTTCTGATGACACAACAGCTTGCTGAGGCAAAAAAAAAAAACTTCCCAACACTGCTGAAACAAAGGATAAGGGATAGCAGCAGAGGAATGGCTCTATATTTAAACTAAGCTCCTTAAACCTTATTAATGACAAAGGAGCAGGACCATCCACCTGTGAAGTTTTCTAAAAGCTCACAGCTCTGGCTGCAACACTTCCTAGCCAACACAACAGATATCCTAGCTGATGATACACTGAGGACACAAAACTGATGGATGTGGACTGAGGCAGGGATCAGGCTGGAATGGATGGTCTTGTGGAGTCATTTCATTTCAGATTTGGAAAACCAGGCGTCCCAAAAAAGTCACAACTTAGATTCAACCTTCTATGCATCATGCATAGGATAAAGACAAACACTGCCATTTACGTCTATTGGCACTGAAGAATTTACTAAAATATCTTTTTTTTTCTTCACATAGGCAAGCAGTAATGCTGGATGAGAACATAAGCAATAAAGGAAGACTTTCACACAAGCCAAGATATTTCTGATAATAAAAGCCTTTTACTTTAACTGAAAAAAAAATCATATTACATTGTACCAGACTTTAAGGTTAAGTAGCATACATTTTTCCTTTGCTTAAATTTTACCTCAGTTTGATGATGCCAGTGCTTAGCATGTTAGCTCCACATTTGATTTGTGTTTTTAAAACGCATGCACCTGAACCCTGGATTATTAGACAAACTGGAAGTGTTCACTCACCAATTAGGATGAATATCGTATCCCAAAAAGCACGATACATCTTTATAAAGTTTCAGTTGGACCCTTTATTCAAGGGTCCGTGGCGTCTGAACAGTATATAAAGTGTAAATGTAATATATCCAGTTTAAGTACGTTTGTCCGCCAACATGGGGGAAGGCACGCGCGTATGCTTGAAGGAAACAGAAGGAAAAGCTAAGAGAGTTCTGCTGTTCCCGAAGCTGATTTCCATAACAGTGGAGTGGATCTTAACGCGTGCTTTTTGGCGTGCTCACAAAAAGCCATGTGTCCACTGAGGTCTATTAAAGTTGACGTCAAGCTTAACGTAAGTATGCGAGTGTGCTCCCTCTCCTTTCTATTATTCACCGCATAACCGACAGGCGAGCAGACTCGACCACTGAAATCACTGAAACGCTGAAGGAGAAGAGACAACCAGCAGCACAACAGTGTTACACACACTTACACAGGGTGCATAATCCGCACCCTGCACTACATTACCCAGAGTGCGAGAGAGAGAGAGAGAGAGAGAGAGAGAGAGAGAGAGAGAGAGAGAGAGAGAGAGAGAGAGAGAGAGAGAGAGAGAGAGAGAGAGAGAGAGAGAGAGAGAGAGACTCATTCACCAATATCTTCCTAGGGTTTTTCTTAAAAAGGTATTAAGAAAAAGTCTCCGTCAGTTTCATGACATGTTATTACAATGTTCACATCTTTGTGCTCTGGAGTGTGTGTAGCTTCTGTTCTTACCTAAGAACAAATCCCACATAAGAAAACAGAGTTTTTCTGAAAACTGTGTAAGTGGGTTTTAAGAAGAAATATCTTCTTACAAACAGTTGATGAAGGCCCAATGTTAGTTGTCTGCCACATTCCCTTCTTTTAAGCGCGACATTATCCCATCACAAGGATCTCATTATCGTAATCCAATATTGCTTTCATAATCTTCATATTTCCTCTCAGAAGTTGCTTTGATTTATTGATTTGCTGGGTTCAGTGCACAGACGTGGGTGCAAACTAGGCTACAAAACTTCTGTACTTGAGTAAAAGCAAAAGTACTTCTGATGAAATATTACTTGAGAACAGGTAGAAGTATTCTACCTAAATTTCTAAATGACAAGTGCAAAGATACTTGCTTTTAAATGTACTTAAGTATCAAAAGTAAAAGTAAGATTATGTTTTTTTATGAGAAAGTTCTGTTAAGGCCCCTTTAAGTTTTGTACTTTTGTCCAGTACTGTGCCCTCCATTCAACCACTTTGTGTCTTTATGATGAAACTGATGAAATAATTCTATATATTTGTGGCAATGTGCTAAGGGGGTGGGGGGTTGGGGGTGTGGTTGCCTTGTGTCTGGGTGGTCTTTTGATCCCAAAAGTCTAACCTCACTTTTTTACTCTCAAAACCAAATGTATTGTTAGCTGATTATTGTCAACCCCAGCACAAACAATTTTCAACTAATTTTCTTGTACAACTTAAATAAACACATGGATTACTGTTAATGACAAAAAGCAAGTTTCCAGGATAACAAATCCTAGCAATGTGGTCATCAAGAAGATGAAATTTCAGAATTAACTGGACCATAGCTATTCAGAAATGTATCAAGATTGGCCCTCTCCTCATTTGATCAGGAGTGAAAATTAGGGGGTGGGGTATATTACAGTGTCGGCACAGAAGAAGACATGGAAAGCATTGCATGTACGGACAAAATGCTCTTTTATTTTCAACAGGCACTTCAACAGCAAGTCTTTACAAAGGCTAGAAATGCCCAGCCCAGCGCTACCCCAACACGAACCCATGGAGGGGGTAATGTGGAAGGACAAAATGCACACAAAGCCCACCCTCCATGGACACAACTTAACGATCCAGATTCAACACATTAACACACACAACAACAACAACCACAGCTACAAAGACCATCCTTCTTCTACCATGTAGTGCCACCCGAGTGCCACTCTGCATGGCCACACCCTTTAAACTCCCCATGGCAGCGTGGCCTGTGGCAAACGTCACAATATCTTAACCTGGGCTTCTTCCCATAAGTTACTCTAATACATAATGCGCTCCTTGATCAGAAAGTCCTTAAGGTTATTACTTGATACAGGGGATGGTCGATACCACATATTCCTTTTCCAATCTGATATCACGTACATTTAACGCATTTAGTAGTAATACCAACATTAATAGTAATAGCAATTAACACCAAAACCATAATACCGTATCAATACCTATCTTTGAATCCATCAAGCATGTAAGGAGACGTCTTTGTGGAGGGAAAAAACACTATAAATCAATTCCATTTGCTGCACATTTTTTATTTTCTCTGTGTAAAGCAGCTCAGTGTCTTGCTAGGTGTAGGCAAAATTAGCATGGTTTGTGTTTAGGAGCATTATGTCTAATGCTCATCTGTTAAATGAAAAGGCACACTCTAGCTTTGTTACTTTTCCAGAAATTACATGTAGACTACATGCATTTTATGTACATGAAAGAAATCTCATTTGTTTTCTGCTGACCCTTTGGCCAATAGAATCCAGACTGTTGGGTGAGTGTGTGTGAGTGAGAGTGCTGCGCTCCTATTTTTGGTGAATCATCCTATTTGCAGGGCTATAGGTAGCTTCAGCTGAACTTGGCACCTCCTTCCGCTCTATTTCTGGCCTCACCACTGTCTGTATATGTAATTGTATTTGTTTAGTGCTAAAAATATCTTAATCTGTGTTTGGATTTGAACCGGAAGTTGCCATGGTGTACATCACAAGTGGGTCCCTCTCTACACATTTTCTTTTTTAATACATTATCTCTATACTGAACTTGAAGTGTAATAATTATTAATCTTTTTATCATTTCATCATCTGTTGAGCCATACATCATGTGTTACGGATTGTGTTAAACTGAAAAAAGAAGAGTAAAGAATGTCTCCTCTAAATTTGACATTGTGAATTAGGATAATAAGGGTAGGACTGGTTAGCGAGACAGAGATCTGACAAGTGCCAAATGCACATAAGCAAGTTTGTGGTCATTCTTGTTACTTCTTTTCTGTTCATGGACAGATTTAGTGATTCTGGTGCCCTAGGCAAAAGATGGGAATGGGGCCACATGGATGCACATTTTTAAATTACTTGTGTCTGGGCTCCTGAGTTGCATGGCCATCTACACTACAAAAAATGTTATCTTGGCAAGTTAAATCTTAAATTCAGTCAATATATCCAATATTTCTCATTTTGATATTTCTGCATTGGCAAAGCAGGCAGGCCACTTCTAGCCATACAATGTGTCTTTATAGTACGCATGCAAACCCCCACTATTTCACCATAGCCCAATACAAAATTGCCCTCAGCCAGTGCCACGCCATCTCTTCCACCGTCCTATCTGCCGTCATCCTGTCTGCTGCTGTGGGCCGCCGCAGGGCCATCTTTTCCACCAGCTTCTCTTTGACCGTCTTCTCTTTCGCCAGCTTCTCTATTGCCGCCTTCTTGGCTCTCTGCCTTAAAGTTAGATGAAAAGCCACTCCATTTCTTGCCACTTGGTGGCGCTATCCCACTTCTGCCATCACTGTGGTGTCGCCGTAGAAGGTGACGCAGGAGAGGCCATTATTTCTGCCATGAGAAGTGCCCTTTTACTTATACAAACAGAAAAGGCATACACAAATGGCTAGGCAAAGCAGACAGGTCACTTCTAGCCTAATGGTAGGCACACAATGGTAACCCCTCATCTCACCACAGTCCAGCATGAAATAACACAAACAACAGACAACAACAACAGCAACAGTAAGAGCCACAAATGTTCTTTTCAGTGAGGGGGGCAGGGTGCATGGCGGAGCTTTGCATACCACAGCTCTAAAGCCCCTTCTTGAAATACAGAGCATGTGGCAGTTACTATAATATGTTTTGTCTGTATTTATATTCAGGTTTGAACTGGAAATGGTGGTGGTGTAAATCAGAACTTGGTGTGGTCCATACTAGATGTGTATTTTTTAAACATTATCTTTAGATTAAGATTGAAAGAAAATATTACAAACAACAGTAAGCAATTTTTTTTCATTTATCTGACTTTTAGCTGAAACTGTATTAAGGTTAAGAAAATGCCAAAAAAAAAATGTGCAATTAAGCTATACTGATTAGCTAAATGTGCATGGGGCATGCTCTGCATAGGCAATATGGAGCAGCAGCACTGTGGCAAAGTGACAATGAAATCTTTTAACAGGGAAAACTTTAAACTGAAATAATATTATAGTGTGTCTTACAGGCCAACATACAATAACCTGCAGAATAAGAATGTGATGTATTTTCTGAAATGTCTAAATGGAGCTTTGTAGTTGTTATTTTTGTATCTTAGATCCTGACTATTACAGAAGTAATTACTGTGACACAGGAACCTGGTCAAAAACCAACACTTTAAACTTTCTGGCTTCAAAGTCAGTCCCTAAATCCAACAAAAAAAGGAACATTCTAGTTCATTGGTTGTGAACATCTACAGCTGCAGATTTGACATACTAAACTTCTCCTGCCATCTGCTGGCTGTACAGGGACATTGCACGCTGGAGGAAAAAATATCAAGCAGAGTGAAAATGTAGGTCTAATTTTTCAGTTATTTATAATGTACATTGAACTGAACATTTCGCTTCAGCAGCTAAGCTTTGAAACCAGCATATGAATAGATATTAACAAAGAAATTGGGTCTAATACACTGAGGTAAAATTTCATGACCTTTTACTGAATATACAGTAACCAGATAGCGTCACAATTTTTATTGTTTTGCCTCTGCACTCCAGCACATTATATCTGAAATTAAACAATTACTATACAGTCAGATCTTATCAGGACCTACATTAGGGTATTTTGAATACACACAGCTCTCCTATTATATCGTAGAAAGTGAAATCATCATTAAAACTTGTCAAATATCTAATATTCCTTATTTTGAGATTGTTGTAAGATCATTAGACCATTGTTTAACTTGTTTCTTAAGTAATTTTATGCAGTGAAGTTGTCTTTGTAACAACAGGGGCTCACAAGCAGGTTTAATCTGAAGAGTAGTTTTATTTGGGGCTTTCCAACAATCAGAGTACACAAGGCATTCGGGGGTCTAAAAAACAGGCAGACAACATCACAGGCAAATCCATAAACAGATATCCAGAAAACGAAGCAGGGGTCAGACAGCTTAAAATTCAGTATATTGAAGAGACTTTGTCAGGCCCAAGGCCAAATGAAGGAGTATATGTCTGAGTTAATGAGTCAGGTGTGTTTGAGCCAGGGAGGAGCAGGAACTGAAATGAGCCATTCCATTCTGAGAAGGTCCACTAGCGCAGGCATGTCAAAGTGGGGCTTCTGGGTCAAAGAGCTGCGGAGGTTACTGTTCACCCTCATCTAACACTCTGAATTCAGTTCTGAATTCAGTTCATGAAGGCCTTGCTAATTAGCTGTTGAGCTGAATCAGGTGTGTTTAATGAGGCAGTGTGCTGAAGTCTGCAGTGTTTTGCCCCATGAGGACTGGAGTCTGACACATGTGAACTAGCCTCCCATGGGGGGAGACATTGTTACAGAACCCCCACTTAAGGCCCAGCTCCAAAAGCACAAGACAGACAGTGGACCTGGAACATGAGGAGGCACCGCCAAAACAGGCAGAAAGTCAAGAGGGCAGGGAAGTCCAACCAAGAGGTCAACTGAGCAGACAGGGGCAGGACCAGCAATGGTGAAAGGAGCGATGGGAGCCAGCACTGCACTCTGAAGGGTTCTTCAAGGGTTCTTTAGTAAAGACAATGGTTCTATATAGAACCATGAACACTCAAAGAACCATTTGCATGGTTTAAGGGTGCATTTCAGCCTTTGCATTGTGAAATGGTACTTCAGATTGATGGAGTACATGCTGTGCATGGTTTTATATAGAAACTTTCTGAAAAGGGTTCTTTATAGCACCAAAAAGGGTTCCTGTATTGTTGCAAGCTTGACATTATAACAATAGAAGAACCAATTTGGTGATAATGTTTTTATTGATGCTCCTTTTTTAATGTTTGATGATAGGTTTTAATGATTTTGTTGATGCTTCTGTGTGTGTGTGTGTGTGTGTGTGTGTGTGTGTGTGTGGGTGTGTGTGCGTGTCTTTTTTTCTTCCAGTATGCTTCAGTGTGTGCATGTTTAATATTATTCCATTCTGTGGGATCACCATGTGGACTGACTTGCTGAGGCTTATTTTCAAGGTTGAGCACTTTATTTCAGACCAAAATGATCCCATAAATAGAAGAATAGAGCCTAACACACTTCTGTTCCTGTGCAGGTAGAAACTGTGCTCATGTTCTTTAGAGGACTTGACACTAAAGGAATTTTCAGAGGTTTTTTACTCCCACTGAAGTTGATTTTGGGAGTAACTGTTACGTATACTTCAGTTATTATATATACACTTATATATAATATCCACTAAGACACCAAAACCAACCCCACAGAGCACAGGGCATGAAATTGAGAAATGTTATGATGCCAGTGTGATAGAACTGTTACTGTAAAACTATGCTGGACTGAAATCTGGAGTAAAGACAACATTTAAATGTAATTTTTGACCAGTTGGAGAGGGAGTTGATGATCTACAGGTCGGATACTTATTACACTCTCTCTCACACACACACACAACTCTGCAGGGTCTCTCTCTCTCCCTCTCCCTCTCCCTCTCTCTCTCTCTCTCTCTCTCTCTCTCTCTCTCTCTCTCTCTCTCTCTCTCTCTCTCTCTCTCTCTCTCTCTCTCTCTCTCTCTGACTCAGCCTCTTTATTAGTGTCAAATCGCAGAGCTGGACCTGCACACTGTTCTTGGTGGTTCCTTTTCTTGTTTCAAAAAGTGCTAATCAGTCTGCCATGAGTTCACATCAGCAGGAAAGCACCAAGGAAGAGAAGGTGAGTTGATTCAAATAAAAGAATATTGTTTTGAAATAATTGTCAAGGAAAATTGTCATATTCGTTGAAGTTATATGCAATTTGCTATACTTACTTTGCTGTCTTATTTTTTCAAGTCTTGCACTTTCTGAAGATAAGCCAGCTGCTTAATCCTGGGCTGCCTAACTAAAACACACTTTGGGATTATTCCATTGCAGGAGTTTTTAATACCCATCAATCTGTTAATAAGGTCATAGAGGGAGAACTATTCACGTGTTCTTACTTTGTAAGCTCCTCTCGGGTAGTACACAGTGTTCAGTATGAATTAGTCATAGCACTGATATATGACCAACCAATAGTGCTTCAAGAAAACATGAATTTAGCAAACCAAGCTTGTGTACCAGCTTTTTACAATGCACTATACATTTTATGTATGTTATGGTGTGTGATTTTATGGCCTATATTTTAATTAGATGAATGTCACTCTTGTATCTGCAGGGCAATGTTGGTACTCTGGCTTTAATGGTAGCTTCTGCTGCAGTTGGGGGAACAGTACAATATGGATATAACCTCGCCATTATGAACGCACCTACTGTAGTAAGTAAAAGACATAGAGGGTCTACCTGTGTTTTCATGTACTTTTGATGCCGTTGGTATTTATTTTCTCCCTACTTTGCAGGTCTTTTATGTGTGACTAAATCTATCATTGATACAATACTGTGCAAACATTAGTTTCATTTATTTAACGTCCACTCAAAACGGCCCTTAACTCCTTAAAAGGCCAGGGCCCACAGGCAGGCCTAAAGTTTCATTACACACCTCTATAACCTAAGAATAGCTCAGCCAGTTTTCATTAATGTCCCTGTAGATACTGAATAATAAGCTGTAGTATGTAATAAGCCTAGGATTTAAGGAGTTAAATGCAAGTTATTAATTTTTCAGAAGATATTTCTGAGATTAGATGTAATCCACTTGCATTAGAAAGGGGAAAGTTAGAGTAAAATAAGTGAAAGTTAGTGTCCAAAAGCAGAATTCAAAAAATTATTGAAAGATACAGAGAAAGTGGGATTCCTAACAACTGTGCAAGACCTGATAGACCATCAAAACTGTGAGGGACAACTCAATGCTATGGGTCTGAAAGGATGTGTAGCTGTCAAGAAGCCACTTTGGACAAAAGAAAAAAAAAGAAGAAAATTTGCAAATTAAACAAAGAAGCTGCTGGTGTTCTCAGAACAATGTAATGACCACCGTAGAGTCCAGAAAGTGTTTGGGATTACTTTGTGAAAGGCCAAGAATGCAACTTACTTCTAAGGCTGAACTTTGGAGGTGTTGAAAAATATTCCTGCAGATTTCTTTGAAAACCTAAAAGCAAGTCTCTCAAAAAGAAAGGAAGCTGTAATACAGAATAAAGATGGACACATTTTAACCATTTTGACTGAAAATTGTTGACGAGTGGTTTCTGACTTTTGCACAGTACTATATGTGCATGAATCTGTCATGTGGGATCATATATTTTTAAATATGAAAATGTGTCTGACTGTATTCATTTACTGTACATTTCATTAGCATGTTTTGTTGTGCTTGCAGTACATTCAGAACTTCGTTAATGAGACGTTTCAGGAGCGCTGGGGGATACAGTTAGAGGTGTATGAGGTCACGCTTATATGGACCTTCATAGTTTCCATCTTCTCACTGGGTGGTCTTACAGGGGCTTTGGTGGCCGGGCCCATGTCCATCCACTTTGGAAGGTATAGATTCGCTCTCTCTTTCAGAATTTATAACATTTTAAATTAGGACTTAATAGTATGGACAAAATAGTACTGTGATTATATTTCTGAGTAGCGTGATTGTGATGTGCCTCACTATTCACTGCAGTTAAATGTATTGGTAAATAAATTCTGGTTAACCTTTCTGAACTGGCTGTCTTGCCAGTGAGACGAAATACCATGCAATCCTTAAACTTACTGCATACATTTATAGAAAACATGCACAATCATTTCATGCACTTGGCATGATGCTTATTGCCGCAGCCAATCTTGATTTAGAGAAAGAAACACTACCTGAAAACAAAAATAGAAAAACGAAAAAAATGGCTGTGAGGATTTTTTCTAGAATATACTAAAATTACTAAAAAAGTAGACTAAAATTTTCTGCAGTATAGCAAAGGCCAAGAAAGTGCTAATGATTAACAAACTATATATTATAAAGTTCTACTGCATATGTATTTGCCATGGTGGGGGAGCATGCCTCTCTTAGTCTTTGTGCTACATTAAAGTGCTATAATTAACAGATTGATTATTGATAATTGATTAGCCCAAATCTAACCCTGTTTTGTAACAAGAAATGTGTAATTAAACTTAAATGTATTCCTCTAATAAATACATATTAATGTCTTGTCCCAAAGGAAGAAGACTTTGTTGCTGAACAATATTTTTCTAATGTCAAGTGCACTGTTGGCTGTAACAAGTCGAAAAGCTCGGTCTTTTGAAATGATCATCTTTTCCAGATTTCTGGTTGGCATCAATGCAGGTGCATAGCTCTTTAATCTCAGTACTTATTCTGTATTAATCTCTGTTTATCTCTGTTTTTTGTTGAATTCTGAATCATCCTTCATTTTAATGTCATTGTGAGACTAACCTCTTGTACATAATTGTATCGCTATACACAGGAATATGCTGCTTTGTTTGATTGCAGGTGTCAGTATGAACGTGCAGCCGATGTACTTTGGTGAGAGTGCGCCAAAACACTTACGAGGGGCTGTGTCCCTGTCCTCTGCTGTATTCACCTCTTTTGGGTTGGTGGTGGGACAAGTGGTGGGTCTGAGGTGGGTCCAGAAAACAGTATAACATCTGTAATATCACTTTATTGCCAGAATTTTGCATTTCAAATATTGAAATGCACCCTTAATGTTGACTTCAGAGGCAGAGAGAAATTGCAAAAGTAAATTCTCAGAGAATAGAATACTGACAGCAGTAATAAGTGACAGCACTGTAATAAATTTACTCAGGTTTATCTTACTGTTCTTTAAAGCTAAAGTTCAAGTTACACAACTGTCCTTTTACAAACCCAAATCCAAAAATGTTGGTTCAGTATGTTTAAATGCCAATACAAAACTCTTTGACCTGTGTTTAAATGAAAGCAGAACAAAGACAAGATATTAAATGTTTTATATTATCGACCTATCAACGTTGTTTTTTATACATATGCTCTTTTGGAACTTGATGACTGTAACACATTCTGAATAAGTTAGGACAGGGCCAATCTAAGACTAGATACATAATTAAATGTTCAGAAAACATTTAAAAAAGGTGACATAATCATGCTTGGATATAAAAGGAGCATCCAGGAAAGGCCACTTTGCCAAAAAAAAGCATCAGCAAATAGTCTTAAGTGTTTTCTGATGTGGGATTTGTTCTTAGGTAAGAACAGAATCTACACACCCTCAAGAGTTCAAAGGTGCAAACACTTCTGTGGTTTAAGAACATATCATGAATCTAATGAAGGCTTTTCATAGGACCCTTGTCAAGAACAAATTTAGAAAAAACCTAGGAAGATAATAGTGAATGAGGCCCAATGTTCTTTGACAAGTCTTTGTCAGGATTTCAGATATTTCACCCTTTTCAGTGCATAATGTAATCAAAAGAAAAAAAACTTTGACCTTTGATCCCTCGGACCACATTGCATTAAAAACCAGTATATTTCTGTGATGAGTATCACCGCATGGGTTTGGGAATACTTTGACAAACCGCTGTCAATAAACACTGTTTGTTGCTGCATTCACAAATGCAAGTTAAGATTGTACTGTACACAGTGGAAGCCATATGTCAACAACGTCCAGAAATGCAGGATTTATTCAATGGTGTTAAAAGGAAAGGTGATGTAACACTGAGGTAAACATGCTCCTGTCCCAATGTTTTTGGAATTTGTTGCAGTCATCATATTTGGGATGAGCATTTATTTACAAAAAACAATAAACTTCATAAGGTAAAACTTAAAATATCATGTTTTTATACTGTTTTCAGTTTAATACACATCAAACAAAATTTATTAATCACTGCTTTCTGTTTTTTATTAGCATTTCACATCAACATATTTAGAATTTGGTATAATGTAGGTAACGATGCCTGTTGTATCTCTCTTTAGGGAGCTGTTGGGTTGTGAGTCATGCTGGCCATACCTATTAGCCAGTAATGCTGTCCCAGGTTTTGTCCAGCTCCTTACACTGCCCTGGTTCCCTGAGAGCCCACGGTACCTTCTTATTGACCGCGGAGACAAGGATGCCTGCTTAAAGGGTAAAAGGGCTCTGGCTTTTGATTCCTGTGATATATCATTTTTGTCTCAGTAACACAGGAGTTCTGTGTATGCTTAAAAAAAATTCTGTCAAAAGTTTGGCCACACCTGATAGTGTTTTTTTCCTTTTTTCAGAAGTAGTTGAAGCTAATCTATAGATTTATCCCCCCAAAATAAGAACATCTCAGGTGGCTCCTTATGAAGTTAGCTTAGAGAATGACTAGATAGACTTAGAATCATAAATCGTCAGACCCTTGAGACTGTTAATTCAAGTTCTGACTAAACACTGAAGCTGTGTTTCTGTCTGTGACCATACTGTGTTGGACAGCATTGCGACAGCTGCGGGGTTCTGAGGTGCAGAGAGCGGAGCTGGATGAGATCCTGCAGGAGCAGGCTGAGGCAGAGGGCAGGAGAGCTCAGCAGCCCTGGGAGCTCTTCACTGATCACAGCATTCGCTGGCAACTCATCTCTGTCACCGTGCTGAGCAGCGCCATGCAGCTGTGTGGTAATGACTCGGTGAGTGAGGCCAGTCTGAAGCCTAGTTCTCCCTTCTCAAATGAGTTGAGGATTTTTACTATATGTCCAAAAGTGTCCAGAAACCCCTAAAGTGAATTCACTTTAAGGTGCACCCACTGCTCACACTGACCTTGCTAAGCATCGGCCAGAGGTAAAGCCCCCAAGAACTGGGCTGTGGAGCAGTGGAACTATGTTCTCTGGAGTGATAAAGCTCCATCCAGTACCTTTGGGATGAGTTTGAGTGATGTCTGTGATCCAACATCAGTACCTGACCTCACCAAAGCTCTTGTGTCTGAATGCAATCACATCTTCACAGCATCTACTACAACCATATTTTGTAGTCTGAAGTCACAGACATGGATCACTCTTTAGTATGTCATTATCATACTGACCAAAACATTTTTCTGTTCATTTGAATTGTAAACTGATACTATTCATAAGAAAACAGACACTGCAGTAAACACTTCTATTGCATAACAGGCCTTAACATTTCACTGATGAGAACAAAAAAAGGAAACACTGTACTTTTTAAAGAAGATTCATACACATTTTCTGTTAAATGTAATTTCATATCTTACTTTGACAGGTATAAACTCATTTGAATTATTGATGGTGTTATTTATTAATTTCATTTAATGTGAAACCTGATACTCAAAACACTCAGTGATACTTTTCTAGTCAGTGCGTCTTCTGAAATGCTGAGTAATCCAAAGCACCACCGACCTGTTAGAGGAGAGAAATCAAGTAAAAGACAAGTGACTGAAAATTAACTACATACAGGCCACAGGAGAAACAGTGAGTCACTCAGTAAGCTGTGCTGAGAGAATAAATGGCAGAATTCCTTTATTTCAATGCTCTTTCTCTCTGATGTACATTAATCAAATAAATCAAATTATAAACCCAATTCCAAAAAAAGTTGGGACAGCAGGTAAAATGCAAATAAAAACAGAAAGCAGTAATTAGTAAACTGCTTTTTAGAAATATTTCAGTTGATATTTAATTAATTGATGTTTGTGCATAATAATTCCAAACTTAATACCTGTAACACATTCAAAAAATACAATATATGACAATGGAGACCCCAGACTGGATGAAGTTTTATATCAAGCAAGAATGGGAAAAAAATTCCACTTTCACTTTTTTTCAACTGAATACAGGTAAAAAAGATTAAAAAATCATTACTGTCTATTTTTATTTATATTTTTCCTACTGTCCCAACTTTTATGGAAGTGAGTTTTGTGAAATGGCTCTAGAGGATTTCCATTACAGTATGTACGTATTTCTACAAAATTACAAACATTTTGTCTCTCATTTTACAGATTTACTTCTATGCATCTTACATATTTCAAGAAGCAGGTATTTCTGCTGAGCACACTCAATATGTGACCATTGGCACTGGCACCTGTGAATTCACCGCCTGCATTCTGTGCGTGAGTGTTTAACCCGAGCTAATCTGCTCTCATATTATGTAACTGTCCCTTGTGGGAAAAAGGCAGCTCCTAAAGAGTCTTGATTTCTGGCATGTGTGATTTCATTAATCCTAAATGTTAGACTAATTAATCAGAGCTAGACAAGTTTTGTAGTTTTCAGTGCCAAGACTACATTTTTGGGGGTTCCAAAACTACCAAAGTTCAAAGTTAGCAATGAGTAAGCTTACTATAATGTTGAATTTCAGGTCAGAGGTTAGATGACGCATGTGTAGTAAAAGATTACAGCGCTCATATGGAAATCTTCCTGCTGATGACGTGTGTGTGTGTGTGTGTGTGTGTGTGTGGGGACAGAACTTGCTGATTGAACGGCAGGGCAGAAGACTGCTTCTGATGGGAGGTTATGCACTCATGACAGGCTGGGCTGTGGTCTTCACTGTGGCTCTTTCATTTCAGGTATGTATTATTAAGTTGGATAGATACACCACACTGTAAGCAGCATCTACCCTTTATCTGTGCCAGCATGCACCTTTACACACACACACACACATTCATGCATGAATGCACATGCAAACATGCTTCCACAGATACACAGTTGAAGGATACCAGTTTTTTTTGCAGAATATCGCAGTGCCATCATATCATGAGCATGCAGCTATACCAAGCCATTCTCAACCTAACTTAGCAAAATCAAAATTCACGATTTTAGGTTGTCATTGTTTATCAGTGTTCTTTCACTACAAAACTCAGCATGCATTACACAAATAAGTCATACAGCCATTGCAAATCCCTGCAGAGCTCAACCAATACGTAAGCAGATGTAGTGTTTATCATCATAAGGGGGTTTTAATCTGTAAATTGGAAAATTTCTCTCTAGAGACTGCTATGTCCTGCTGTAAGAGGCGAGTAGGCCTGTTTACAACAGATTTTTCATTTTGACCAGAGGGTCTAAACATATAAGACATATCTAAGACAAACAAAAGTAGAAAATTAATATCCATGCATACATTTACTTACAAAATCAAAAATATTCATTTAAAAATATATTTCAACACCTCTATCCCCCAAGCAAGTAGTTTTTATTTAAAACTTGAGTACAGTTTGAAGATTACATTTCCAATATTTGTATCATCCTAATGAGTCTCATTAAAAAATAATTAGTAGAATGCATATCTTTGATAATGCATTTGAACAAATTTCTAAAAAGCCAGAAAGCCAGTATTCTTGATTGTAATTATTCATTATGTATTATTTCACAGTTTCTATAGCTTCACTATTATTCTATAATGTAGGCAACTGTGCAAGTCAACTTAAACCCTTCTATGAGTAACTGTGCCCAAACCTCTGACTGGTATGGACTTTGAGAAGGCTTCACAGAAGTGCAATAAAATCCAAAAGCCTGAGACCCCATTGAAAATCTGGAATTGTTTTCATTTGAATGTATAAATACCCGAAAGACAAAGAAAAGTTGATGACAGTAAAATAAACAAAAAAACATTCAAGGTTATGTACTATTTCTAGGTCACTAGAAATATGAAATTCAAGCTAATTTGTGACAGTGACCATATTAATGCCTGTGAATAAAAAGGTTTTTCAGTCTCATCTCCACTGAAGTCCATCTTCCACTGAAGCTTGTGTTCAGACAACTCTGAGGTCGATTTGATGAACAGAGGCTTTTGCACACACTTGTGGAGTTCATGTCAGCTTGAGTTCACTCTGTCATCAAAGCAAAATGGGGACATACCAAATACTAAGAAATTCTGAAATTCATGTTAAAATTTCAGATTCTTCTTTTCACTTAAATTGTTATGCGAATAATATAATTTGTGATGAGAAAAATGTATTAAAGTAGAAAAGAATGTAAAAGCATTTTCAATAGTAGACTCAAGCTTTTGAATCCCTCTGTAGTTTGTAATGTTTACGTACTTGTGCTAATTCAATAGTTTATATGAACCAACAGCCTACAGATGTGTTATCACGAAAAGCTCGTCAGAGTAAATATTAGTAGGTAATCTGCATTTCTGATGTATTTCTTCTAGAATATGGTGCACTGGATGCCCTACCTGAGCATGGTTTGTGTCTTCACATATATCCTTAGCTTTGGGATGGGACCAGGTGAGTACTAACATGTTAAAAACATGTATTGGAAAGTAATCCTGTTAAATGTGATAACAGTATTTAATGAAACAAAATAGGTTCTTTCCTGAAAAACCTGTCAGGAAGAGTATTAAAGGCATTCACTGAGACTGCAAACATGCTAGCCAACCGAGGAAAGTCACAGTATTATCATCCAAATGGGCCATGTTACGATGATGGGTTTCATTTTCTCCACAGCTGGGGTGACTGGAATTCTACCTACAGAGATTTTTAACCAGACGGCCCGACCAGCTGCCTACATGATTGCTGGCTCTCTAATGTGGCTTAATCTCTTTATTATCGGAATGATATTCCCTTTCCTTGTGGTGAGAAAACATACAAATCTAAGCATATCCCACATATAAACATAACATGAAAACACAAAGATACCTGCATATTATTAACTGTTTATGAATTTACTTAATTTTCTTTGAGAATCTGGAATTTCTGTTAACTGTAATCCATTTCCTTTTTGTGTGTGTCGTTAACAGCAAGGTCTGGGCCAGTACTGCTTTGTGCCATTTGGCGCTGTCTGCCTGCTCACTGCACTGTATATTGGGTTTTTTCTACCAGAGACCAAAGGAAAGACGCTACCTGCGATCACAAACGAGTTCAACAAGCTTAACTTCCATGAACAGGAGGCAACAGGAAAGAGCAAGCAGGCTCACTACCAACTTGGCGAAATCTGTCACTCTACTGCCCTTTAGAAACTACACGTTTATACATTTAAGAATTCCTACACATGTACACTTTTGGATTTCTCTACTGGAGAACAAAAGAGCACTAATATTTTATTGTTAAGATAGTGTTAAATGAATCTGTGTGTAAAGTCTGAGGGGAGGGGTTCCCTAAAAACAATGTTTTTAAGGTATACCTACATGTAAGGTCAAATGTCTATGCAGTGATGTTGAAAAGGGATGAACAAGCGCCAGGAGGTGTTTTAAAGGATCTCATTCTGAGTTAAGTCACTTGGTCCATTTATAATCCTCCTAAGACTACTTGGAATAGCCTTTTTTTTCTTTTTTTAAGCTACAGGTAGACAGGCCTGCAGTAAATTCAGAACATCAATCTTTTGTAGTTTCTAGAAATGTACACTAACTGTCTCAAAATGTATATGTCCTAGAAAGTATACATTTTCTAGAAAGTATACATTTTGAGACACTTAAATGTGAGTATGCAAAAAAATTTACATTTACCTAAAGGCCCAGTATTTTTCCTCCTTGCTAAAAACGTTATATTAGCAGGAAGTATGTGCTTGCCATCACAGTTCTGCTTCTGTCCAACATTTATTGGGCACTTCAGAGTGCATAAAATGACCTCTAAGTGTTCTATATTTTTTTGTATCTTGCTCTCTAACGACCGTTTAGGAATTACACTTTATTTTCGTAAAAAAATACGTCACAGGTAACACTAATTGACTACAGCGAATCATCAGGTACCTTATTTTGCATATTCATAAACTGTGAAATCAACTGACCTTTCCACACTTCACTCTCCGCATCTCTACTCGAGTAACTTTATAACTGCTCGGAAATGGTATTTATTGACAAATGCTCAGTTTTTGGATGCAAGAAGGAGAATGATCACTCTCTGCATTCTGTTCCAAATAATGAGATAACATTAAATCAAATGGCTTAGTTTTTTTTTCTGGAGTTTAAGTGACGCCCAGTACAAGTACTTTGCCCTCTCATTTGAAAACTGGACTCCATACAGCTCCGTATACCCCGTCGACTCGAGCTGAAAGCTTTCTCGATACTTACTGGAGGCAGTGTGAATGATTAGCTGGTAAATCTTTATTTTTAAATAACAGTCATTGTTTTCATTTGACAGTTTATATAATAATGTAGCTAGCAACGAGAATGTAGCCAAATGTGCAGGCTACTGTTAGCTAATTGTGTTAACTATATAATTTAGCTAGCTTGCTAACCTTACATTAACGTTAGGTACCCGCCATCAAATATTTTGCAACTAAGATGCAAGAAAGATACAAATTTATTTTTACGACGTTATATGACACGATACACTTACATTTGTAGCTCCCGTCGTGTATAGGTAAAGCCTGTTAGCTAGTTAGCTAGACCTGGTTAACCAGTCGGATAAAAGCTAGCTAGCTTAACGTTAGCTAAGAGCCAGGTCTCGGTCAACGGCAGAATCCACACCACGATTAAAAAGTGCTTAATCTAGTTAATTCTCTGGATAGATTAATGTAAAGGAGATCAGTTTGTAAGACATGCGTGTTCTTACATTCTTAAAATATGAACTGGGGTCCTTTAATTTAACCAGAGAATTTGATTAGCCTCTATTTCATCACGGCGCGGAATCCGCCATTGACCGAGACCCCTAACAGCATTTCTCCCGCTGCGCTGCGGTTGTTTTAACATCTGTTGCACCATTTAAGGTGGAACGGGAAAATGCGACATAGAAGCTGACTTTAGCTTCTTGTTGACAGTATAATTGAAATGCAAAACGTTCGATTAACTGGATAACAACCAGAAATCTAATCTACAAAACACACTTTTTAATGTCGTTTTTGGGGAAAAATAGAAGGTAGTTGAAATATATGGAATTGTTTGCTGTTTTTTTAACAGATTTTTAAAACCAACTGTGCAGGGCCTTTCAGTGTAATTTGAAACGTGAATCCAGTCCAAAACAGACTGGAAGTGTGTGAATATGGGCAGTGGGTTACTAGTAGGCAGTTGTATTTAAATTGAATGCTTTGTAATTTGAATTACACAGCAAAGGCATTTCAGATACAGCAGATAATTTTGAATCAAACAACTTTGATGTTCTGCTGTGAAGGTACATGGATGAAGAATAAAAAATGTTGGTGAAGTGTCTGTCTGAAGGAGTTTTAAGGTATGATTTCTAGTTGCTATGATCTACTCTCATAAGCTTCTTGTTTTCAGGAAAACAGTCTGAGTCAGAGGTATCCCGCTAGCCTGTGTGATTTTCTGTGGTCAAAGAAAGCTTTGTTCAGTGTTCTTATTCTGATACTACAGTAGTGTAGTAAAACTGACTGTGAAATATACATACAGGCCTGAAACCTATTGACTTGTATTGCACATCCAGGAGCTGCTTGATAGTCCACTCATAATGAAATACAATAAAGAACATGAGGGATAATCTGTCCTCAAAGACAGGCTTATTTATTGCCCAAATATTGCAAAAATTATTAGTGTTCAGGCATTAGCAGAAATCTAAGATTAGAAGTCTTAGTGACCCAAAGCCAATTTGGAGGTATTACATTCCTTCAGTCCTACAGAAGCCAAATTCTCATTATTTTATTTTTGTGAGCAGCCAAGACCAAAATAAATAAACATTCTGCTTTATTTTTACATTTTTCATTGTTCGCACATTGTTACACAGGTCAGTTATCAATGAATTGTTAATGATTATAGAGGCCCACAAAAATCCAGTCGAATGCATGAATTATGTAGATAATACAAAGCGCAATATAATTCAGAATTAAAATTAACATTACAAACCCCTAAATCATGCAGTGTTCAGGAAAGTATTTTAATTTTTCTGATCCATGAACCCCTTCACCACTTAAATGCATGTTTAACAGATACTTTAACAGAAACAGCACAGACCCGCAAGGCTGATCATCAGCAAAACCAGCACATGGTGTGTTCAGGATGCCGGTATTCTGGTCAGCAGGAATGGAAGTTGATATGCTGATCACCACAAAACCAGTGTGTTTTGATGCTGGTCAATCAGAATGACCATGCTGGGGTGATCAGCTAAATCAGCATAGACCACTAAAGACCAGCATGAAATACTTGCTGGTCCGTGCTGTTTTTTTCAGCAGGGTTGGGAGTGCAAGTCAGAAACATTACGGTAAAAAAACAAAGATCAAATTCTTAAAAGACAAAAAAGATACACAGTCAAAGTATGCATCTTTTCCTAAGAAAGGTGAGTTTATCCAAAGTCCTTGAATTCCTTTATAATTTTTCTGTTTTGTCAAGCTGTATTAGCAGTCGAGGCAAAAATAGGCTAAAACATTAGCTGCTAGCTAGCTAGCTGTGCAGACGACTGAAGCTAAGGCTGGTTAGCTACCTAGGTTCATAGCTTCTTGTGGAACATCTTCAGCCAGCTAAATGGGGGTTACAAGCCACATGACAAAGCTTGCTGGGTTGTACAGGATTCATATGAACTGAAAACCTCAGAAAATCATTGGAAAAATAAAGTCACTCTTGTCGCTCAATGTTCCACAGCTGCCGTCGTCCGTGGCAGAGTTTTCAGACTGACCTTTAGCCTTGGGAGATAAAGTAAGAAACATTTCCTAAATGAAACAATAAATGAGGCAAAATACACAAAAACAACATCAAGCAATAAATCAGGCAAGTAACAAAAATGGCTTGAGTTAAAAAAAAATGTGCAAAAACCAAAAATGATTATAAAGATTAGAGAATATTTAAACCCTTGTATATTGACCACATTGTGGCTCATATTTTATCAACACTCTAGTAACGAAATAGCAGTTGATTCTATCAAAACCCTGCTCATTTTCAAGTTTCAATTTACATGCATTTTTTGACCCAGTTTCAGTTTTTGTTACGGGAACCCCTCAAAAACCCTAAGCCTGTATTTTTATTTATTTAGCTTCAGTGTAACACCATGTGACGGAGTTGTTTATTTCAATTTTTTAACTGCAACTATTGGCCTGATGGTGGTGCTAGAAGAGCAGGTCAGTGGGCACACAATGTTAATCCAGAACCTCCTAATGTTCATGCAGAAAAGTTCTTTTAAGCTGCTAATGAATGTTAGAGGTTCCAAAGCGTTTTTGCATCTATACAAAGTCTGATGATACCACTCGAAAGTGATTAAACACCAAAAAGGGATTAAACAGCAAAACTTTCTCAAATACAATTTTTATTTTATACTCATCTCTGTAGCAAATAAACAGAGACACAAAACAGTGTACAAAAACAAACATCAATAGAAAAGTATGCCTATATCCAAACGTCCAAAAATCAATGAAATTCTTGACATAAAATGCAAAGAAACAGCTTTTTTGTCAGAGAACAAAGATAGAATACCAAACATACATACAAATGTACATTTTGTTCTATGTGCACATCTTTATACAAAAGTGTCAATGCAAGTCACTTTGTGTACATGGTTGTTCTTAAGATGGTCCTTATGATAACAGATTTTCCTACCCATCGCAGTTCACAATCAGTACTGGGAAGGCACTTTGCAACATACGAATATATAAAAATGTAAGCAGAATACGCACACACGCACGCACACACGCGCACACACGCACACACACGCACACACACACACACAAAAACATAGTGATTGAGGAAAGAAAATAAACATTTCCAGTGATACAATGTGCCACACAAAACATTAGACAATAGATCAGCATATTAAATCATTGAGCGCTGCATCTTCCCCAAGGGCCACTTTGTCAAATAAATAAAGTACTGGAATCAGCCTAGGAAGGCTGGTCAAAAGTAAAAAGAAGACACTGGCTGACAATGAATTACATATGCTCTCTAGACAGTGAGATGAATTCATAATTTTGGAAACAATCTGCTGCAAGTCTGCCATGAAAGAAATCCCCTCACTTGACCTTAGAAATGCCAGTTGGGATGCATTCTATACAAAAATAAAATGTGAAATAATGACCATCAACCTTCTCAGATTTCGTAGCAATATAATAGAGTTCATGTTAAAAAGTGTATTTGTTACAACTTTCCTGGCTACTGTGGAAAGAATCTGCCACATAAAGAACATAATGGTAATTCCAGCCCGAAATAATAACAAAAATGTTTTACCAAGTCTTTCTCAAAGGGCCTTTAAAAACTTGCATATCAAAGCAAAATCTGTGTGCACCCACAATCTGTCAAATGCACAAAAAAGCAGGCCTTTTGCATCAGAGAGCACTTAACAGTAAGTGTGATGCAGTTAAAGGTTTTCCCAACCTCTTATGCCCTCTTAAAACGCTTGTGACTTTGTAATTAATGCTTAATTACATATGCTCACAGTAGTTTATACTGTTAGGATCTAAAAGTAAAGGAAAGCGAATTTAGATATGAAACAGTGATGACATACTTAAACATACTTTTAAACATACAGTTAATATGATCGCACACGCTGCACAAACAAAAATAAAAGACATAAGTGGGGATTTGTCGGTACCAACTTAATGGAACTTAGTCATCGTCTCAAAATATATTTCTCCATACAAACTTCCATTCATCCACGAAGGCCAAGGAAAAGATTATATACAAGGACCCCATTCACATAAGATTAAACAAACTAACAATGTTGGCCACAGATAGATATATATATACACATTTCTTACATGTGTGAACATTATACACATATCATGATAGGAACTCTTAAGTTAAGCAGGAATGTATTGAACCTCATAGAAAAAAAATCTGATATATTAAAAAAGCCCTCTGATTATATTACATTCTGAAGATAGAGACCTGGCACACGTACACACAACAATCAGGTTCTCTCAAGCGCACACACACACACACACAGAAGCTCTTTTGCTGGCCTCTTGTCAGACACATAATTCAAAGACAAAATAGCACAGCACAGATCTAAATTTAAACAACTTTATATAAACCATTTCATAAAGGAGACTGGGACACCAATATCAATAAGTTAATAAAATATACTCTTCATTTCTTGCAATATCTTACAGTCATACCTGAAGTTGGTCCCTGCTGAATATTCAAAACTCACATGCACTGTTGTGTAACCCAAAACAATCCATCTTGACAATATCTAAGATGCAAAATAAAATTGAAATGAAGTAGCGTTAACAACCATGGATTAGGGTGAGATTTAAGTGATTCATAATCAGTACTGGACTTAAATTGTGTCCCAAACATTATAAGAGGCTTGCCCCAGTAATCTTCGTACACCTAAATGTTTAGATTGCCTCAGAAGCTTAAAGGTTGTTAGATAAGCTTTGTTTTAATTGGGGGAAAAAAAAAAAAAAAACAACAACAACTGCGGGGTGCTTCATGAGCAGATTACCTATTTCATTTGTGTAATAAATTTGCCTAACAGCCCAAACTGCAAGAGGCCTGATTTTTTCTTGTATACAACTACAAAACATGAAAAAATGTATGAATAGAAAAGCTGATTAGCTGCTTCACACAAATGAGAATGGAATACATCTTGGCAAACTGACAAAAACACGTTGACAGTAAGCAACATAAAAGACGGAGTAGTCTACAATGACATTGATGATAAAAGGTAGAATTGCAGTTACTCTGAAAACTGTGGCTGTCCAGTAGGAACAAACTTACTTCCCTCACTAGGCAGTCACTTGTCTCCTAAGCCCATAGCACTACTCGCCACTTCAGAGTCCACCAGTGAGGAGGCAAAAGCCGACTGGACGATCTGAAAGCCGAAAGACTCGAGCAGTGACATGTTCTGCTGGGGGGAAAAGGGTGATCCCAGATCGCCCAGGCTGGATCCTGTCCCACTATGTTTCTTATGCACCCGCTGGTGGTGCTTGTTGAGGTAAGACTTTGTGCGGAAGGTCTGACCACATTCGCCGCAAGCAAACTTTTTCTCTGGGTCTGGTTTTTGCTTGGAGCCGCATGGCACAGCCGCTGGTCCGTCGGCCTCCCCATTGAAAACCAGAGAGGTGACCTCTAGCTCCTCACCTTCAGCCTTGTGCTCGGGCTTCAGTTCGGTTCCATTAGAAAGGTCCCCGAATGCAGTGTCCGAACCATCAGAATCCTGATGGGGGCATTTCCCAGCATTCTCCTGCCCGTCTGAGGTAAACACAGAGTGGGAAGGGGGAGGGTGGGTCAGGATAAATGAGAAAGGGCAGAAGAGGAAAGGGAAAGAGAGGGAAAGAGAGGAAAAACCTCACATTAGGCAAGATATACACACCAACTCAGATCAACAGACATCTGCATGTTTAATAAGACCATATCACAGATACTTTACTGAAAGGTTTTCAGAAATGGTGAGACTAGACAGTACAGTATCTAGGGACAGAAAGCTTTAATGATTACAAACATAAGTCTTCTAATAGTCTTCTATAACTGACCAATTTTTTTGTTAGATATGTTGTTGAGCAGATAGAGGCCAGGTAGTGAAGATTTTCATAATTAAGTTGTAACCGCTGTGTTTTAGTGCAAAAAATGTGTTGTAGGTCCAACCAAACTGTCTCAACTGGTTCCTTCTCTATCGCAAACCAGAATCAGTCAAATATCTGCTGCCTACAACGGCCCAACCGTTATGAAAATTGCAGCCAATACCGATTTTATCAGAGCAAACAACAATTCAGCTTACAATTTTATGCTTATATTTGAGCTTTTAATTTTATATTCCAATAGTTTTAGTTAAACAGTGTTTTACTGACTCATATGAATGTCAGTTCTCAATTGTCACTCGACTCAAACAACAGAAACTCACAGTCTTAATATAAATATTCAAGAACTAACAGTGAACCTACATATCATTCTTTGCAGTCTGGGTTTCTGTTAATTATTTCTACTTTCTCTTATTTTTCATTAGTTCTCTTCATTATAAAAGACAGCTTGTGTTATATTATTCTCATGAAAAATGTTTGTCATACTAACCATGATGGCGTTTTGTATTGAAATTCACCAGTTCAGCATGCACTGCCACCATATATTTAAACATGTAATGATTCATATTTGGCTTCACAGTGGCACAAGCATCTAAGGCTGCAGTTAAGAAATCATGAATTGGTATCCAAGTGACCAAAAAAAGTTTTGTTATGAGCAAAACGTTAGTAATTACCAGTGTGCCACTGTTGACACCATAAGCTGTCAAAATAGGTTGTTATTACTGGCCAATCAGCTGGGTCTTACTGCCTAGACAGTTTCATACCTTAATTATCCTTAACTGTTATAATTACAAAATAAATACAGGATCACCATATATTGTGAACAATAGTCCACAACATGAGAAAGACACACATTACATCCACTGAATAGGCCATTACTACATGGATTCTAGTCTAGTTCAACCTCTAAGCCTGCCAATATGGAGCATTTCATCAAAATTCCAAGGATACCACAAATAAAAGGGGACATTGTCATATTTCATATTTTTTTTATCAGCAACTTGTGTGGCAATAGCAAGAGATAGCATGGATCAAGCAGGATATTGTTAAGACCAGAAAGTGACCCCCAAAGCATGGATTTCTATATATACAAGCTTCTGGCTCTTGCCCAAGACTTACTAAAGAATCCTTCACAGAACTTTCTGAGAAATGCAAGTAGAACTTCTCAAAATATATATTCCAATCCTTTGATTTCTTCAGAGCAAATCACTGACTGCTTACAACATAAGAGTCTTTAAGTATGCAAATTTTCTCTACCTGGAACAAAACCCAGTAAATCTCCACAGTTTGTCTATTTTAGCTAAAGGAAAAAAAACAGTAAAAATGTCACAGTAGCCATTTTGAAGTTCCCTTATACACCGAGCTGCCAATAAATTAGGTACACAATATATTAGGCTAACCAACAGCATGATGTGCCTCTTTTGGCCTTTAGAAATGCATGAATTCTCCGGGGAATGGATTCTACAAAACTCTAGATCCATTGTGCAACAGTGCTGATTCATAAGGAAATGTGTTGCACAGTTGCTGCAGACTGGACAGCTGCACAGTTTTGCTGTGAACAGCCCTTTCCACCTCATTCCAAAGATGCTTGATAAGGTTGATATCCAGGGAATGTTCAGGACTCTGAAGCAGTAAAGACTCACTGTCATATTACTGGAACCATTCAGTTATGATGCATGCCTTGTGTACTTATCATACTGCAAGTTCCACAGGTACTTGTTTGTGTACATGTACATTTAGATGTCCATACACATGGACTGCGAATGCAACTAATAAACAAATGAGAAAGTAGACAAAGAAACTATGCAGCTGCTTTCAACTCTGCTATGATGATACAGTTGATTAGATGGTCCTTCATGCTATTGGGGACGCTTCGGAACACTATAGGTCATGTGTCGCCTTCGAAATTTGAATGACCAGATCACAAAGTGCCGTCCACTTATGATCAAAGCACCCAAAATGTATGTTAATGCAAGGTGTAAACAGGGACAAAGTATAAGGGGTACGTTGTTCTGCACACCAGTGTTGAATTTTGAAGTAGTCTGCATGGTTGTGGTCTGTTTACTTTCACAATTCTCGATATGCTACTTTGACCTCTCTCATTTTCGTCCACAGAACCACCACCATTCACACACAATTTTTGCCCCATTCTCAGTAAACCTCTGAAACGGATGTTTGTGATAACCTCATGATGACCGCCATTCAGATCATGCTAGCCAGGACTAGCACACACTGTAGTCACATGGACTTAAGGTATAATCTGTGTGAAGTTGCGGGGTGTACCTATTAAACTGGCAACTCAACATAATGTTTGTTGTAACAATCCAGAACACCTTTAACTGCTTACATCCTCAGTTGTATAAGCAGCATTTATCTTGTCCCATGCCCACCCTCCAGCCGGCCCATACTGACCTGCGAGAGGCCCATGCAGCGGGAAGCCTGGTGCTCCAGCAGAGCGGCACTCCCAGAAATAGGGAGTCGTCCCTGGCTTGCCCAGGAGCAGCTCAGGCTGCAAACCAAGAGCAGGAGGGCCTGGCTGGGGGAGAACCGGAGGCCCAGAAAGCCCCCGAAATGACCCCTCTGTCTCAGGAAAGGTAACCAGGAGCCGGCGACTGGTACAAAGGTCTACACCATCATAAACCACCCCAACAAAGGAGAGAGGAGGTGAGGGGTTGAGACAAGGGGAGAGACAGAGAGGCCATGGAGGGGGGTTTACAGTCAGTACAGTCAGAATGATGATTAACTTCACATCAGTTCATGTGCTGAATGATGCACCCTTCGAGTATAATTCACACTCAGTCTGACCAATATCGGCACAGGTGAATGAATCTTTTTCCTTCATTACTTGCCAAGCCTGCAGACTTATTGTTGGAGCTTAAGTTACTGAAGTGATGATTTCTGTACTGATGTAAAGTTAATGATTCATTTCTGATGTATTCCTACTTTTACCATTCCTCATTCCTCACATAAATCCCTGAAACTATTATTTGTGAAAAAATGTATATAATAATGAAAATAACCACACCGACACATATTGCCCACAACAGTACTTCCAACTAAGTGTTGTATAATATATACAATTTGTGTGAAGGTGTGGGGTGTAACTAATAATAAACTGGCAACTTAGAATAATGTTTATTGCTACCAAGACTTGAATAAAATTAGTCTGTTGGATGACTAAATGTACTTCTGGCTCTAACTTTTTCCTCAGTGGTGTTCCCACTACTAAAAGTTAAACATACTGAGCATCAAAATATATAGGAAATTATTTTGTCCCCAACAGATTTTCTTAACCATGTAAAATATTTAACCACATAGCACATTATCACAAGAACCAGAAGTCATCTTCTTCTCTAATATCCTCTCAGCATACCCCAACAACAGGCTGCCGGTTTGAATGGCAATAATTGTTTGAAAAAAGGTCCATTGAATCTCAAAAGAATTACAATAGATTTTTGCACATGCATTCATGGAAGTTGCTGAGAAAACATTTGTTTAGCCAGCATGAGATGGAAATGACGGAAAGCAACAGACAGAAATATATCGCCATGCTAACGTGAATAGCAATATAGGGAGACCAGCTTCATACTAGACAAAACTGGTAGGGCTGCAACTATGATTCTTTTGTTACACTATGGCAAATCGACCAAATGACCAATGACATATTCTGAATTTAAGACATGAAATGTTAGGGAAAGGGATTAGTGTTACTGCACTTATGTTTTAGTTTAATTTCTAAAAAAGATTAACTTGCTTTCAAACAGAACATTGCAGCCTTACTTGAATGTGCACCTTGACTTTAAACAGCACAAGCCAACTGCAGTGGTACATGTGGATACATGTGGTTACATGCAGTGTAGTAGCCAGCAGACCGGTCAGTCAGCTTTTTTCAGGGGTTCCTAAATATTCAAGTTCAAGTTTCTACAGCAGGCTTTTCACATGCTTATCATGTTTTTCCATAATCCCATTGGAAAACTGACTGGATTTGGGTATTCTGACAAACTTTTGTGGAGTCTTTCACTGAAATACAAAACAAAGCTATCTAAACCAAAATGATCACATTCCACTGTGCTAGAATATGTACCGGATATTCATGCTAAGCCAGAACAGTCGTCAGCCTCAATTGCAAGTAACTTGATATAAACAGGAACTCAAATGCTGCTTCACAGATTTTCTCTAAATCTGATACAATATTGTAATGTCATGATATTTTCATCAAAAATCTCTCCCAGTGAAAAGCCTGATTCTGGTTGAAGAACACCATTCAAAGTGTGACCTTCACTTCTGTTTATAACAATGTTTCCATCATTCTATAGAAATTAAAGCCCAAAGTGTAATCAAACCTTATAGTAAGGTAATGCAGAGTCAAAATTTCCAAGTCCTAGAAATATGACTTACATTCATTCATTTCACGGAAAAAAGAATGATGGAAGTCAGCTTTGGTGAAAAATTAGCTCAATATGCATGTATGAATGTTTGTGAAGTGTTTGCGCAAGCAGATGCAATATTTAGCAGCAGGGTGAAAGAGCGAGTGAGCGAGCGACAAGGACGCTGTGGGGAGAGGCTTGCTTGCCTTCCACTGCGCACTGGCGTCCTGAGTGGTAGGGGGCGCCGTTGTGTGTCTGCGGCCCGTTGGCACGCGGCTCGAGGAACTGGTGAGCTGTGGAGGGAGGGAGCATGGACGAGCCGTGGTGCGTTTTTACATGTACCTTAAGGTAGGACGCAGTGGAAAAACCTGAAACCATTGGAGGAGCAAAAAAGCAAAACAAAAGAAAGAGAAGAAAAAAAATAGAACAAGCACAGATTTGTTTTTACATCAAGAGGAGAATCTGTTATTCCCTTGAAGTTTATGAGAAGGACCTTGACTCTGTACTTTTCACTATGAATGAATCCACTTAACACTGGCTTCAAGTATGATGATCACTAAAGAATCAGCAACCCTCAAACTGTTGGTCTTAAAGAAACATCTTCCCATAAAGAGTCTTAGACCTTGAAGCAATCATTCAATTCTAAAAGAGCTTGTTTGTTTTACTTGTTAACTAAAGTAGTTGGTGAATCAAATTTCATCCAATACCTTCAGCTTTAACATTGGTCATTATGTGGACACAAGTTGATCTTCTGGCACACATGCAAGAGCTCTCTCACAAGTGCCTAAAATCAATCTTCGTATTCTTCGCCAATTACAAAGAATACAAACGGCTCTTGTGAGAGACACCTAAAAAACGCAGAATTAGTTGTGTGTATAAGATTTACCTTTATTGCATATGCTGCAGTAGTTGTGAGGTCCTTCGCTGTGTTTTTTCAGATGGTCCGTCATATAGGCAGCCCGTAAGAACTTTCCACACACTTGGCATGGTATTTTATCCTCATGGCAGGCCAGGTGTGACCTCAGACGATCCCGTGTTGCAAATGATGCATTACAAATCTGTGAAAATAATATAAAAAAAAAGTATGACATACGTTAAAAATGTTTCATTTAACAGCAATTCATTTTCAAATTCCGTGAGCAGTGATCCAGGTCTCTCACCTGACATTTATGAGGTCTTTCTGTGGTGTGTACCTGTTTTATATGTCCATTTAGATGATCTGGCCTGCAAAGAACAAACGCATTAAACTGGATTGTGCAGAGATACACTTCTGAAAGAGCAATCATTCCAAAAGTGATGATTCAACTTAGAGTTGGATGATAACCATAGCAAAGCTATAACATCACTACCTTCATAATACACAATAGGCATCACGATAGTTTCAATACGTTCCAAGTGTCAGACTTAAAAAAAAAACACTATGAAGACAATAACTTTTCAAAGCTTCACATACTGCACTAAAACCAAGTAAACAGGACTAATTATGCTCTCTTTGTAATGAAAAATCCAGTTGTCTCGTGTTATGTAACTAATAATAAGTATAAATACAGTAATCAGTATTGATTACAGCAATAACATGCTCAGGAAAGCCTACTGTGATGTCATGTTATGTAATTTATCACAACAGCGTTAAATATCATCATATTGCCTGCCTCTACTTCCATTTGCACATCTTTTAAAGGAATTATCATGGACTGAATTTCATACTAAGCAAATGTGTCAGGTTTGTGTTTATTCAGTGTTTATATTTTGGAGAATCAACTTGACCCTCCAAAAGTGTCACTTACTACATCCATCAGAAAATCAAACCATTTTCCTAAAAAGCACTGAATTATGTAGCAGGGGGTGGGCGAAATGGCAAAAACAATATCACAATACTTCAAGACGTTTCCATAACACACGATAGGCATAAAGATATTTAGTTTTTCTGAGACTGAATCAGTTTAAAACAACAAAATAGAACTTCTAGTGCCAAAATATAATAATAATAATAATAATAATAATAAACAACAAAAACAATAACATACCAATGACTACAAACCAATGACTACAATTATTTTTATTTAATGTTTTGCAAACTGTGCTATACTAAATCCAATTAAACAAGACTAACAATGCTCACTTTATAATGAAAGGCGAGGTTAGTGTTCTGATGATATCCATGACATGCTCAGAAAAGCATATTGTGATTTAATTTTATCACACTAACGATAAAATACCATCATACTGCCCACTGTTATGTAGACACGTGACTTTCAATGATTTCAGTTAATATTTGTATGGCAACAGAACATGCATAGTACTGGTAAACCCTATAAACAGGTTGACTGTAGGGTGGGCAATATAATGATATTTATCATAATCATGATAAATTACATCACAATATGCTTTTCTGAGCATATCGTGGACATCGTCCGTTTATAAAGAACACTAAACAACTGCATATTTCATTACATGAACAGCATAATTAGTCCTGGCACTACTGTGTTCTTTTTTATCTGTTCCAACTTATCGAATCTTAAAAAAGAAACAAAATATCGTGATGCCTGAAAATATCTTGAATATCGCAATACTATAGCTATTTGACCGAATCACCCAACCCAAATCTGACAGCTTCACAGATAGTAAAGTTACACTTCTGGAGTACAAAGATCGATTCGACAAACAGTAAAGATTTGAGCCCTACCAGCTCTTGGACAAGTTGGTTTCTAAACCCCAATAAAATGCTCTATTCTTGGAAGCTTCTTCCAGCCTAAAGCCAACATCCCAGCCAACCAACGGTGGTAAATGAGACTCACCTCGAGAAGCCTTTCCCGCAGCTCTGACACACGTACGGTTTGCCCACCGAGCCGTCGTGAGAGCGGACGTGGTAAGACATCCTGTCCTTTCGCTTGAAGCGCAGGCCACACACGGGGCAGGCGTAAGGCTTTTCTCCAGAGTGCGACAGCTTGTGCCGGTTCAGATGGTACACGTCTCTGAAGACTTTCCCGCAGAGCTCGCAGCCCACATGCCTCCGCGTCCTCTCTCGCTTGCGGTGGCCGTCGGCGGCGCTATGTGGCGGCAGCCCGTTTTCGTGCGGCCCCGCCTGGCCCTGGACCTGCGGGATCACCACCGCCTGGGCTATGTCCGCAGGGATCAGCTCTCTTCCCCTGCCGCCACCGAAAGCTCCATGCTCCGCCTCATGACTCCTCAGCTGCGCGGCGTCTGTAAACATCTTCCCGCAGACGGCGCATGCTAACAGGCCTTCGCTGTCGTTAGCAGGACCGTGCTGGCTGCTGCTGTTGTAGGAAGAGACCACGGCTCCCCCCGCTGCACCTTCTTTCTTCGGTCTTCCCCTGCCTCGTTTGGAGCCCGGAGAACCCTCGCCGTTTACGGAGTTTCCTGTGAGGTGAGACGGGGACAGCCTGTTAGTCGGCATGGACGCGAGGGATCCGTCACTAGTCGGCGCCGGACCACCACCACCACCGTCCCGGTCAACAGCACACTGCGGCGGCCCATGATCAGTGAACACGGCGCCGTTGGCGACGTCCAAATGCGGTGGGCTTGACAGGTCGCTGGCGGCGGCGCGGGGAAAGCTGTGCTCCCCTCCTCCTCCCCGCGAAGGAGGGACAAGGATCTGCACGTTGGACTGCTTGATCACCTCCTGGCAGATCTCGATGACGGAGCGCATGAGCAGGAACTTGGCGGCCGTCATGAGCTCCGGGAAACACTCGAGGCGCACCACGATCCGCGAGGTGTACGCGAAGTCCAGGATGTCGCGGAAAACTTTGGGGCTTATAGTGTGCATCTCCAGCTCCTTGCCCTCGCCGTCGCCCTCCGCCGGACAGCTAAACACCGACTCGAAGTACTCGCTGCACGCCGCCAGCACGGCCTTGTGCGCGGGGAAGCTCTCCTCGCCGACGCGCAGGATCACGTCGCAGAACCTGCCTCCATCTTTTCTCTGGCTGTTGAGGTTGTGGAGCATCTCGGCGCTGTGCTTGCTCACCTGGTACGTGTAGGAGGAATTCCACGGCTGCTCGGTCCTCTCCATGCCGCCCGCGTTCAAACAGAGACGACTAAATGCATAGGACAAAACGCAAAGAGAAACCCGGCGCCCGAGGTAAAGAAAAAAGCAAACAAAAAGCTCTTTTTTAACGGCGAGCACCCCTCTCCGCTTTAGCATCTAACATGTTAGCAGGCAAAAAATGGCAGCCCCCCAGCTTCCTGTGAACTTTACCCTTTATTTGGAGGGGAGGGGGTATCCGTCCTTGTTTTGTTTTATCGCCCGTCGAAAAAAATGAATGGATTCGCTTCTTGACAGCGACAGACAGACCGAGCACACTCCACCTGTCTCAGCAGCTCGCTTGCACTGCTAGAATGGAGGTTTAGACTTTATGCATTTTGCACATTGTTCATCTTCCTGGTTTCTAAACCCCCCACCGCTAGGCCGTTATGAATTCACATCCTTGTTTTCCAATGAGCCCCCTCCCCCTTTCACACCCCTCCCCCCAAAAAGTGTACACCATTGCAGTCAGGGCACTTAAAGCGCACGACATGCGCTATGCTTCCAACTTTACACATCGTCGGGTTACGCTGTTGTAGTACAGACACAGTTTGGGAAACGTAGGGAATTAAGCTGTTCACCGGAGCTGATAGACGTAGGCTCCGCCCCCTGTGATCTCTGCGAGGGGAAAACAAACCGACCCCCTCCCCTCCTGCTTCGGGTCTTCAGACACCCAGCCAAAGCCGACTAAATCCTCTCTACGCACAGTTCGCGTGTACGTCCCATGTATTTATGCTACCTCAGAGTAATAAATCGACACCTGATGAAACCAGGTTGAAAAATGTATCTAACGTGGTCACAAGTTGCTTTTATGGTTTTTTGTGGCTTTCTTTAAAAAAATTCTAGGACAAGGGCTCTACATGTGGATGCCAAATGAGATGATGAGGTCAGTGGGTCAAAGACCCTGCACTCTGAAAACAGATGTGTTAAAAATCACCACTTTCTGTCTCTGACTAAACACATCAGTGGGTTCAGTTGAAGACAACACAGTTTGATTTACTTTTAACACAAAATGTGTTGAAATATTTCTGTGCCCATTTACGGATAACACATTTTAACACACAGATTGTGTTAAATCAGGGTGCTATTCTGTCTCTGATACCACTGTGGCATCAGTGTAGAGTAAAACGCAGGAGGCCATGATTTCCACCATTAGAAATGTTCTTTATTAAACATCAGGCAGAAAGACACATACAGAAGTACGAACCCACGGGGGAGGTCAGCGCTAGCCACAGGCTTTACCCTCACGGTGACGCCACTTCACACACAAACAAACTGCACCCCAGGCACAAAACAACACAATTAAAAACATGCCTACCCCCTAACTAACAGACAACAACATAAACAACAATAAACAGTCCTTTTTATGAGGGTGTGTGCTTACGATGAGCTGTCACACGTGACCACTCACATGGCCACACTTCTTGAGCTTCTCTGAGGTAGTAGGAGTCAGTAGTGGGTGGTCACATACCCATAATAAGGAATAGGATGATAAGCAAACAATGCACTGTATGAGATTAAATTCTCCTCCAACATCTTCTAGTAGATCACTTCATTCATATTTTTTCAGTGAAGCATAGTGCCCCAGAATCATTTGCAGAGAAGCAGTTCCATATCATGATGCTCCTACCTCTGTACTTTTCTGTGGGAATGATGTTCTTCGGGACATACTTGCAACCCTTAATTATGGTTTCATAAATTTTCTACTTGCATATTATCAAACAAATCATACTGACAAGGATGTTTAAGACCTTAGGACTATCTAGCCTTTTCCATTCCATTGTCGTTTAATAATGTTGTTCCTAAAAAATTTTGAAAGCTCCTTCACCTTCACCATGATTGCTAGCTGTTGCTTTAAAAGTTCCCAACAAATGGCAGCATCTTTATTTTAATGAGACCAGGTGCAATTTGCATGAAAACATTGTTATTTTTGCAACATTCGTGTCTTTAATTTTTACAATATAGTGTTATTATTATATGTATGCATATATGCTTATGAACATAAATATGTATTCATGTATGCTTATGAAGTTTTATTTATTTTTATATTTATTGTTCATATTTCTAAGTACAAAGATAAAAAACATTGTGCATGTAAATATGAAGTGGATATATGCACTGCAAGTATATTAAATAACAAAAAAGTGTCTGCATACTTATTTCCCCTCCCTGTAAGTCTGATTGCAGATTTCTAATGAGGATATACCATTAAATGAAGGGAAAATATTAGAAATAATTAGAGTGAGGGAATAATGTAATAGTATTTTCTAATGGAAGAATTTAATGATATAAGAAGCAGCAAGCTAGGATAAAATAGCATATAATATTTATAACTTGTGTTTTAACTGCTGAGACTTCTAGCAGTCCCAAAAACCCAGTAACAGCCTCATTAGTAAGAACAACATTCATCAGCAGTTCCAACTCTTGGTTATCCCATTCTCTGTTACTTTTTTCTAACAAATTTCAACCGCATTGCCTAATTTTCAAGACATTTGTGAAAAGGGTCACATGAAGAGGTGTGCTAATGTGTGCTAATTCTAATCATTCTGTCCTCTAGTTTTAATTACATATTGCTCTTACCAAAAACAGATTTCCCCTCAGTAACCATTTCCTTTTGTATGTTTGTGTGTCAAATAACACTGAGAAGTACAACTGCATTGAACGTGTCACTGGGTGGAATATTACATGCAAAACATGCTGCCATGCTCCCTGTTGTCAAGCTTAGGCCTTCTAATAGTGACATGACTTTTCTGTGAACATTGCAAAACCTAAAAAATGTTTTCTCTATCCGATTTATGTGACAGGATGGACAGGGTGGTTATGCTTGACATTCCCTGTCAAGGTTGAGAAAACAACAAAATGTCAGCATTGAATAAAAGAAAAAAATTACCAGCTTTTGACACTGGCTCACCTGAACCCTTAAATGACGTCACTCACTCTTTATCATGTCACTTAATGTGACAGTACATTGTAATTTGTGCTACAACACTTGCCATTTTTCTAGCACCAGTGCCACCTGCTCAAACGTTTACATCCAGCCCTGATGAAGCTAAATTGACTTTAAATCTTCTTTCTTTTACATGTGTAAAAATACAGTTACAGATGCCACAGAACTCCTAATACACACTTATACTTAGATAAAAGTCAATGCGTTGAATTTATCATGATTCAAATGTGAACATCATTTCAACATTAATAAAATATATTAATATATTGTATTCAAGAGGAAATTATGTAACCGTTAGAATCAAATGAAGTCATTGCATTCCTTTTTCAGTGTTGCTACCATGGTTACACAAGTCTAAGGATTTGATTATGGCATCACCGTCATTTTGTGATCTCTTGGCGTTCCACAGTTCCTAACTGTAAACTCTCAAAATCAGTACAGTCCAGAGAATTGTCCTTTACCTCATTTTCAACAACAACACTTTCTTTCCTCAGTGTGTGATCTTCTGTGTTTTCTTGTCCAGGTATGCATATGGTTTTGTATTAGTTAATATTACAGTCAACACAGACACAGTGAAATTAAATGGATTTCACCTCTTTGCTACTTTGGATTATTTTAATGCTAAACACCAGGAGAGGATGACCTCCTGCTCCTCAAACCTGAATAACTGCACAGCAGGTCCAGGCCAGAAAATGACTGCAGGCTGGAAACGCCAGTAGATAAAAGAGAGGAGACATCAGTCTTGTTTTAGGTTACATAAACCCCTAAAAACACCCAAATTACACCTAGCATTACCTTTAAAAGGTTTTATACTAAGACAAATGTTACAGATGTTTTACAGGCACAGAAAGTGGTGCTAATCGCCAATCAGTGGCATTATCTGAACAACTTCATTTAGTCATCCAGCTGAGATGTAACAAATTGTCATTTTGCGGATGTTTAACTGTTCAGGCCGGTACACAAAAAGGGTTCTTTGGAGTGATTACACAGAAGAACTGTTTTTGCTTCACTAAAGAACCTTTCAGTGGTTGGTTATTTAAAGACCCATTCTGTCAATGAGATGGATGAGTGGGAGAATACGTCTTATAGTTTAAACATCTGCATAATGTCCAGGAATGCATTTAGGAACCTGTTTAACTGAAGCACTTCATACTAAAACCTAAATGATCACAGTGGAATGAAGACATTCCACTTCCTCAAACCTTCTCCCAAAGTAATTTTGTTTTTTGTACTTTAAGACATCATTAACATGTCACAGAAGGTTTTCTTTCAATGAGATATGAATCTGTTTCCCCTCATTGCAGCTCATTAACTAAACTACGTCGCTGTTTGGGTCAAAGAATCTTTGAACACATCCCATGTGATACTGTCAGCCTTTGAAGACATCACCTCCTCTACAACAGCAGCCACCAGCCCTGCGCCTGAAGAACTACCTTCTTGCAGGCTTTAGCTCCAAACCCAACCCCTTCTAACCCCTTGACCCCTTCTGATCAATGTAATTATTCCTTTTAGAAGTCTTGATTAGCTGAAAGAGGTGTGTTAGATTTGGGTTGGAGGTGAAACCTGCAGGTAAGTAGATCTACAGGAAGAGGGTTTGTGACCACTGCTCTACAACATTTACAGCTTCAATAGTTTTGTAGAACGCAAAATAGATCAATATTTAAGTCTCTGGAAATCACGTTTAAGTCAGTGAGTCAGCCATTATACACTATATGGCCAGTAGTATGTGGACACCTAATCATTGTGTTCAGGTGTTTTAGCCACACTTATTGCAGGTGTATAAAATCAAGCACACAGCCATGCAATCTCCATGAACACTGATAATAGAATGGGTCATACTAAAGAGCTCAGTGACTGGCACTTGAAACGTGGCACAGGTCACATTCCATAGGATGACAGCCTTTACCACAAGTCAGTTCATGAAAAATCTGCCCTGGCCAACTGTAAAGCAAATTAATGTGAAATAGAACCACCTAGGTGCACAACAGCTTGGCCATGAAGCAGTAGACCATGCAAACTTGCAAAGCAGGGCTGCCCAGTGCTGAAGCATATTATTCTCTGTTGCATCCCTCATTACAGAGTTCCAAACTGCCTCTGGAAGCAACATCAGCACAAGAACTATTTTATAGTTATAATAGGTTTCCATTGCCTAGCAGCTCCATACAAGAGCACTATGCATAATGCCAAGCCTCAACTGGAGTGGTGTAAAGCATGCCACCACTGGACTCTGGGGCACTGGATATGTGTTCTTGCAAGTGCTAAAAGACACTTCTATATCTGGTTGTCTGATGGACAAATCTAGATTTGGCAGATGCCAGGAGAGCGCTACCTGCCAGAACGCACCATGCCACCAGTAAAGTTTGGTGCAGGAGGAATAATGGTCTGGGGCCGTTTTTCAGAGTTTGGGCTCGGCCCCTTAGTTCCAAGTGAAGGGTAAGATTAGTGCTACTGCATACAAAGACATTTTAGACAATCATATACTTCCAGGTTTGTAGCAGCAGTTTGGGAAAGGCCACTGTGCCCAAAGCAAGGTCCATAAAACAGATGATTTGACAAGTTTGGTGTGGAGGAACTAGTGGCCTCCACAGAGCCCTGCCCTCAAACCCACTAAACACCTTTAGGATGAATTGTAACATCAATTGCGTGCCAGGCCTTCTCATCAGTGCCTGACCTCACAAATGCTCTTTTGACAAAATAGGCACAAATTCCCCCAGATACACTCCAAACATATGTTAAATAACATTCCTTGCTTGGTGCAAATCCTGTGGGTGGAGTTCATGTTCTCTGAACCATGCTGCTATGAACCAATACGTTTTTGCCAAGAGAATGTCATGGCATTGAAAACCCAGGAACAGGAAACAAAGGCAAGGAAAACCAATTTAACAGAAAAACGCTGCAATTTTTTTTTCTGAATGCATGCTGGCTCCTGGACAACGGCTCAGCACAGCCTAATCAAACTAGGTGCAGTACTTAGACTTGAATATAAAACTCAACAGGCAGTTTTCAGCACTTCTACAAATAAAGCATCACATCAATCACTAGAACGAATAAGGCTGAGTTTTTAATAATACTGTTTTCACAAAAATGTGATTTGTCCAATTTATTTTTCTAATCATCTTGTAACCAAATGCAGTTTTGCCACCATGTTGTCATTGTATGACTCCCCCCGACCCCTAAATAGCCATGTTTGAATCCACCCTCCCTCCCCACAGATTAACAAAAAACAAAAACAGTGTGAATCATTTTTATTGAACATTTTTTATCCTATTTGTGCTTCTTTAAATTAATAGCACATTTCTTTGACTTGAACCCCTGCCACCCTAAAACAATGTGATTCAGAGCAGTGCTTCTCTTTCAGTGACTATGAAGGTGGAGGGCTGGAGGGAGGAAGAAAAGAAAGAGGGGGAGGGGAAAAGGCACATACACACTGCAGCCCCCCCCCGGGCTCAGCTCTAGCATGTTCCAGCTACTTTTGTCCAGCGAGAGGTTGGGCTTATGGATCAGGTGAGCATTGTTCCAAATCTGTAGGCATTCTCAGTCCAGCAAACCAGTAATCCACAGTGCAGCCTCTCTCCACTCAGTCAAAACTCAGGTGTGGGAAATGTAGAACCCCACAACTTGAGAAAACAGGGTCAGCCAAAGGGAAAAACCCAACTCTTCAGTGCCCCCATTCTTTGCCTCGAAAGCCTTCCCCACAGCAAGACGGAAGGGGAGAAAAGAAAAAGAAAAAAATTCCACTCGCATAGTCTGTACAATTCTGGCCTATACATTATTTACTTCTTTACTGCAAATAAGCTGAAAAGAGAAAAAGAAAAAAAAAAAAAACAAACAAAAAAAAACAAAAACACACACACCCTACTTTACTTGATAGGACAATGGTGACTGGGGGAAAAATGTCCAGAACTCATCCTTTTCCCTTTTTCTCTTAACTTTTAGGCCTTTTTACAACTACCACTAACTGCAAGGTTTATAACAGAGTATGTAAAACACACAGGGCTCTGTCATCTGTACATTATCATAGAAATTAAAGTTCACGTTTTTTTTTTTTCCAAACTAAACAGGTCAGTGGGGAAGGGAAGTCTTGCTTTACTCTGCAGAGTTGCAGGATGATGTCACTGGCGGAATTCCAGTTCATCAACACTGATTACTTTAGTTGAAGGCATGGAAGGGAGGGGCTGCTGCAGTACATCAGATCCAAACCACTTGGCCAGGCCTAGAGGTGGGCTCCCCCCTCTCCGCTGGGAATGGTTTGTCCGATGTGCACTGTGGCTTTGCGACTGAGGGGCTCCAGTGGGCCCTGTATGAAGACCTACAGAGAAAGTGCACAAGAGCCTCAGTTACATAATTACCTGTGCAATTCCTAAACACAGCTTGCCTTCCTTGTTTGATTACATACTTATTATAGAACTGAGACTGTGACTGAGCTTAAGGTACTTACTCGGTCTCTGTTGCTGCATGACTGCTAACTGCATGTGTGTCCCGGCAGCTCTTGGAGGGATGAGGGGATGCCCTGTCGTGCCTAGAGGATACAGAGACTGACCTAAAAGAGCAGGGGGCAGTCCTTGTAGCTGGGACAGATCGACAGTCTGGGGGAACATTCCTGTCAAGAGAGGGAGAGGGATACACACACCTAAACTTAAGGGCCCAAGCCCAACAGAATAGTACAATTCATAGTTAACTAATTACAAACTGTACACACCCTAAAACGTGTGCCCAAAATTAGCAAAAAGGATTCTACACCCACACAAAACTTCAATTAAAAATTCTGCAATTAAACACCAATTCACAAACCTGTCTGTAACAGTGCAGGTCCAAGCTGCTGAGGCTGTATGCCTTGGGCAAGCATCCTCTGTACCACACTGGGATGTAGCTGTGGTGGTGGAGGCCTCACTAAAGGGACATGAGACAAAAGGGGTGCTGGGTAAATCACTCTAGGGAAGGTGGAAGAGGAGCTTGGGGACAGCATGGCAGGAGTGTGGTGCCCAGTAGTGGAGCTGGGCCTGGGTCGTTCTGGCTCTTTAGAGTGGCGATTCTGGGCAGATACAGGTGTAGAGCAGGCTTTTACTCCACCTGTCTGAGGCCCACTTGTGTCCACACCCTCAAGGAAGGAACTAGGGGAAGGAGTTTCTGTAAAAGTAAGTACAAAAAGGTTAAGAAAGAAAAGAAAAGAAAGAGCACATCCACACAAACACCCTAGGACATCAGAATTAAAGTCAAGGATGAAATCTTACCATCCTGCGAGTTAGCCGTGTCTTCTTTGCTTCCTGGCCTGCTCGTTGGCTCATCTTTACTCTTTTCCTTTGACTCATACATCTTTCTTATTACTGAAGTGGGAGTAAAGGATGGGGACAGCTGCAGAAATTAGTAAAATGTCAGTACATTTCAAAATTCGTCAAACCTACAACATAAGCAGTTTCTGCATAGAAGGTTGGTACCAAAAAAAAATATATATATATATAAATAAATATTATATATTAATTTTCTTTTAATAAAAAAATACTGAAAAAGCTGACAAGGCAATGTTAAAGGAGCTAGGTAGCATGCAGGGGTTAAACTGGGCTAGAGCTCGCTGGAGCAGAGCACTGGCACCCTTATGTTAGTGTGAATGGAAAAGCAGAGCTCAGCTCCAGTACTATAATCTGATGGAAATGTTAATAGCTTCCAAAATTTTATTCACACACACACACACACACACACACACACACACACACACACACACACACACATATATACATTGTTATATACAAAGTAGCACAGAAACCAATAAGTGGTGCAAAATATTTTTGGCTCAACTGCCATGACAGTCTCACCATGCTAGTGACAGCAGCGACAGGAGAATTCCTGCCTGGTGGATGGGGGCCAGGGGATCGGTTCATCCTTGGCTGTCTACAACACACAAAAAGCCCCTCAATATGTTAAGATTTCTACAGTATTTGACATTTACCTTGTAGGCCAGTGTTTCCCAACCGTCGTCCCGAAGGCACATTGCCCTGTGCATTTTAATGTTTCCTTGCTTTAACACACCCAATTCAACCCAGTAAAGTTTGTTAATGAGCTGATTAGTTGGAACAGGTCTGCTGGGAGCAGGGAAAATTTTAAAATGTGCAGGACAGTATGTCTCCAGGACAAAAGTTTGGGAACACTGTTCTAAGCAGTCAGACACTGTACCTGTTCCGGTAGGCTTTATCATGACTTTGTTTATTGTAGCCTTGTTGGTACTGATGGCGAGCATGAACTGCCAGATCCTGCTGGAACATTAAGGCATCCAATTCTGCCTGGTCCACTCCCATCGACAACACCCTCAACTGAAACATATTTTAAACAGCGTCAAAAATGTATTATACGGCAAACAAATATTACAACTGAGTACTATAGCAATATTTGTAAAAATCTAACCTGCTGTGGAGTGGGCCCAGGACTTATGGCTCTGTGCATCTCAGGAATCTGATCCCCCAGTATCTGCTGCGAACCAACAGGGAACCCTGGGTGTAAAATTCCAAAACACATTAAAACCACAAATATATAGTCAAAAAGGTGCCCTGAAATATTAGCCAGCTAACACTGGGTTTCAGTAAACACAGAAGTCCTGGTTCACACTAACAGTAAACAACTACTGTTTCCACAATTTCAAGCATACAGCCATAAGGAAAACCACCCAAACTTTCCAAAAAACAAATCACATTTGATGTCTCAAAACAGAAGCTGACATTTCAACTTCTGCTGCTTCAGTCAAACCATCACAACATGTGAGAAGAGCAAACTACAGATACTATGAACTGACTTCATGAATTTTAATTTAACTGAACTTATTTTTCAAAGTGCTTAATGCAGCACAACAACCTGTAAAGAAGGTCAACATTTTTTGCCTACTACAATAATCCACACTAAACCAAAAGAGGTAAATAATTTCAAACTTTTTACTGCAACGTGAACCAAGTAGTTATACCTGTTCCTGGTTGCATGCAGCCTGCGTAGAAGTCCTGAATGGGAGCTCTCTGAGGGAAAAGAGGGGGTGAGGGGCCACGGTGATGCATTAGGCCAGGGGCAGGAGCAGGTGGGGCATCAGGATTCCCAAGCAGACCACTCAGGAGCGGAGAGCCTGCCCGTGGAGCACCCTGAACACCTAACAACTCCTACAAGATAAAGAGAATGACTAAATGTTCTTTGCATTTCAAAACAGCACTACCATGCTGCAGGCATGCCATACTTCCCCAAAAAAAAAAATGTTCATAAAACTGAAGGATTTTTACATGAGTAAATATCCTTTACTGAACTGAGAAAGCATGCTTTAGATGTCAGATTGATTAGTCACCTGGAATATGTTTTTCTGTTGTGTAGCAGGTACCTGAGCCTCAGACATAGGGCTCAGGATCACAGCATCTGCCGACTGCTGCAGCTGTGCACAAAGGAAGAAGGGGCAGATTTGCAACTAAGCCAGGTATTAAGACACATTGATCCAGTGAGCCCAGTGATTCCCACTCCCAACAATGTGATCTTGAAAGCTTCAGATTTGCCTCATTTATGTTTTCCCCAGAAAAAATCACTTGTGCTGGAAAAAGAACAGATCACTACACCATGGCATAAAGTCAGAACTCAAACCAACTGTGCAAAGAGCGAGTGACAAAAGCACCTTCAAAACAATACAAAATCTCCAGTACCACTTCAAAACAGGCTGACACATGAAGACCCAAAATAATACAAAACTTTTTCAGCACTATGTGACTGTACTGATGAAACTCTAAGCTAAAATAGGCAAAAAACAAGTCCTCTGCACATACACAATCTGCTTTCCCTTATTTCACTCAGAGCTGACAGAACAGGCATGCCTTAACACTGTGCATCATAGGCTAATGCAGCAGATGACCACTGGGAGAAAAAGGAAATGAGTTTAAATTTGGGTGTACAAATGTTTGTCAACCCAGTTACTACCAATGGCAGAAATTTGACTTTACTTCCTCACTTCTCCCCAAAGATCAATGCCAATGTGTAAAACAACTGCAAATCAGCTGATAAACTTCAGTAAGCCAATAAGGGGGCTCTATTCAAACATGAACCTTTATCCCCAACTCAACGCCAATGCCAAGTATAAGCAGCACTGAATTTCCAATTTAGTCAAAAACATGATTCAAGGCACATTAACAATGTAATTGTTTAAATATTTACATAGTAATAACTGAGGATCCAAAATAATTTAGTTCAGTCCTAAGAAGGAAAAAGGAAAAAACCCACAAAACAAAAACTTAACATGTTTAGGACAGATGCCACTGGTTATCTTTTGTTGCATCATGCCATTATACATCAATATACTGCCCAGGCCTACAAGTTCCTCTGGCTGTTTTAATTAACTATAATAGTGTAGCGCAACATGGTCAGTATATCATTTTCAGCCACACTTAAAACTCTCTCACACTCTCTCACACTCTCTCACACAGACAGTGCAAGGTTTTGCCTAGAAGCCCTGTTTTGCTCCATGGATTTAGTCTGGTATTAAGTCTATATTAAAACATTTGTACACACAAGTCCTAGTCAGCATAATAAACAATGAGAAGCTTCATCTCACTTTGACAACCAAGTATATAAAAAAAATTCTCTTTGTCTAAGTGCTTTGGACATCACAATAAAAAATAAAAAAAAAATGCTAATATAGGGCATGAACATTGGAAAGTAATCAACTAAACTGCCCCTGTATCTAAACTGGCCCTGAACTGGCCAGCGAAATACTGGATTAATGGATTAATGCCCTACTGAATCTGATAAGCAAAACAAATTAGTCATATGAAATGATGTTGGTTTCATGTAAATAATTTAACAGGACGGGGGGGGGCGGCACACACACACAGGACCACGCAGGACTGCATTTTATAACACTACACACTGTAACCTTCGTAGACTCAAACTCATGCCAAATGTCCCCAAGCACATGAATTAGTGCAATGCAAGCAATTCAGCCCATCCACAACTGCAGTACAAATTTATGCCCATCATTAATCCAACCCAAAAGGTATTAATGATACTAGGGGTGGCTAATAACTACCATGAACTGCTTTTAAAAACTAGACAAACAAGACACATCAGCACAGGTGTTAAGCCTGCAAAAGCAGCAGCATGCTGTCTCAAATACTCACACTTACCTAGTGCCATTGATTTTTGGTTTATACACAGTTTTACCTGAATGAGAGCAGCATGCGGGTAGTGCTTTCACATGTACAGTCATGCAAACCGGCAGACTTACGCTGTTCCCGCTGGCCTTGGGATGTGGGGGCAGCGTTCCACTTGCCTTCATGCTGCTGACCAGCTTATTGAAGGCAGACATATCAGCATCACGAGGACGCGTCATGACCCCAGAACCTCCTGTAAGAGCCTGTTCCAGGTGCTCAGCCATGAAGGGTGTGCCTCCTCCTTGACTCTGTGGCTGCCGGGGAGAGGGTTGAGGCTGCTCAGACTGAACATTCAGTCCCTTCAAGCCAACCTCCACTTCTTCCAGAGACAACACTGCCCCAGAGTTAGCTACAACAGTCAACAGTGACAAAACAGCTTTAGAGTTTTGCTAAATCAGTGTTGAAATAGTACTGACCCAAACACTTGAGCCTGCATCAAGGACCGATTCTAGACTAGTTTGAGGGAGATTAATATTGCAGGTTACTTTTCACCCATGAGAATTTCCTCTGAAACACAGAGCAATTGAACAATTCCATACCTTACCATTGTATGCACAGCAAACATGTTCATCCATTTATTGTTTTACACTAACCAAGCTCATTCGTGTTTTTGTTTTACTCTACAATGTAACTGTATTATTACGTTTTATGGTAGACTACAATGATAACCAGAACTAGGAAGATTTTTTAGCCATGTTGGATGGCAGAAGGCGTGCAATTTTTACAAAATTTACTGAAAGCCCTCACATAAAACTTGAAAGAGAGAACCAGTCATGTTACTCGACACGCAGCATCAGAAGGGGCTAGCTTTCACCCATGAGGCTGATGGTCCCAGGGTTCAAGGAAGTGTACCCCAGACCACTATTTTCAGGAGGACCAGACACCAGATTCTCTGGATTGCTCTCCAGCTTCATATTAAAATGTACCAAACTCTTGGGGCAAACAGCCTTAGGTCCATAAAAAAGCTCAAGTATGAAAGCACACTAAAACGTTGGATGGGCATAACTTACTGCTCTCTTTCAGACGGGCCTTGTTGGCATTCAAACTGGACAGAAGGGGTTTAAGGTCAATCTTGGCTTTATGGAGCAGCTCTAAGATGTCCACTTTCTCTTTATGCTCTGCTGAAGGAATGGGGGTGAAGTAGGGTGTAGGACCTTGACTAGGAGAGCTACTGCGAGGGTCAGCACCTAACAATCCACACAGAAAAGAAATTCATTTAAGATTAAAGTTGTAAAAACCAGCACAGATGTGTGCGTTATAGTTCTCCACTTACCTGCTAGTCTTTCCAACTCTTCATGTGGGGTGGAGCGCAGGCTGCTGGAGTGGCTACCAGAAGGACTCTGATTACTGGAGAACCACTGGCTAAATCGGCTGGCTGTAACCGGCCCTTCACCAAGCACGTCTTCAATCATCTGAAAGAAGCACAAGAGGCAGGCGATTCAGCATGCTTAAACAAAGAAAAAGGCAAGAAAGGGTGGGGGGTGGTGGGGGTGAGGATGGCACTTACGTGATGAGAGCTTGCAGGCTGTTTAGAGCAATGAGGGCAAATGCAGAGAGTGGGCTTTTGGGACATGGTAATTCAAAACCATGGGCACAAATGTTTACATCACCCAAACAAAAACTTGCTTCAATCATCTTTTTATTGCGGTCTTTAGAAAACAAAAAACCTCTATGCGGTTTCTTGAGCAATAAGGATTCATATAAGGCACATGTTCAAACTCAACCTAAGCTGGATCAGTGATGGGCACAAATTTGTATCACAATCTAGTTATCTACCAAGACATCCGTTCAATACAGCCAAAACATTCTGAAACAACACAAGGCAAAAAATCCCTAACATTCCCTTCATAGAGGAGCAATTCAACATGACATACAAAGCACAAACACACAACACACAGCAGCTGCATAAGCAGAAAGGTGTCCCACAGAATAAAGTGAACTGTGAAGGAGAAATCCCCAGCTGAGAGGCCTCATATGCATGTGGTTTCATGAGCATTTTCGCTTGACATCAACCATCCACTAGACCCCTCCCCATCACCCTGGTAAGCATGCAGTGCTCCCCATATCTTACCGAAGCCAGGCCAGGCATAGTCTTCTCAAGATTGAAGAACTCATTGAAGTCAAACTCTCCAGCCATTTGTTCTGGTAGAACTGCGTGTGGAACCTCCTGATCAGCTCCTGTCTCTTGGACCACCTGTGGCTCCTCAGGAAGACCACCATTACACTCAACTACACACACACACACACACACACACACACACACACACACACACACACACACACACAGAGAGACAGAGAGAGACTGATTATTTGAAAGTTTGTGCAATCTAAAGCTAGAGTAAAACGAGAACACCACCACCACATGCCTTCTTTCAGAGATTCCGTTCTCTTCCTGGAGCGCTTAGGCTTCCGCTTGTCATCCTCCAGAATCTTGTCATCGAAGCCAATGAGTTCAATGGTCTCTGACTGACTGGTGGGTCCACCGGAAAACCATTCTGGCTCCTCCTCAACATAAGAGTCATTTCTTCTCCTCTCACTAAACACTCTTTTGTCACCGAAGTCTCTCTGTAACACAAAGAGGTACTAGTTACAAGAAGTGATTTAACCCTACATAGACCAGACTCTGGCACGAATCAGTCTAATCAGTGTAGTCTCAAATCACAGATGAGCTTTACTGTTTGTGCAACTTGATGCTTACACTCTTATGCAATCACCGGCACCAATAACCAGTTAAGAAAGTTTCTGGAATGATGCAGAAAGTTTCTGTCTAAGCAGATTCAAGTCCTAATCTTTGATTAAACTGGCACATGTGCAACTTGAAACAGCCAACATAATCAGAAATTGTCAAAGCAGTGCCATGATTATTGAAGGAGCAGAGCCTGGTAATAGCAACAATTTTCTCCAAGGACACTGGTTTTGTGGAACATCTGTGGTGCAGTAATAAATCCAGCCTGCTGGGTATTTATAGATCAGTTGCCTTATGCATTTTAGCAAAACAAACAAAAAAAAAAAAACACACACAACAAAAAAAAACTCATTGCTTTCAGCAGTTCTCTCAATACCCTGAATCTCTTGTCCTTAAATTCACGTTCTCTCTCTCGTTCTCGTTCCTTGTCCACCCGAGCATCCCGCTCAAATCCACGCGTTGCCATAATGCGGCCACTTCCGATACGACGGGGGACCGTCATACGAAGTGACTCGTTCTCCTTGTTCTCCAGGGGGCTGATAGGACGCCGAGCAAGGGTGGTGGGTGCCACTTGGCAGCCACCTCCAAAACTACGACGCTGTGGACTAAGAACCACCTCCAAATCATCCTCCTTTAGACGTTCCCGTGGGTCTACAAGGCAAGGCATTTGAAAGATTTGTGTAATAAAAATAAGAGGCAGCCCCTTGCAAAGGTATGTGACACATACAACAATAATTCCCTACAAATGTGACAGCAGTGCCATAAAATTTACCTGCAATTCTGCGTTTCAAAGGAACTCTGTCCTCAGCATAGTCTCGCTTGTACCCATCAACTGGGGAGTTGCGTTCCGAGGGGTACAATGAAGCATGCCATTTTTCAGGATCCCACACGCCATCACTACAGAAATGACAAACAAGCTCTTCAAAAGCCTTAGCAGCTGATAATTATAGACATCAACACATTTTTGACCAAGGGCAACAATACTTTAAAAAGGTCAACTGATACATTTAACCTGTGAGCAAGTATTAGCTGATAAAGAAACCACATTCCACACTATACCAGTTTAACAAACGTTGCACTATTACCTGTCATATTTCTCTGACAAACACTCTGGTCTCTCATTAGAGATTGGTAACTCTTTGATTTCCAAAAGCTCTTCCTGTGAAAAGAAGCCAAACACAGATGAGTAAAACCACCAAATTAAATTTAATAGCACACAATATGGTTAGGCTTCCTTTGCCAATCATGCAACAGTTCTGACCTTGGTGTATCGATAGGCAGAGGTGACTACAGAATCTTTCACTGTGTGCCCTGTGTTATCGCCATTTTCCTGATCATCTATACAGGCATCTTTCTCCATGACTGAAGCAAGAGGCCAAATCAAAGTAGAGCTTCTTTAGACACTCCAAGCAACTGCTGGAAAAGAATCCGAGCATTAATAAACTGCAACAACCAAAGGACAAAACACAATGTCTTTCAGGAATAGCTGGTTGGAATGTGAGCAAACTGACTACTTAAGTGAGAAAGCATGCAATTGGTGTCTTGTAAATTATGGGAGAAAGGAACAGGAAATGTGAAAGTGACTTCGGTGACTTTTGTAGTTAAAGTAAAATCTAAACTACTACATCTTGATCATTTGCACCAAGGAAATTACCCGGTGTATACCTAACTACGTATTACTGCTTTCTGACAGTGAGCGCTAAACAGCTCAGAACATTAGTTAAGCGCTTTACTGAAGCCAGAATCAAACGTGTTATGTGATGAATTTAAGTTAACTAGCAACACCACCACTTAAGCTGCCATAGGCCTGGATGCAGGCCAGTCCAAGACAGTAACTCGTTTGCTTGACGGTTTAATGCAGTTTAATTCGATGCTTTAACTTTAAGCTTTTAAAAAGCCTCTGCTGTATCAGTTAGGTGGACACATAGATCCAAGCGCCAATGTTCAACCAGCCGCAGTTAGCAATAACTTAGTTAGCAGCAATAACGTACCCGATTAGCTATAAGATACATTACTAGCTACAACAGTTAGCTATAACAAAGCACTACACTACTTATGGTCTCTCTACTTCTGTAAATAAACTTACCTGTTTCTAGACAAAAATACACCTCAGGCTTCTCCCTTCCTCCGCTGATGCTACAGTTAGCTAACTAGCAGGTCACTCAACTTTTACACGAAATATCGAGCACAACTAGAGTGCGTCCAGACTCTTCAACATCAGTTTACTGGCTAGTATTATTTGTGAATTATACTGCAACGTTGTTTTTGTCTAATTTCACCTAAACAACCCTAACAGTCCAGGTCTATGGTTAGAAAACAGCATTAACGTTAGCCGGCTAAGGAGCCCTCAGCCAAGCAGGCTAAACGCTAACAAACCGACGCCGTCGGTTAGCTAGATAGTTTTTTTGGCAAAAGTAGCTAGCTAAGTAATTCCACTCTTCACCTATTTTCCTCGCAAACAGCACTACACTTAACATTCAGAGTAAACAACAGGAAGTTAACCACAATATTTCCACAGTGTTTGTACCTCTGTTTGCAAGCTATTGAAAAAGCAGCTCAAAGCTAGCCGGCTAACCTACCTAACAGGCTAGCTTAGCTAGCTAAATGATTATTACTCACTACAGATCATAATTCACTCAGAAAACGCCTGAAAGGACTGGAGAGAGACAGTGAGTTCTGTGAATTTCCCGCAGGATAATGAGTTGAGAGCCGCGGTGCAGACTGACTAAGACTATACGTAAAACTAAAAGTGTACCTCGGGCTACTTTTGTAATGAACACTCTTTCTCTCACTATCTCTCTGTTGGGTCTCCAGACGCTCAGCGGCGAAATTCTCCAGCTCACCACAGGCTCTGAGTGATGGCCCAATCAAGGATTATATAGTGACCACTGCCGCCTTCGTTACAATGGAAATATATATACCTTTTTTCATTTATATTATGATCCCTAATTTTAGTACATAAAATACTTAATGTAATACACTTTCCTCGAAATTACTAGTAAGTGCGGTTATAGAGCAGGTCAATAGTCGTCAGGCAACAGATTGGCCTCCTATTATCAACCTGTGCCGGTGTTTAGATGTTCCTGCCGATGAACGTTAGAGGCCCCAGCGGTGCCGCTTAACCTACCGTTTTCTTTCCGATGCGATAAGAAACTCCTCAGTCCTGAGACTGGACACTAAAATCAAACAATGAAACGTGTTCTCTGCTACTAAATGACATAATACGTGAATAATTTTTTTTAACTGGGAAACGTTTAGTATTCAGTGTCCAGTATAGTGGATATTTGGACTTGACGTGAGAGAGGGGCACATGAAATGTGAGAGTTTTAAAATAATTAACATTTTTATTATCATCAACATAACAACACACAAAGAAAGCACTGAACTTTTCATGTGTTTACTGTGTTACAGTTGGACGAAAAAGTTTCTGAACCCCTGGAAGTATCTGGACTTCTGAAGGAATGGGTCCTAAAATATAAATAATTTCCATAATAATTTTATATAATACTACTAATACACAAAAAGCTTTTAGCTTTTAGCATATTGCTGCTGTCAGAACAAAACCTTGTATCTCCAAAATGACAACTTCACAGGTGAAGGAAAAAAGCATACTTTACTATTAATGTAAGTCAATGGAACCAGACAATTTTCCAGGTAATTATGCGCTGTTTCTTTTGGTCCATTCATCATGAAATTTATGTAAAGGGCAACAGGCATTTTCAAATTATGTCAAAAACTGAAAATATGAGGTTTTGTTCTGACAACAGCGATATACATTACTAACTTAAATCACTATATCTAAAACAAAGTGTTTAAGCAGGTCATTCAGAAAACATTACATAAGCTATGTTGCATTTTACACAGATTTATATGTAATGTTTCACATATTACATACATTTTATATGCTAGCCCAGTGTCAGTTTTAACGTTTCTATATTTCTATGTAAATAACATTTCTGAAACACAGGAAATGTTCAGTTTTGTGTTTGGGTCTGTCATCATGATGATCTTGCAGATTTAATGTGCTGAATTCCAATGTCTAGTACACTACACAGTGAAATCCACTGAAATCACTAAAAAAGAATATTATCCCAAAATTCATAGATCTGTCTGTTCAGCCTACAACAGTTTAGCCCCATCCATTCATGCTGAAGTTATAAGGAGTGTTTCAGCCTGGACTGCTTTTTGAATGAAGCACAATACAGGGTAAAGGCACTACAACAAAAATAGCCTGTTTAATTAAACAAGTGATAAAAAGAAGGTGGAAAATGGTAATGTAAAAATGAATTAGTTGTTTTTGGTAAATAAAACCATGTAAATTATAAGTAAACCTCAGAGACCAAACAATAAAACACAAGAAATATGGGTTCTTTAAGTAAATTGTCAGCAGCATCAAGAGCATCCTGAGGTTCATAAAAAGAAATATATTCAGATTACTGGTTTAATTAAACTAGTAGTATGAATATTTTTGTTATCAATTGATTCTCAATAAGAAATGTCGGGATTGGAAGTGTCAATGCTTCAGTATTTATCTGTCCACTCTGAATTTAGACACAAAGCTCTTATGGTAAAGAATTATAAAAAAGGATAAGATGTACCTAAATGTAAGTGTGCTCAAATGTCTGACTGGATATGATTACAGAGTTGTAAATGCACCTCTCAAAATGTATTCCCTTAACTAAATCTGCAAAAAAGTATCATCCATACCTCCTCTAAGTACAAATTCTAGCTTTGAGAATATTTGCACATATATTTACTTTTGTTGTAGATTTTTGGGTATTGAGCAGCTTGTGGTGTTAAGTAGGATGTCAAATAATACTCAGAAATATTTGTAAACGGATGTGAATAGTTGTGATTTCCTGAGATACATCCTGAAACAGAAAAGGTCTTTAAATAATAGCAGATTGCTCTGAATATTTTTTTTTTAAATGTTAATATAAACTACTTGTGCCCTCTTATTTATAATTATTTCATTTTGTTTTTCAAATTTGTACTTGTCATTGCATACTTTATATCATTTGTGTTTCATTCTCATCTTTTTTATTTGAAACTTTATATTATATGGAGATAATAGATTTTATAATTACATGATTTAAATACATCACTTTGTTTTGCAGTTTGTATGGATTTGTGCTTTCAAAATGGATTGGTATTTTTCAAAAGATAAATTTTTGCTTAGGCTCAGGTATATTTGTGAAGAGAAGAATATACTTTTCCCCCAGTAGCGTTTTAGTCATTCACGCTTAGTTACTTGAGATGAGTAAATTGTCTTTTGTGTTTAATTTCTTTCTGTTCTGTTGGTTCCAGCTAGCAGCAGCTAACAGCAGCGCTTTTATTGTGAAATTCACCCAGCGGAAGTTGTTTGCACGCGGCAGTTACGGTTTGTTGTCGGTGTTGCTGTTAAGCTGCAGTCGCGGAAATGAACGTCTGTTATTCAGACAGTCAGATTAGTTGACGGTGCTCGGCAAAAACCTTACCGTTGGTAAGAGATAGCAGTGGAATACGCCTGATTTTCAGTTTACGATTTATTCTGAAATGTAAATGTAAAAACAGCAGCAGAGGTCGACGAGAAAACTTTACTGAGTTTCTGTCAAGAAGTTATCTCTGAGGCTAGCTGAAGTTAGCCAACGTCTTTAAATCAGCGGTCACTGCTGAACAAGTGACAAATACTGAAGAAAGTATTGATTGCATTGTGTCCTTCCAAGCTAAGAATGAAAAAAAGCTAAACGGTATTACAATAAGCGCCATCAATGAGTGGCTTATATTGGCATTATTTGAAAGCACTTCAGCTCAGTTGAGCATTATTTTGGTTCACACGGAATAGTTGTATTCGAAAAGTGAGGTGTGAGGTATTTTTGATCACACAGTTCCGATTTATCTAAAGTTTACCAATAACTTTGCAACACGGTAACGTTATATTATTCAATGTACTTTATCTCGTGTAAATAATAAACCAGTCTTAATAATGCATGTTTAATTTATAATGTTTGCTTGTTTTTCTTTTAACGAACCGAAAGACTAAGATAATGTACACAACAAGGCCACTATATGGAAGACAGGGTTCTTCTGGGAAGAAGAGAATGCGGCCCACTCCAAACTGCAAGATCACTTATCGGGTCGGATACACATGGAACAGAGGTGGACGACTTAAAGAGCTTAGGATACGGTCAGAGATCACTAATAAAGCATATGTTGTAGCAGTGGTCATTCTGTGGGTGTCATGGCAAAACTAATACTCCTTTGGGCTCTCTGTTTAGGCATCTTGCACGGAAATTTCTTCACCTCTGGATTCAGAAGATCTTTGGGAGGGTCACTCCGTCACGAGCCAGGTTCAGTACTGGGGCGTTGTGACATTTGAACCTATACCATTTTGGCAAATTATTACAACAGAATTACTTTTGCAAATAGTTTAGATGTGCATTTGTCCACTCCAGATCTTACTATAACAAGGTGATTTTGAAGAAGGTTCTAAGGGCCTGGAGAGATGAGTGGTGGCATGCTAGAAGAGAATGGACCCTGACGATTAGAGCAGACTGTCACTATAAGTGAGTGTAACAAGGAAGAATGTTTTATCCACAAATACATTCTACCATTATTAATAATTAAATAAAGCTAATAGTTCATCGCTATGCATGTGAGATCATGCTAAATGTTTGCTTTCAAAATCTGGTACTACTTTGGTCTGCCCTTTGCAGATATGTCCTGTACAGTAAAGTGTATCAAGCTTGGTGCGAATATGTATCAGTCCACAAGGAAGAGAAAAGGAGGCTACAGCTTGCCGTCAACTTTGGTATGGAAAATATACATATTTTTAAAATATACCACAGTCATTTTCATCATAGTGGTTGATTATAGATGTTTTTCTAAATTTATCTTGCGATTAAAATATAAGAATAGGTCAAATCTAAAGGTGAATTCAGTCTTTGAGATGTCAACAAAGTATTCAAAGTGTTTTGATGTGAATTGGTTCACTGTAGAGAAACTTACAGATTTCTTTACAGTAGTGGTAATGGTAACCAGGGGTCACAAATAAAGCTATTATATTTACTATCAACAACCACCTGGGAATTACTATGTTTATGATGTTAAAACACTTGTAAATCTGAAAAAAATGTTTTCTCTGTACACTACTTAGCTTTGCAACACGCTGCATATACGCATCTGTGATTGTGATTGGTTTTAATAAATATGTTTAAGGACAAACTTTGTAGTAAAAAGTAGTGAACTACTAAGTAATGAACTAAATATCCAAAACTGCCTGATGCTTGAGATATTCTCTTGCAACAGTTTTGGATATTTAGTTCATTTCACCACCACTGTGAACAATTCTGACTGACTGAAGTTTCTCTAGAACGGTGCGTTTCACATATAACCACTCAGTTTATGTGTTAATGATTTAATTATGTGGACAGTTTTGAAAAATCAGTGGAATTCCTCTTTAAGTATAAATTAAGTATATGGTATTGAATTCACTAGGCTGAATACTCAGATTCCACAGTGCATGATTGAAGCATTATTTTAGTAATAGCTAAAGTTTTGTGCTGTGTTGCAGAGGAGCAGCGTAGGTTGCGTGTTTTTTGGGACAGATGGGAGCTGTATGTGGAGATGAGACGCTTAAAATTCAGGATGAGTGAGGCAGCTATAAAGCATCAGAGACGTTCTGTTGCTAGGTGAGCTTTACATCTGCTCTAATGGCTACAAATCACATTACTACAGATTTTTTGCTCAGATCTGGTCTTCCTGTCTTGACTGTTCACAGTCATATTTGTAAGAGAGCAATAACTGTCATTAGTGTGAATTGGTATCTTTCTTAAAATGCCCACATGTTCACATGTAACGCTCCATGACGACAGTGATCTGCTCATGAGCAGTGCAGAATGATATAAAAAACACATTATTTCAGTCTGGTTGTTCTGAATATGGTTGCATGGTTACATGTTGAATATGTGTTGGATCTAGGACCACATAAAAATGGCTCAGCTCTGATATGAAAAGAGTTTTGTGTTGGCAGAAAGACGGATATGTGCTGCTTTTTATGTAAATGCCAAAATCAGATGCAGGTTAATATGAGTAATGTACAGGTCTTCATTTGTGTGTCTCCTGTGCTAGGTGGGTGTGGACGGTATGGCAGGCTGCAATACAGCACCGCTATGCACAGCTCCATCAAGAAGACCTAGCCCTGCAGCTCTGGGCTACTACTGTACAGAACAGAGTAAGTGTGTGTCTGTGCATGTGTACATATTTCACAAGAAGAGCAAAAAAACTTGCTATCACTTTGCCTTCCTAATGTGCTATGTATAAAGCAATATTTTATTCAAGGTTTTGAAGAGTATCATGTATGTGTTTTCCTTACAGGCATGGATGCAGTGGAAAAGAAAATGCATGCAGGCCTGTAGGCTGAGAGAGAAAGAAGCTAGAGCTCACCTTTTTTACTCTCGGCGGCTCCAGAGGTGTTGTTTGCGTGGCTGGATTAGACACATACAACACAAACGAGCTAAAAACCTGGCAAAAGGTAGATGATTTTTCCTTTTGTTTTAGACATAAGCCCCATTCAGACAGTATTCAATTTATTTGGGTCCAGAGGTTATTTCTTGTTTTACAGGTGGTACTCTGTGATTTTCTCCCTCCTCCCCTGAGAAAATTACAGGCCAAATTACCTACTGGTTTTCACCAAACTCAGCGGTAGTCTTATAATTTTAGTCTCGTATGGGAACACATCTCTGTGATTTCCCAGGCAGATGGGAAATAAGAGTTTTGACTGCTGTTTTTTGCGATATTTGCTCTCCTAGAATGTATATGCATATTAAACACTTTATCATGAAGCGATGGATGCTTTGGAAAAGTTTCTTAACCAACCATTTACATGTTCTGGGGCAATGAAGGATGTTGCACTTGAGCAGCTGTCAAAGTTTTAAGTACAGTTGGTAAACTCAAGTAAGTTCCTGGATATCCAAGTTTTTGACGTGATGTATCACCAACTTATATATTCTTTCAATACCACATGAACACTGTAGACAAAGCTGGCATTGGTTCATCCCAGTGAATTTAGGCGTTGTTCACGTGATCAATTTACTACTTGCCGAATGGCCAACCAAATGCTAACAACTGATAGTTGTGATCTGGTGTGACCGTTTTCTAAACTTAGGAGTTGATGAGGACTGTCTGAATGAACCGTAAGGTCTATTGCTGCCAGGAACTCTTCTCATGTTAAACTCAAATTCTCTCTTGTGCTGCAGACAAAGCTGGAACTGTGTGGTGCCACTCTGTGGTCAGGAGACACTGGTGTGTGTGGCGCAGAGCTTTGCAGTGCAGACAGACTGAAAGAGATAGAGGACAGATTGCAGACAGTCTAGCACAGCGTGCAACTCAGCGGCAGGTCTTTTCACGCTGGAAAGGCTGTATCCTTACATGCGTTCAGTTAGAGAGATGCTACACTTGTCACAGCAGTTTTGTTTTTATATATTTGCTGTTAATTGATGATAGCACCAGACCCCAATAAATGCTCAAAATGTAGAGCCTAGTACTATACTGACTCTTAAGAGAATATACATTGTTTAATAATAAAATTGGAAAATGTCTGTTTTAAGCATTTCTCGGTACACCACACTTTCCTGATCAGATTTGCAGATGTCGAGATGTGCTTGGAGAAGGCTGAGAAAGAACAGACTGCCATTCAATATCAGCACCTTCAGCTATTGGTCAGTAATTATGGCTCTTGAATTGTATAGCTTGGAAACACTACCATGAAAAACTTGATTCAGACATCCTCTGGTTCTGTTTTTCTTTATCTTTCTCTGTTCACTTCCAGCGTATGGGATTTAGAGGCTTGGCCCTGAATGTCGCTCGCTGCCAAACTCATAGAATCAACAAGAACATTAGTGTACAGCATCATCGGCACACAGTAAGAGTAATGCACCTACGCTGTAAACTTTATACTTTACATATGAATAAATTACAGCAAATTATGTTTTGTTCTGTTTTACTGACTTTAGTATCTACCATCAGTGTTACCTTTATACTTTGATACACATTTGGTTTATCAGCTGTAGGCAAAATGCTTTGTTAAGGCTGATAGATTAATCATCTTTATATCTTTTTAAATTGCAATTTGAAGGTGAGTTGCATTTTGTATTATAGCCTACATTATTAACCGTGTTGTCCTAACAGGTTTTAAGTAGGGGAATATAACCTTTTAGAAAGGAGCTTGTGAACTGCCTGTAGATGAGGTAGATCAGTCTGAAGTAACCAAACACCCATGCCATGTGCTACTACAACTAACTGGCAGGTAGCACACTATGCTCAGCATTCAAGCCTCAAGCCAAAACCAGTCAGTATGCTGGTCTTCTTGTCTGCAAAAACAGGGCTCAATTTATGGAAAATAAACACAATTTAAATCACAGGCACAATGTTATATTTTGCCTGAATCATTTGCCATAGCAAAAACCTCGTAGGTGCATTTTGTATTCCTTAACTGACTTTCAGGGTTTATATGGTCATGAAAATCCTGGAAAGGATTTAGAAAAGGAATATAGAAATTGGGTTTCCAGGTATGGAAAAGTTATGGAAAATAATATATACAGGAAAAATCAACCCATTTGGTTTGTCATCACATTTGAAGAGTCTAGACTGCAAAAAGCACTGAGACTAATGTATCTGCACATGGACTAACTTTACTAATATGTTGTTAATATGAATCTCAGCTAGCTAAGGTGCAACATTCAGGATGTGTGTATTGTGGAAGATTTTTTTTTGGTATTCAAACACTGGATAAGACAAATTAACAAGCCAAATGTAAGAGTGAAAACACACCGCTGCTGCTTCTCACACCAAGACCTGTGTGACTAGCTTCTTCACTATGAGTCACAGTCCTCTGTCTGTGCCACAGCAGCTAAAGAAACATGACGTGCTGCAGCTACATTGAGAAAGGACAAGCTGCTATGGTACTCTCATTGATTTTTTTCATTTTACACAGTTTTTCTTGTGGTCTGGGTGCTCAAACTTGGGAATTGACTCGCATTACGTCCCTTTCTGCACAACATGTGTTATGTGTTATGACAAGATTCTAAACCACTCTTTACAAACAAAACCGATGGACATGCACATGAGAATTTGCACATGAGAATATGGGGTGACTGAGGAGTCAAAACTAAATCTGTAGGCTCTGAAATTATAAAACATTGATGTATTGAGCAAAGTGACAGATCTGTTCTCTGAGATTGGAGTGTCAAACCTAGTGCAGATATCTGTACATGGATCAGATTTCAGTTTCACTCGCAGTCATTCTAAATGCTTGGCATGGAAATTTCATTTTATGTCATGGAAAAGTCATGGAATTCCACGGTTTAAAAAGTGTATGAACCCTGGACTTTGGTGTCCTTTTTAGATGATGGTGAGGTACTGGAAGCTTTGGCAGCAGCGCTCGGAGCAGACTGAAGAGCGGAGTTTTCAGCCCCAGATGACTATAGCACTAAACTATCACAGGTTTATAGATAACATCTAATCATGTCAAATGTCAGTCTTTCATTTATAACACATCTTGAACTTCAAGGCAACTCCAGAAAATGTATTTAATACTTTGTATCTTTTGGTTTCAGATTAAGGTAATGAGTGGTTTACCGGTCATGGTTTAGGATTCTAACATTAACAGACATACAGCGCCAGAGATGCATCAAATCCAAAAGTCAAATGCTTTGACCATGTAACTTTGTAAGACCTTTCATTTAAATCTCAGTTAAGCTTTTAAAAGTTTTGTGATGATAAAATATGTATCTAATGTGTTTATAATATGACTGTGGCGCTATGTGTTGTGGGATGTTAGGATCCAAGCAAATCTGGTTCACTTTTTTTTTTAATTATAAAGTGGAACTTTTTTTGTTGGATAGTCATCAACTATCCGTAGCAGAAATATTCTTTGCTTCATGAGAATTTTAAAAAGTTCATGTTTATTTTTAGGGTCTCAGTGTTGAGAACCTATCTGCAGAGGTGGAGACGACACTGCAGAGAGTACAAACACATGAAGGTATCAGATTTCATCTGATTTTAGCTTTATCTCCCACACTGCCAATTATTGTGGTAAAAAAGCTGTAAAACCTGTAAAAGGTACCTCAAAGAAAGTAATTACACACAGTGGGCACCGGTAAATAATCAACATTATTTTATGATTTTTTGAGATGAAATGTTGGCCTAAAATGTATTTTTAAAAATGCATTCATGATAGAGAGTTGCATGCAGGGTGTTGTAAGGCTAAATAATGCCCAAAGTTAATTCAGACTTACCTCTATTTTGCTGTTATCTACATGACATATTAAAAAACTCATGTAAGTTTACTGGTAGTCAATTGATAGTTGTTTTTCTAAAGCTTTTCTATTATGTACCATTTCATATCAAAACAATTGTGTGTGTGTGTGTGTGTGTGTGTGCGCGCGCGCGTGCATGTGCGTGTGTGTGTAGGATCTAGAGATGCGAGCTGACTCTTGCTTTGCAAGGCACATTCTTCCACACTGTATGGCATCCTGGATTGAGTTCACAGCACAAAGAACAGAACACAGGGAGAGGAGAGAAACAGCTGAACTATTTCACCAGTGAGTCTCTGAAACTACAGTACATTTTTTTGTTTGAGGATCTGCTCTATAAAAGAGCACATCATGAGTGGATGTACTGCTCCATGCTGCTGTTTTGGTTATATGTGGACTAATTTAACATTCAATGCTTATTTTGCCTATCATTAAAGAAATAAACACAATTACCACTGTTTGTGATCTAAATGAGCCATTGTGCTCCAACATCTGTTATTATTTAAATTTTTTGGCTGAAAGAGGAACTGTGTGTGTGTGTGTGTGTGTGTGTGTGTGTGTGTGTGTGTATATGTATGTATCTGTATGTATCTGTGTGTGGTGTTGTTGTTGTTGTTGTTGTTGTTAATATGTGTGCAGACAGCAGATGTACAGCTGGGCTTTTTATACCTGGTGGGGACGTTACACAGATCACAGAGATCAGAGACTGGCGGAGATGACGGTAATTGAAGAATCAGTGTGTTTTTTTTGTTTTTTTGTTTTTTTTGGCCGAAATGAAAAAAATGGGTATAAGTCACTGCTGTAACACATTGTGCAGAACGTTTCATAAAGTCCTGTAAACTTCACAAAAAAAAGAACTCTTTAAAAAAAAAAGGAGGAAAAATAGGCTGTTTTAAGTACATGCCAGTGAAATCCTGCTCACGCATATCCCCTTCCTCCTTCAACAGCAGTTTCAAGGTTTACCAGTGAAAATTCCCGTCAGAGTAGTTTAGGCATTATTTTTGCGGGATAGTATTGAGCTATAAATAGCTACTGGTACATGTAAATGAGGGAAAACCGTGGCCACGTTTTACATCATGCAAGTGGTAAATTCTTCGTACTTATACTTACACATACATATTTTTCATACTTCATATGTTGCCATTTTATATTATATTTATATGTTGCTACTGTAAAATCTAACTGATAACTGATTCCCTGATATTTTCCTCAGGCTGTGTTGCATGCAGAGCGAGAGTGTGTGTCCCATGCCTGGTCTAAGTGGCTCTGCAGGTTTATGCAGCAAAGAGAGGACAGACTCAAGCAAACACAAGCTCAGACACTGTACTCACGCACTCTTCTGCACAAGACTTTGCACCAGTGGAGACACAATGTCAATGCTATACAGAACAGGTACGGCAGAGAGACTGAAATCATGCCCAGTGTGCCTTCATAAACACAGTTTATGTTGGTTGAGTTTCCTTTTTGTGTGTGTGTGTGTGTATGTGTGTGCTCCCTCAGTCAGAGGCGTTTTAAGCAGGCAGAGGTTCACAATGGCCAGCGGTGCATGAGAGGAGCTCTGAGTGGTTGGCGGGAGGTATGATTGCTTAGAGAACTGCTATTTCTTTAAGAATAATATTGTGACAATTACTGAAACACTACAGTTGTTTTGGAGGTGCAGTGTGTTTATGTATGTGGAATTTGATGTTTGTGTGGTGTCAGTATGTAGAACACAGAAGACAGAAGACCAGGCGATTGGCGCAAATTGACGAGCACTATGAAAGGAGATTACTCAGGAACACGCTACAGGCATGGAAGGTAGAGTACTCGTGCATACATAAATACATGGACAATATTTGGATGGTCTGTGACAGATCTTTTACCTAAAATGATTCCTGTTGAACCTCCAGGACAGGCCACAAATGTATTTGTGTATATGTCATAATATTAATAATAATAGTGTTAATAGTGTTACAAATGCAGAGATATGAATAAAATGCAACCATTTTTGCTCTGTAGCCCAGCATTGCCTAAGCATACTGCTCTTTAGGAGTACAATAAATGTATCATCAAATATCAGTTTAAAATATTGGTCAAATCTGAACATCTGTCCAATGCTGATATTTTTGAAAGCAAATATCTGCTGAGACTGATATGACTTTGGTAGCATTGTATGTCCCTATTAACAAAAAATAACAGTAATAATAATAATACTAGTAGTGTATTGTATTCACATATATCTTTTGTGTTATATATTGTCATGTACTGTTTACCATATTGTTTATTATGAACTTTCGCACACACAAGCTGTACTAAATCTGAAAACTACGAAGGCTTATATGTATGTATGTATGTATGTTTGTATATGTTTGTACATACAGCAACATTATGTACAGGCCCAGCACGTCAACCAAAGTGCAGAGAGCTGCTACCAACAACATCAGCAACAACTTGTCAGGTATTAGCCTTACACTGCTCTGTTGTTGTTTGACGGCTTTTGTAGAGATTATTGTGGATATATTAACTTTTCGTGTCCATTCTAAACATCCGTGTTCTGCAGAAGGATGCTGTGTTTGTGGAGGAGGAATGTCCGTGTAGCAGTTGAGGAAAGAGAGAAAGAGAGGAGAGCCAAGTGTCATTATCAGCACTGCCTGCTGTCAAAGGTGCATTTGACTCTTTGTATGTAATGATACTGTATGTTTAAATTTCTGCGTTCAAGCACAATTCATGACCTCAGCAAATTGACACCCTTTTTCCATCCTTTCTTTGTGAACCTTATTCATTTGTGTCACAGAAACTGAGGTTTTGGTCCATATTTAAAGCAATGATTTTGTTTTATACACAGGTGCTGTTTGCATGGCATGAAAGAACGGCACTTGTAGTGTCTCGCCGTCACCAGCAGGAGGAAGCACTGAGAGAAGCTAAGCTTCACATGCACAAAGGTACTATACTGCTTCTGCTGAAGTTATAGGTTTGTCACAAGTAGCAGACATAAATTCAATCATCATAGTACCAATGACCAATTTATTATTATTACTGTTGTTTTGTCATATTACTTAAAAAAAATTACATGATTCATCACATAGTAACAAATAGCATGTACATTTGATTTATGTTGTGTTCACGAGTCTGCTTTCCGACTGTTTTCTGATGACAAGCAATAGTAAAAACATAAAAGATGTTTTTTGTATTCACAAAACAAAACTTTATGCACAATAACTTTAACTAAAACTTGAATACATACTAAATTTTTATGTGGTCTCTGCACAACTAAAACAGTGGTGGACAGTGTCAGAACTTTGGGTGTATCTGTTTTGTTGAAGTCCGGACATGGGCAGTTCTGAGGAGGTGGAGACAGCGACACATTGAAGTGAGAGAAGAGAGGCTGTCTCAGGAGAAAGCCTGTAGATATCACAACTCTGTCCTGCTGAGAAAAACCCTCAGGGCCTGGATCATCAATACTTGCCAGCACAAAAGCTACCAGGTGGCCAACAGTCCCAATTTACTTTGATTGTAACTTTGAGTGTAGATTGTAATTCTACTTATGTTTCTCAGTGTGTCTTTATGGGTGTTTGAACATAAACTGTTAAAATACACATGTATTAAATATGTCCATGTTAGGTTCTAAAATACAGAAGCGGTGAGCTGTGCAGACTCAGAGTGTGCCAGCGTTTCTTTATCTGCTGGAAAGCACAGGTGGGTTATGGATCAGCACAGCACATTCAGTTGTGTGTTTGCTTTGTTTGGCTGTAGTGTAGTCTAACCGTGTGAGTTTCTGTCTGTAAAAAATGTACACAGAGCAATTTGGAGTATGTGTATATGTATTTTATACCCCACAGCTACAGAGCAAGAGAAGAGAAGCAGAGCTGACAGAGTTGGCCCTCTGGCACTGGTCTCTGAACCTTCAGGCCAAGGTAGTACCTGATCAATAATGGGGCTGCACTGCATTGTTCACTTAAAGGGGAAGTCCACCATTTTTTTTTTGTTTTCCTCAAATTTCTAAATAATTAAATGGTTAAGATGTAAAAAAAATAAAGTAAGAAATAAGAAAAGCTCTGTTCTTGAGAAACTTACTAAGTCCGAATTGTTCACAGTGGCGGCGATGGGAAGTAGATGTCTGAAGAGTTTAATGCCTCTAAAAACTTCCTCACAGAAAGCAATTACATGAAGTGGCCACAAAGACATTGCCTGTGGCCTAAAGCATTGTTGAACAATACTTTAACTTAGTTTACTTTGTTCATGTCAATGATTGAATTATGTGGAAATTTAGAAAAATCAGAGGTTTACTTAAACAAAACAGTGCTCTAGAATGCTCTATAATGTCTATAGTAAGAGTTGTGGCTTTTAATGTTTGGTTGCACCATAAAAGAAGAAACTGTAACTTAAAGAACCATTTATCAATTGTTCTTATTAATCAATTACTTATTATTTTACTGTTTCTGTAACCAACAGTAACCATCAGGGCCATCTTGGCATCAGAAATGGGCTGAAGATTTCTGAAAAACAATAATGATTTCTTAAAAATAATGTTGGTAACTTTTAGTTCATTATTTTTTTTTATTTAATCATCAAGCATGTTGTATTTAATCTCTTTTTCTGTGTCATCTAAGTAGATACCGCTAAGAGGTCTCTCTTATGGTCTCCTCCTAGTAGCTTGTTAATGAAGTAATTTTCTTCTTTATTTGAGGGTTGTCCAATTTCGTAGGAAAAGATTTCAGTCACTACAACTTGTAACTCACTTCCAAGGGGCAAGGTGACACTTGAAAACAAGGGGTAGGGGTAAAAATAAGAAATGGGATTGGGCCTTAATGTGTGTCAGGATTAGTTTAGCGTTAGCATACAGTGCCCACAAATATTGGCACCCCTGGTAAACATGAGTAAAACAGGCTGTAATAAACCTTCTTTATTGCTTATCCTTTTGGCCATTCATTCAAAATATAAACTTTTTTAAGTACAATGATTGAAAAAAAAAACTAAATCTTACCAATATTTTTATCAAATCTGTGTGTGCCACAATTATTGGCACCCCTTTATTTGATACTTTGTGCAGGTTCCCTTTTCAAAGACAACAGCTCAAAGTCTTCTATAATGCTTAATGAGACTGAAGAACACATTGCAAAAGATCTGAGACCATTCCTTCATACAGAATCTCTCAGATCCTTCATATTCAGAGAGTCCATACTGTGGACTCTCCTCTTCAGCTCATCCCACATGTTTTTTTTATGGGGTTTAGATCAGGGGATGGTGTGGCCATGGCAAAATATTATTCTGTGGTCAGTGAACCGTTTTTTTTATTTTGAGGTGTGCTTTGGATCACTGTCCTGCTGGAGATCCAAACTATGGCCCAGTTTAAGCTATCTGGTTGAGGCAATCAGGTTTTGATTTTATTTCTGTTGGTACTTGATAGAGTCAGTGATACCATATACCCAAATAAATTGTTTAGGGCCTTTGGAAGAATAACAGCCCCACATCATCACAGATCCACCACCACACTTCACAGTGAGGATGAGATATATTTCTGCATAGCAGTCTTTGTGAGCATGCCGAACCCACTTCTGGTGTTTGTTGCCAAAAATCTCAATTTTGATCTCATCTCACTGTACAACATGATATCCCTGAATGTTCCAGTGAGATTTGACAAACTGTCAAAGTTTGTTGGTCCTTGACAGCAGAGGCCTTCTGTGGTTATATAGTGGCCTATATTGCCCTGATAGTGGAAGTGGGCATTTCCAGTTGTTTAGGTTTTTCTTGTAGCCATTTCCTGATTTGTGCAGATCACCAACCTTATGTCACACATCATTGCTGTATTCCCTGTTCTTTCTCATTGCGATGGATGACTGAGGGAATCTGTGTTTCGTCTCATATATATTCCCCAGTAAATCAGGAAGTTATGGCTAACCATTTAAGTGCTCCTTAGTGCTCAGGTGAACTTAAAAGCAAAAACATACAATATTTCATTTAAATTTCACTTTTAAGAATTTCTCATGGTGCCAATAATTGTAGCACACATAGATCTAAGAAAAATATATTTTTTCATGACAAATTTTAGTTTTTTCTTTCAATCTTTATATCTTAAATAAAGGTTAGATTTTTGCTAATATTTTGAATGAAAGATTAAAAAGGATAAGTAATTAAGAATGTTGTTGTGTCTTTGTTTTTGTTTTTTTTGTTTTTTTTTTAAAAAAAGCTTATTTTTTACTCATGATTACCAGGGGTGCCAATATTTGTGGAAGACACTGTACTATTACAAATCCAACAGCAGAAAATTACTTTGTCATAGAGGTGTTTTTTCCCCCATTTTTTTGAATACCCTTGAAGTGGCCCGAACGAATGGACCTAGCTCTAATAGTCACGGTTCACCACTGGTAACAAACAATAACTACACCTGACCATATAGCATATTTAAACAAACTGCATTAAATGTTGTATGTGTGTTTGATTGTGATGGTCATTCAGGTGCTGAGTGTGTGGAGGCAATGGGTTGCTGAGCGCCAGAGGAAACAGAGGCGTCTGGCTGCAGCAGCTCAGTTCTACAGAGATGAACTGCTACGAGAGGGCATCACCCACATCCTCATATACACAGCACACATGAACGCTTTCTCCTCAAACATGGCCCTGCAAAGCCACGAGCAGGTATGCCTGTGTGTGCTTGTGATATTGTATGTCGTATTGACTACTGCTTTTAAGTCTGTATTGCTGCTTTGATTTTTAAAACTGAGTAAGAAATGAAATGAGTATGTGTGCACTATGTATGCATAGAGTTCTCGGCAGTTGCAGGCAGTGGTAAGGAGGTGTGCCTTGCGTTGGAAGCAGCGGGCATTGTGTCAGCCTTCCAGAGCTACAGTGATGGCGAATAAAGAAGATAAGCCTTCTAAAAAGAGTGTGTCCTTCTGCCTGCCTGAAGACCACGCCCGCAAACATGAGCACACCCATCACCCAGTCCACAGCCAAACAGCAGAGCAGATGGCAGAAGAGTCCATTATGAACAAACTGTGAGTAAAAAAAAAAGTGAACAATAGGTGTCTTTTACTAGCACTTTCTTCAACTTACTAGCACTTTATTCAACCTTGTGTTTGTGCTATATATTGGTATGTGTGTTTTAATTTACATTTTACTGTGGTTTGAGTATGAGGTCATATTTCAGTGTCTAACCAGTAGGAATACAGTGATATCACATACTGCACATAGTTAAGGACTATTCAGTGATGATTGATAATAAGTCCTGTGGTTCTGGTTAAATCTACAGGCTGATGGTTCGAGCCTCAAGGTTGCAACCGCGAAGGGCAGATGACCTGTTACACTCTCCGGTCAAAGACCTGCTGCAGTACCCCCAGCCAAGCAGGTACAAACATAAAGCTAGCCATCACAAATCAGCACAGCTTAAAAGGTGATAATCACTTTTATACACAGAGTGGTTCTCAGCTTCTGATTTGAGGACCCACTGCCCTGCTGTTTTAAGTGTTCTCTGCCCTGATTCAGCTCATCAGGAATTATTTAGCACTTCTTGAGCTGGATCTGGTGTGTTGGGTGTTGGGGGCAAAGAATATTTGAAACTGTAGGGAAATCGGTCCCCAAGATGGAGTTGTAAACCATTACATTAAAATATGTTAAAATCAACAGTGTGTGCATTTAAAGTATTATTCCATAATGCTTGTGATCTTTTAGACATAATTACCATATAACATTTTTCCTCTCCTCCCTTTTCATCTCTCGATTTTGGTGTTCTAGTTCTCGGAGACTGCTTGCAGGTCAAACTGACACCAGGTCTCCATCATTACCGGTCCCCTCTACACCCTTCTCTGTCCCACTTCCCCCCACCCAGGCACAGCCTCCTGCCCCTCTCCTCTCCACGCCAGTGCAGCCTCCTGTCTTGGCCTTAAAAGCTCCAGTCCCAGCCTTCAGGCCTGATTCTGCAGGAAACACCATCATGCTGTCCAGCACCGTGAGCCAAGGGGTGCTGCTACCTCCTTCTTCCTTTATTGCACCCAGACCACAGAGCAAGGTGAACAGTACACGGACCCAGTTAAACAATGCAACATACATGTATATATTTTATTATAACTTAATTCTTGATTCTGTACAGCTTTTTCAGTCATTTTAGAATCTTCTGTGGCTCCATTCATCATTTTGGACACAGAACATTTCTTAATTATTATTTTAAGCCTTCTATTGTCCTACTAATTATTTGAAATTTGTTGAAAGTTGCACAGGATGGACATATTAGAATCCTTTAATACATTAATCTGCAGCCAAATTGCTTTTACTTTACTGAAAAAAATTCCAAACCTTTGAGCAATAGTGTATTTCTCCTCATGTGAAGAACTTACCATCTCAAAGAAAGAGAGAACCTTCCATTGTTTATCTTCTCTGTCTTATCTTATCCAATTTGTCATTATCTGTTTTTCTCTTTGTTCTGTCTCACAGATGAAGCAGACAAGCTCAAGGCACAAAGATCCCTCACTTCTTACCCCTCATGATTTCACCCACTGGAACCTGCATGGTCAGAGTAAAAATAAAACAAAGCAAAAAATGTGATGTAGTTACAGTCAGGATGTGTTGATAAACTGTATACATTGTCCTGAATCACCCTGGTGACTTGCCTGCAGGTATGAGTGAGAGACTCACTTTGGAGCAAGATGATGATGATGGTGATGAAAATGAAGCAAGTGTGCTTGTGCAGGCAACCTGTGACCCAACTGAATCTCTGAACAAAGAGCTGCTGGATATCAAACTAGACCTGCAGAGATATCAGCAAGACAGAAATCAGCTACAGTATGTAAATCTGTCCTTCAGTACGGCTGAAAAATTCACTGTGCTGTGAATCCAACAGTTGGTGCCAACACCTCTGCAGAATAGATATCGGAGTAAAAGACGCCTGCATTTCTGTCTGTGTGCGCAGGACATGGCGTAAGCTTCAGAAGGTGATGAGGAATTGGCTCCAGACTACAGGCAGCGATGGAGAAACTGAGGAAAGAGAGAGCATCCTACAAGAATTAAATGAGGTATCTTCCTAATGCATTGCATTCTCTCACTCTTAAATGAGAAATAGAATGGTCTAGGACAGGGGTGCACAACTTCTGTCCTGGAGGGCTGATGTCCAGCACAGTTCAGAGGTTTCCTTGCTCAAACACACCACTAAACCTGCCATTTAATAGACAAGTGTCATCAGGTGTGTTTGAGTGGGTAAATCACCAAACTGGGCTGGACACCAGTGTTGTACACCCCTGGTCTAGGAAGATGAGGGAGATGACTCATTTTAAGCCAAAACCATAAAATGTTGTGGTAAATTATGCTGCTGGTATATTTACTCATGTAATAATTTACTGGCATAAAACTGTAAACAAATACATGTTGTGTTTATTTATGCATTTGTGTAATTCTAAATTTATTTATTCATTTTTAGGTTTATTTATTTCTACATTTCTTCCCTCAGTACGCTGAAAAGGAAGGCTAAATCTACATGTTATTGGTTAATCGGAAAGAAAGCAGTGTGTTCAGTCACTCTTGCCTTGTTTTCTGCTAATACTTCAGTGATGGTGGAGGATCTGAACTGGGTGTCTTTGCAGTTACCCTTGGTTGTGGACAAATTAGACAGTGGACAATTGGATAATGGCTGCGTTCTGTTTTGGGTAGAAGGGTTCATTACAGACTTAGAAGAGCTGAGCTGTTAAATAGATGTGGATCTGTCAGTGTTGGATGCCATTCAACACATAGCCAGCAACCTCAGCATGTGTCTGTGTCTGCCTAAATACTTTATCATTACCTATTATTAATAGCTGACCGTCAACTGGTCTATCAGCCAGGCAGATTCTGAGCTGTAGCAAAGCTCCACTGGACAGCTACAGAAGCTGCAGGGATAGTGATAGCTAGGTTTAGGCCCTTGTAGGTAGGATATTTGTTAATGAAACGTGAATTATACGATTGTGCTGTATAATTGCATTATCTGTCTTGCAACAGAAACAAATGAACATGGGAAACTTATGGTTGTCTAGTGGGTCTACGATATCTTACAGAACCTGACAAATACTTTGGTTCGCCATATTGGAATTTTGTAGGATTTCACATTCATTCCGTCGACCTGCTGTTTAATAGTCTGCTCTGCCCTGCAAGCCATCTTCGACCAATGGTTTGTTAGAACTACGTCAGTGTTGCCCACCTTTATAGCGTAGACTGAAGGAAGAAATGCAAAAATAAATAAATAGAGAAGTAATCAGAAATAAAGTAAAATATTGTCATTTATTTTAGTATTTCTGCTATATATACTTATACAGTTATGTATGCATTTCTAAGCCATTTATATTTATTAATTAATTTATTTACAGTTTTATGGGTAACATCTATTATTTTTTGTAATTTATCTCTTTGCTTTTGTGCCATTTTATTTAATTAGTCAGTTCTTTATTTCACTTTTGACTTATTTGTGTCTTTATTTCTTTATTTGTTCTTGTGTTTATTATTTTGTTATGTTTCAGCCCCTATTCCTGTTGGCTTACGCATTTTTAATCATATCTTTGTAATGTGTACACACACACACACACACACACACACACACACACACAAAAGACAGAAATAAAAGAATGGAGATGGTAACAACAAAGAACTGAAAAAAGACAGCATACATAAAATATATAATAGAAAAAAAGATAAAGTATTATCTAATTTTCTCTTCAGTATTGGTTAATATACTGAGTATATACATCTATACATATATACATTCTCACATATATATACGAGTATGTGAGAATCGTTTTTGCATTTTTATTGACTTTTAACATGTGTAGTAGAACATAAGATACATAAGTATATATAACATAAGTAAAGTAGAAAAATCTGTTATTTCTGCCCTTTTGCACTGCAGGCTTTGAAGTAACACAGGTGAACGTTTAGCAAGGCCATAAATAGTCTCTGTAGGTGCAGTGACTACATAAGTAGAATGAGTTTAAATGAGACCCTTCTGTTTTAAGTTTAGCATGCATTCTTTTGGAAGATCAATAAATCTGTCTCAGTGAAAAGCAGCTGTCCAGTATTTTATTGTTGTAGGTGAATGGTCAAGGGCAGGTTGCCCAGTTAACCACTTTTTCACAACTGTTTTTGCATTTGTGGTATGGCTAGTGATCTGCATTCAACTACAGAGTCATTGAAGTAATTGTTTTTTTTTCACCATTTTTCACAGCTGGAGACCCATATTTCTGCTCTGTCTGCGAATCTGACTGAACGGAAGCCCACCATTATCTGCCATGCTGCAAGGGTCAGCATTATAGAAAGCAAGCTGCTTGGATCAAATAGTAAAACATAGAAATTATGCATTCTACTTAGGTATGCTCTTTGCAATATACAACATGCAGAGTTTGATTTGTTTTTGTTTAGTTTGACTATTGTGATTGACTGTTGTTGAACTAAAATAATCTTGAAATTTCATGAAACCCGTAGCTGTTCATTTCAAGATTGACATTAAATATAAGATAAGGGTATCCCTGTTATTTTTTTACAGCTTCTGTTACTGGAAAAAAAATCTGTCATAAATAGGAATTATATATTTTATAGAATTTTTAGGCGGATCCAGAATGTAACCTAAAATGTAGCTTATTTTTTTTAGTTATTGCCAGTTCTGTTCATGATTGCCATGTTGCCTTATTTATTTGTAATAAAAATCATGTTTTATATTTGTAGATCTTTTGAGTGTTGCTTGATTACTTTTGATTGATTGCTGTGCTGACTGGGCAGAGAGCCCTGGAATGCTAGACTTGACCCTTGAAAAGTTTTGTTTTTAATGGATTTAATTAATTACTTGAATTCATTCTTATGCATTAAAAGTAACATCAGACCTGATCACTAACTTGGCAAATGTGCACGCATGTACATATAATAATGAAATAAACCAAACATCAGATTGCAGACACACAGGCATGTGGGGGAAAGCTGCTAAAACTGCAGGCAGTGTGAGATGTCTGGAAATGTCGGTGTGACGGAGAGTTTTGCTCTAATTGTTTCCACATGTGCTCAGGCACAAGAATAAAGCTCACTTTGAAAACACTCACTTATCATCCAATAGTTCGGATACTGAGCCCAGACCAAGCCCAGACAGACAGGCTGGTCTCTCCTCCCTGAGTTAGCTTGCTGCAGGCTCTTTCCCCACAAGATCATGCCATCATGAAGGGAGCGTTTGGAATTGTCGTCATCATCCTCCTCTTCTCTACTGCCGCTTGGGGTAAGTACGCAGTTGTCACTGCAGTGAAACCTGCAGGAACATTTGTACCCACATGGGCCTATTTGTTTTACTTTCTTATTTTACTGTAGCTGTATAGGCCTGTGTTTGGGGTCAGTAAGGGACAGGTAAAAAAAAATGCTTGTTTTTCTGTTAAGAGCTTTTGCAGAAATCCTGAATTTCCCTAGTAAACAATGTCATATTGTAGCTCTGCCTACTCAGTTAAACCAGATGGTTTAAATGGCTCCCAAATGACGCCTATAAGGTTCTTGGGGCCATTTAAAGATTTTGTGTAGCCTTAACTTAATTCTTCTTGGTATATAACAGAGCCAAGATAGCAAAAGCCAATTTGTTTTTCATATGTACAGTTTGTATTAGTCTATACTGAGAAGATACTGTTTAACTGAACTAGATTGTAACTGTCTTCAGGATCTTGTAGGATTTGTTAAATCTTCTTTCCTAACCTGTGTTGTAGAACCTAGCCTTTGATTTTATTCTGTTGTTGTATGGGTGTGGGGGTGCTTTACAGCTAAGAAGATGCGCTGGTGTACGGTATCAGAGGCAGAACAGAGGAAGTGTGCAGACCTGGCTAAAGCACTAGTAGCTGCCTTACCACCTGTTGCCGTCACAGCCTTCGCTAGACTGTCCTGTGTGAGATCCTACGGCACAGCTGACTGCATCAATAAGATACGAGTGAGTTACTATTACCAGTCAAGAGGAGCGGTTATCGGTCCTGGTCCTGCATGTTGTTGTGTTCTCCCAAACACACCCAGTTCGCCTTAGAAAGGGCTTCTGAAATACATCATTGGTTGTATTGGGTGTGTTGTGAGCAGAGGAAACTCTAAAATGCGCAGAGCTGTGATATTCCAGGACCAGGATAGAGAACCACTGTTCAAGAGCATTTATTATGTGCACTGCTAGTCAAAATTTTTTTTTTTAAATAAATTAGCAAGTTTTCCTAATCAATATTGTTGCTGTGCTAACAAAAACACATATCTTCAAAATGGAAACTTTACAAGAGAAGGCAAAAATGTTTTAAATTGTAATATAAGTTATTCTACAATATAAGTTTTATACAATTTTTTGACCATTTCTATTGATCCATTCGTCATGAAATGTTCACACAATGTAAAGGACAGCTGCTGTGCTCAACTGGTGTAGAAAAATAAAAATAAACTTAGGAGGAGCTTTTTCACATTGATCAAACCATATGGCTAAAAAGTGAGTTTTTATTACTTACATGATGGAAAAAAGTACAAATTAAATATATATATATATATATATATATATATATATGTATATGTATATGTATATGTATGTAGTACTTCTTTGGAATTAATGCCGGTCCCCACATAGTGTAACCCCTTGTTGTGATTTTGGCACTCACAAGTACACAAACCTTATATACATATATATGTGTTTAAACCTCCTTTGGGCCAAAAATAGTTTCAGCATGTACTTTTAATAGTATCTAAATAGTTTGGGAAAAACAGAAACTGTTTAACTGTGATTTGGGCAAAACATGCTCTTTATACCAAGTAAAACATTTTGAGGGGGATTAAGACAAAAGTTGCAAAATATATCCAGAGCATTAGCACATAGTGTTGGTGTATCCTGTTATCAAAACATTTACTGGTGTTTTAGTTACTTATTTGTAACAGTGTAATCTTGCAGAGAAAGCAAACTTTTGACAGGCAGTATACTACAAGGTACTACATTATGATCATGTGTTGCAGTAAAATACAAACATAATTTGCTGTGTTTCAATCTGAGGTAATGAGAAAATATGCCAGACCAATCACTAGAACTACTACAGTGCAAAACTGCAAGCACTGAAATCTGCAACATCCACCCTATAGTTAATATGATCTTTGTATACTTACATTTCAAACTGATGCATTTGGCAGGTGCTCTTATCCAGTGTAATTTACAGTTTCAGAGGGAGACGAGCGTTTGGAGTCTTGCCAGAGGATTATTACTGGTGTAGAGTGTGCTTGCTCAAGCAGAGAATAAAACTCGCCACTACACTACACCAACCACCACACTTAAAGCTACACTCAAAGTACATTCGAAGCTAGTTCTACGGTTGCCTATAATATGAGTGCTATATTGAGATATTTCAACAGTTCCTCACTGTAAAATATAGGTTCTCCTCCTGTCCTTTCAGGCTAATAAAGCAGACCTTGTGACCCTGGATGCCGGAGAGGTCTACTCTGCAGTAAAGCAGTTTGGTCTCACAGCAGTCGCCAAGGAGATCTACACTGATGGTAGAGATATGCACTCCTTATCCACTCAAGTACTTACATTCACAGGTTCCCTATATAGGTGTACACTTACTGACTAGACCATTTGTTGCTGCTGTAGTCAGCCACTCTCTACACCATTCATCATCATCAGTTTCTGATTGGTACTAATGTTAGCAGCTTCTCTATTTGTCAACCATTTCTTGCTACTGCACTTCAGTAAATGCACTTTTGACAGTCAGAGAGTTTCCTAGTGTAGAGGTAATATAGGATTTCTTTCTAAGATGCTTTCAGCTGCTTAATATTGTTCAACATTCACATGTTCTTCCTCAGGTGGCTGTATCCTGGCTGTGGCAGTAGTGAGGCACTCTAGCACGCTGGACATCCGCTCTCTGCAGGGTACAAGGAGCTGTCATAGTGGCGCTCGATGGACTGCAGGCTGGAGTCTACCTTTAGGGCACCTGCTCTCCCGCAACTACCTGCCCTGGGCTGAAGAACAGCCCCTCAGTCAGGGTGACCAGTCCTGACTCTTATATTGTAAAGATGGATGAGGAGATTCCTCTCGAAAGGCTCATATTCTTTGTTGCTGTATTTCAGTTTTTCTTTCTGAAGTCCACTAACAAGTCGTAAATTCATTTTTTACATGATTATTTTCCAGCGTCTTTTTAACTGTTACAATTAAACAGGATGCTTCTGTTACTATAGCTTTAAAACTGATATATTTAAGTCTGAAAAGTGAAAAAAAAAAACTTTTGTAACAAAAGCAGCCTGTTTCTGTATGAAACAAACACAGCTTGTAATAAAAACAGGCTGGGTGGAACAAATTGTTGAATTTGGACTGAATCATAAGACGTCTCTTTTATTTGCAAAAAAAGCTAAAGTTTTTTATGCCATTGGACTTGGGGAATCTCAAAATATAGTTGTTCAACCAACAACACTGTTGTGTTTACTATAAGCAGCAGTTGTATGGTATATTTTGTTTGGTAAAAGTTTTAAATGAGTTTCATATGTGCTGTGTTTCCTGAGCTATGTTTTCATTAAGAAGTCTGCCCTGCTCTTGCTAAAGGTTTTGACATTTATTTGATGTGGTCACTGGGCTGCAAGTGTTGAGCATAACGTGGAGTGCTTCCTCTCTGTCTGTGCTCTGCCAGCGGTTAGTGCCTTCTTCAGTGCCAGCTGTGTGCCTGGAGCAGCTGCCATGGCAATCAGCCTCTGTTCCCAGTGCCGGGGTCAAAGGTCATACAACCCACAGAGGAATGCCCACTGTGAAACTTCTCACAGTGAACCATTCTACCACAACCAAGGGGCGCTCAGGTAACGAGTAAACAGTAACATAATCTTAATTGTAATCTATTCTGATTACTTGTAAATTGCTTTTGGACTTATTTTGACATATACTCCTATGCTAAAATTTAAGTTGTTTCTATATGTTAGTTGGTTGAATGCTGAATACTTCATTGTGTCTGTTCAAAGTTCAAACATATGGCCCTAACACTCGAACCACACAATTTTTCCAAATCACAACTTAGCGTAGTCATAGTGACACAGCTGGTATGCAGTTTGTTTCTTAATGTTGCCAAATCGAAAACGTAACCCTTAAAGTAATCCTTAAAAATGGTGGCTGTAATCTGATTCCACATTGTTTCAAAGGGTATTCTACTCTGATTCTACTCAGGTAGTTAACTTGAAAAGGTTTCATGTAGCCCGTTAATGCTCAACTCTGGACCTGTACAGAGTTGAGCGTTATAGAGATGTACAACTCCATTTCCAAAAAAGTTGGGACGCTGTGCAAAATGTAAATAAAAACAAAATGCAATGATGTGCAAATCATTTGAACCCTATATTTCATTGACAATAGTACAAAGACAACATATCAAATGTTGAAATGGAGACATTTTATTGTTTTTTGAAAAATATACACCCATTTTGAATTTTATGCCAATAACACATTCCAAAATAGTTGATAAGGGGGCAACAAAAGTCTGGTAAAGTTGTGTAATGCAAAAAAAACACCTGGTGGTTAATTGGCAACAGATCAGTAAAATGATTGTGTATAAAAAGAGCATCACAGAGAGGCTGAGTCTTTCAGAAGTAAAGATGAGGAGGGGTTCAACACTGTGAAAGACTTCACAAGTAAGTAGTGCAACAATTCAAGAATGACGTTTCTCAACGTAAAATAGCAAAGAACTTCTGCTTTTCATCATCTATGGTACACAATAACATTTAAAAGATTCAGAGAATCTGGATAAATCCCTGTATGCAAGGGACAAGGCTGAAAAACAGTATTTGCTAGCCATGATCTCTGAGCCCTCAGATGGCACCACATTAAAAACCAGACATGATTCTCTAGTGGAAATCACTGCATGGGCTCAGAAATACTTCTGAAAACCTCTGTCTGTGAAAACAGTTCGTCGCTGCATCCACATATGCTAATTAAAACTCTTAAATGCAAAGAAGAAAGCATATATAAACAGGATCCAGAAACACTGCCACCTTCTCTGGGGCCCCAGCTCATTTAAAATGGACTGAGGGGAAATGGGAAAGTGTCCTGTGGTCCGACAAATCAACATTTGGAATTCTTTTTGGAAATCATGGACGCTGTGTCCTCTGGGATAAAGACCACTTAGCTTGTTATCAGTGCACAGTTCAAAAGCCAGTGTTCATGATTGTATGGAAGTGCATTAGTGCACATGGCATGGGTGACGGGCACATCTGTGAAGCTACAATTAACGCTGAATAGTATATACATGTTTTGGCAACATATGCTGCCATCCTGACAACATCTTTTTCAGGGAAGGGCTTGATTTTTTTTCAGCAAGACGATGCCAAACCACATTCTGCATGTATTACAACAGCATGGTTCTGTAGTAAAAGAGTCCGGGTGCTAAACTGGCCTGTTTGCAGTCCAAACCTGTTACCCACTGATAACATTTGGCACATTATAAAATGAAAAATATGACAAAGGAGACCCCAAACAGTTGAGCAGCTGAAATCCTATAACAAACTAGAGCAAGAAAACATTTCACTTTCAAAATTACAGCAGTTGGTCTCCTCAGTTCCTAAACGCTTACCGAGTGGTGTTAAAAGAAAAGGTGATGAAACACAGTGGTAAACATGCCCCCGTTTCAACCTTTGATATGTTGTCTATGTAGTATTTTCCTTTAAAAATGTGGTTTACATGATTTGCATATCATTGCATTCTATTTTTATTTACATTCTGCACAGCGTCCCAACTTTTTTGGAAATGGGGTTGTACATCATTTAGTGTTAAATTGGGCATTGAACTTGACCAAAGGAGTGAAATAAATGACAAGGTAGAGGTGGACAATATGATGGAATTTTATCATTGTCGTGGTAAATTTGACTATTGTGATCTTGGATATCATCTCTAGTTAAAGGACACAAACCATGTTTCATTACAAGGAGGTCATATTAGTCCTGTTTGATGTAGCGCAGCACACTATATGAAACACTGAAATCATTAGTTTTTCATAGCTATATTCAAATGTCACCACCAGTGCATTGTGCATTTGTGTCAAAATAGCGTACTACATACAGTGTACTATGTCTTTAAATATTGTAATATTTTAATATTTATTGTAATACAAAATTATCGATATTTTGCCATATTACCCACCCCTTACAGCATGTCCTAAACAGGTGGTTTTTAAGGCCAGTCCTGGGGACCCACTGCCACACACAATTTCAGGTATTTGCCCTCAACTCATTTGATCCAACTCATGAAGGACTTGATAGTTGCCTGATGTACTGGTGAGTTGGGGCAGAGAATAGTTGAAGCTATGCAGGGAAGGAGGTCCCCAGTACTGAAACTGAAAACCACTGTGATAAATGGCATTAGTCCTGGGCTTTTCACACACAGACATAGCTGTTAGACTGGTTACAGCATCTGTAGATCAGAGCGGTTAAAGGATCTCCGAGTATACAACCAATAAACTGTATACAACCTAATAAACTGTGAACTCAGTGTTAACTGTGCTTGCACACATTGGCATTTCACAAATTTCCAGACCTATTCCTTCTTTTCTGTCCCTAGGTGAAAAGGGGACTACTACTATGCAGAGTCTGTTTTCACCTACTGACCCTGGGTAGTCAGTTCTACCTGTAATGCCCCTGCTGACATACTATTATCTATATAACATATAACATATATAACACAATCTCTGTCTCCCAGGTGTCTAAAGTCTGGAGCAGGCGATGTGGCTTTTGTGGATCATACAGCTCTGGACAGCATAGATGGTTAACACAAAGCACAATATCTGATAATATTAATTTGTACTTAATGCTACTTTGTTCATCAGTCTTCATTGTATAACTTGTAATGTTTGCTGAGGCAGCTCTTTTACCTCCCTCTTTGCTCTTCCTCTCTCCCTGCTCCCCTCTCTCCCCTGCAGACAGTGAGAAGGATGAATACAGGTTATTGTGCACAGATGGTACTCGTGCTCCTCTGAGCAATTTCAGGAAGTGCAATCTTGGGCGTGGCCCTGGCAGTGGGGTGGTCACACGAATGAACCACCGCAAGATTGCCCGCAAATTCCTGACAGCGGCTCAGGTGATGTCTGCAATCTTTGTCTGTGGTAGGGTTGTAATGATGCACAAAAGTTCAAAATTTGATTCAGTACAATATGTTGATGTCTCGAATGGATACATATTTGACACTGCAAAAACAAGTGCCTGAATATGTGCCTTGTGATGCAAGATTTTTTTTTCTGTGATTTGTGGCTTTACACATACAAAAGATACTAGTGTTTGATTATGATTAATACCACCATTATTAGAGAAATAAAAACATGTTTTCCATTATACATTAGTTGTTATTCTTTTTCAAAACCTTGTTGCATCCAAAATGATTACAAACTGATATACGGCATTGAAACTCTTCATATGTTAACGTTTGCACCATGTGCAAAGCATACATGCATGTTCATTTAAGTGGGGTAACAATACAGATATTTTCAGGATCAATGCTGAGGTCAAAAATTGGATCAGTTACAGATATTTGTGTTAAAAATGTTTATTTTACAGAGCTCTTACTATATACAACCCAAAGCACAATCACTATCATTTGAGTGTGGGTGTGTCCATAGCATAACCCTCGCTCCACCATGCTCTCTTTACTCTGGAAGGCTGTGCCCAGATGCTGGGTTTTGATCAGCAACCATGGTTTCCACTAAAGATGGGCAATGAGAGTCAGTTGGAAGAGACCGAGAAATGTCAGCGATTTCAATACAATGCTTCAAATTCAGTTTTTCAATATTTTATTGAAATCGCTACACCTCTAATTTCTGTCAACTGTCAAGTGGTTCTCAAAATCCTTTTCAGAGTCTTTTGACAGTTCTCAAATCTGTTTATTAGATGGCGTTTGGCTGGAGGGGGAGGGAACGTCAGCGTTTCCAGCTTTTTAATTCATCAGTTTATGACACAAGTGACCTGCTCTTCAGTGACGTGACTAAGAGACTATCCATCCTGCAGGAAGACATGGACATGAGTCAGGTTTTGGGACTGGACTATGTTGCTTTGCTCAAGGGCCTTGGACATGAAGGTGCATTCTGTGTGTTTGTGAATGGAGAGAGTGAAAGAAGGAGTGTGTGTGTGTGTGTATGTGTATGAACATTTTCATATGCATTTCTGTGGCCATTATCTTTTTGTATATTCTCTGATTATCAGCTTAGCATTGCATGTGTGTGTTTAGGTAGTTCACTGGAGGACAGTGTGGTGAGGTGGTGCTGTATAAGTCATGCTGAACAGAAGAAATGTGAGCAGTGGGCTCTCAGCATTAAATCAGATCCTCTGGTGTGTGTGAGAGCCTCATCCATGAGCGACTGCATTGAGAAGATCAAGGTCCAGTAAGACAAAGCTAATTGTTAGCTAACATAATTAACTACACATTTGTGAAAAGAATACAGTAATAAAGCCGTGCAACATATAAGGGGAATGTGTTGACGATCACTAGAGAGGCACCGGTATGAGAACTGTGGGCAAATGCATATATCCGATATATAAAATGTAGAAATTGTGTCTGAATCCACCTAGATTGGCATTACAGAGCTGATATAACATTAATTTATGGAGGGTTACATATAGTGATACACCAATCCAAGACACTTTTTGTATATCCTTTGTATCAGCACCAATACTGAATGTATTAAATGAGTCATATGGAACTGAATGCTCTACATACAGGTAATAATTATGAATGCTCACCTTACTGGCAAACTTGTTTGTTTAAGGAAATGAAAGGTGTTTGTTTGCAAATGTAAAATGTGTGAAACATGAAATTTTCTATGCAAAATACTGCACAATTTTTTCAGAGTATCAGAATAAAAGCCCCTTTTGCAAAGCATATCACAATAAATGGTTTATATTTCAGAATGTTTTTATCAATTTAATGTAGGCTTAAAAATAAAAGTTATGAGATTTCTGGGTGATTTAGTAATCATAAAACAGTTTGTTTAAAACAGGTGTTTAGAGTGATCAGTGTGCCTCATTTAAAAAAAAAAAAAATAATTACCAAAATTTCTTAAAAATTGGCTGATATCCTTATTTTAGGTATTGGAATCAGCATCAAGAGAAAAAATGTTGGATTGGTGCATACCTACTTAAAAATGCAGTAAGATGAATAAAATGCAGACATTTGAGCACAGTAGCTCAGTGTCGCCTAAAAATTCTTCTTCTGTTCTTCAAATATAAGCTTGAAATATCAGTCTAATCTAAATATCTACTTAATGCTGAGGATTTGAGTTTAAGCAAATATTTGTTGATATCGATTCCAGTACCATGGTGCATCCCTAGTGATCACACACAGTCTCTATTGTATTGTATTGTATTCTATTGCTTTTACATAACAGTTTTACAGAGTAAAGAAAATGTTCTTTATATTGTATGTTTCTTTCACCAAAAAAGTAGTTCCACTACAAACTAGCTGTAAAGCAACCATTGCTGTTGCATATTAAACAGTGGTTTGCAGAATTCTGCAGATATAGTGAAAAAATATGCTGTTATCAGATATAATAACACAAATAGAATGCTTTTTAACCAGTCACCGTACAATTGATGTTAATGAGTTTTGCTGCTCTGTGCCCTGTCCTTTGGTAGATACCTGAACTTACATACTGAGACAACATTATATCTTGTTAATTATATAATCAGATTAAGCAGACAATCAGATGACATTCTTCTTTTCTGTTTTCTTACAGAGGGATGAAGTGGATGCTGTGTCCCTGGATGCTACACACACCTTCATAGCTGGGAAGTGTGGCCTTGTACCTGTAGTAACTGAGTATTATGGTGAACAAAATCCCATACAGTATGGATTTCCTGTTCATTTTGTACATGTTTCTGAGCACTTCATTAGTATCTACACTCTTTCCCCATTTTATCAGCTCCATTTACCATGTAGGTGCACTTTGTAGCTCTACAATTACAGACTGTAGTCCATCTGGGTTTTTTTTTCCCCTCTCCCCCCCCCATAATTTTTATTCCACCTTTACCCCATTCATCATTGGTCAGGACCACCACAGAGCAGGTATTATTTTGGTTGTGGATCATTCTCAGCACTGCAGTGACATTGACGTGGTGGTGGTGTGTCAGTGTGTGTTGTGCTGGTACGAGTGGAACAGACACAGCAGTGCTGCTGGAGTTTTTAATCACCTCAGTGTCACTGCTGGACTGAGAATCGTCCACTAACCAAAAATATCCAGCCAGCAGCATCCCACTGTTGAAGGACTAGAGGATGACTTACACAAACTATGCAGCAAGAGATGAGTTATTGTTTCTGACTTTACATCTATAAGTTGGACCAACAGGGTAAAGAATGTCTAATAGAGTGGACACAGTGTTTAAAAACTCCAGCAGCGCTGTTGTTATTGATCCACTCGTACCAGTGCAACACACACTAACAAGCCACCAGCATGTCTGTATCACTGCAGTGCTGAGAATGATCCACCATGAAAATAATACCTGCTCTGTGGGGGTCCTGTGGGGGTTCTGACATTGAAGAACAGGGTGAAGAGAGGCGAACAAAAAAACAAATTAACTACAGTCTGACCTACAAAATCCACCATATGGTAACTGGAGCTCATAAAACGGACAATGAGTGCAGATACAAGGTAGGTGTACCTAATAAAGCACTAAGTGTATGTATTTTTATATTTTCTGTCCATAAGGGGAGAAGTGCGAATTCCCTCAAGGAGAAGGCCATTTTGAGACTAAAGGTAAATGATGAGAATGATCTCACCTACAATTACTTACCTGTATTATATTTAAATGAGAATTCCACCATTTTTTTATTTCAGAATAATTTACTTATAGCATAAAATAAAAAATAACTGAGAAATAAAAAACATTATTGAGAGCCTTCTTATGAAAGATGCACCACCCTTAAAAAACAGGGTCTCCCTGCACACACCCACTGCAAACCATGAAAGGCTTGTTAATGAGCTGAGTAGTTGCATCATCTGTATTTGGTACGTGTAGAGCACTAGAACTGGAGGCTGAAGTCCAGCACAGTTTGGTGATTACCCTGTTCTAGCTCACCAACCAAACCTGGTAATTAACTGATGAAGCTGAATCAGGTGTTTATTACCAAACTGTGCAAGAATCTGGCCCTTCTGGACTGGAGTTTCCACCCTTGTGCTACAATGCGCAGAGCAGGGGGGCCTCCAGGTCCAGGGTTGGCGACCAGTGCTTTTGAACACAGGTCAGACTCTTTTTTGTTTTGCTTTCTTTGCTGTTCAAGATGCTCTCAAAAGTCTTTTCCAACACCAAAGCTCACAGGCACCAAACCCATCTTTTTGATAGTTATAATACCATTTTGATAGTTATAACATTTAGTCATAAGAACATGTTTTGTATAAACTGATATCTTCTGGTAACTTGCTTTTTACTTGCTCTTAAATGCTCTTAATAGTACACAAAGAAAGAATGTGTAGATTTAAACCCCTTTAAGTGATGCCAGCGAAGACAGTGTAGACATTGTGACCCCTGGCTCTTATCATTTAAAACACTTTACATGACTTCTCAATATATTGAAATTTTGACAAAATGGTGGAGTTCCCTGTTAACTCTAGACAAGATTGATGAAAGCTTTTACTATGTGAATCACCCACATGTGCAAAACCAAAGTTGACACCTGACATGTATGTCCTCTTTGACCATGTAGACTTGCCGTTCTTGTATGGTGTGGCTGTGGTACGTCGCTCCAGTAAAAACATGTATTTTGGTAATATGGATGATCGACGCTCCTGCCATGGTCACATGTATAGCCCTGCAGGCTGGGTACTGCCTGCTAAACACACACTGAGCGCAGAGCGTAACAATAGTGCCTCCTGTGAACCAAACAAAGGTACTACAGCTCCCCCCAAAAGGAAGAGTTATACACATGTGAGACAAGTGTATTATGTAACATTATAACTATATTTAATCTCTATAACATTATCATGATTTATATGAGGTTTTTATTCTATAGCTGTTCAGTTCAGAATAATTAATATTGTCTTATTGATTGTCTGATTAGCTGTGGTATATTTGTGATCACAGTGTATTCTGAGGTGTTTTGGAAGGGCTGTTTGCCTGGAGGTCAGGGCAACCTGTGCAAAGTGTGTGTAGGTGGGACAGAGGAAGCTGCCACGAAGCGCTGCTCTGACAATCACAATGAGCGCTATTATGGAAACATGGGAGCACTGAGGTGAGAGAAAGACAATGTTTATCAGGCCTCTCAGTACAATGACACCATCCATGTCTGATAGACATTACCCTATAGAGCCTATATCTACTATAGATATGCAACAGTGCTTATTCTGTTGTAGGTGTCTGGTTGGAGACTCCAGTGGTAAAAGCTATGGAGATGTTGCTTTTATGGAGCACCATAACTTGGAGGTCAACATCGAACGTAGGATGGATTGCACTTTTATCCTGTGATGTGTGTCAGTTACGAGGTTGCATAATCTATTTGCTATAGTTTGATTTCTGTTCTTTTTGGTCCCTCATAATAGCAACCCAAAATGGTTTTCACATTTACTGAAAAGTAATTTGATGGGAAAAAGTACACAAGTATCCCGAATGCCTCCATTTATTTATTTACAATCTTACTTACTTATTTACTTACTTACTTATTTGTACACATCTTGAAAACAGCAACTGCCCTTTCTGTCTCTTATAAAGTTACTGCTTTGGAGGTACAAGAATTTATGACTGACGATATTTTGCTGTCCACGGTCAGATTAACAGATAAAGTTATTCACCTTTGCATTTTAGAGTCTGTTGCCCTTTATGGCCAGTTTATGACATTCTCATTATGTTTGATGGGCAGGTCTGAACAGCAGTGGCTGGGCCGAGGGCTGGCTTGCGTGGAATTTTCAGTTATTGTGTGAGGATGGAGGCCGAGCTGCAGTGACAGAGTGGAGCACCTGTAACCTGGGAGCCATCCCTCCCAATACTGTCATGACAAGACCCGTACTCACTGCTCGCATCTACGACTTTCTCATGAAGTCACAGGTCTCAACATTGTGTCCTTTATTTGATCAAGGGCTTTGTAATACAAGCCTTTTGCAGTTTCTGATTATACTAAACAGTAATAACAGAATAAAATGACATGGTCTTTATGCAATTTAAATTAAATATAGCTTTTTTCTTTCTGTTGTTTCTGATGTCTTGTACCCCCATACGAGGCTGTTTTTATCAGGAATGTTAGACATCTTTTGATTGTAACATCATTAAAATGTTAATCAGTGTCCTTCAAAATGTAAAGGTTAGTCAGCAGTGCTCATTTCTTTTTGTCCTCAGGAGACCACTGCAGCACGTCTAGATTCTGAGTTCTATCTGTTTGAGTCTCAGCAGTATGGTGAAAGTGACCTGCTCTTTAAAGATGCTACTCAGTGTCTGGTTCACACCAGTCATATGGACTACCGTACTATACTGGGAGAGGAGTTCTCTTCTCAGGCAGAAAGCATCTTTAACTGCACAGATTCAGGTGAGACATCATACACACACACACTATTATAGTCACTGCTTGATGTCATGATAGCTTTTGTAGCAGTCTTCATTGTCAACAGAATTTTACAAGGTGAAAAAATGATTATTGATTGAAATGATTTATTTTAAACAGACATTCTGAAGTTTTGCAACCAAGATGTCTGCAGCATATTCTGAACAACCTGAAGACCGCATGTGACATCAGGATAGTCTTTTTTTTCTTTCCACTGCACAATAACTTAATACTCCTGTTGTCTAAATGTCTTGCTGGCGGCATGCATAGTGCTTGGGAATGTGATGTTATAATGCAGTGTTTTATGAGTGATCCACCATTGTGGCAGGGTTCATCAGTCTAGGCTGGTTCAGAATAGCTGAAAAACACCAACTTTTCTACCTGCTTTCCTTCATTTTGGCTGATCTGTAACTTATGGTCTCACTAAATACGTTTCCAGAGATGACGTAGCATGTGAATTTACGCGACTACCAGACATGACATCCAATTCCAATCCCTGTTGGAATGAGGTTTCAGGTCCCTAAGCGTTTAAGAGTGTTTTATCCACACGGGGCGAACGACCACTGGTCAAATAAGTCAGAAACCATCGGTTTTAATAGTGATTTGTCGCCTGCCTGTATCAAGCATGGAGACAGAAGCGGCCGAAACGCTACAGAACTACATTTCCCAGAATGCACTCATACATGTAAAGGCGGAAATGTCTTTCGGTGACCCACTACAACACTCAAGCAATGTGAGCGCCGTAGTTGAGTAATTATGTGGACAAAATTCTCTGTATCGGTAAGTTTGTACTTTGTTTCGCTGCTGTTATAGATTCTGGATGTAACGTTACTAGACCTAAACGACGTCAGTTGTAAGACTCCAACCGGACTTGACAAATGACAAAACTCAGCTGGTTAACAAAACCTATGTGGACTGTCATTGTGTGTCAAGCAGGCTGAACGTTATGCAGTGTTGTGAGGAACAGGTATGTCTCTATACAACCGAATTCAGCATGACGAAGTGAAGGAGTTATTGAGCTCATGGAGATGAGACTCAGTCAAAAGGACATCTAGTAAGCACATTCTGAGTGTTCAGTCTGCTTTTACTCACCCCAGGAAGAACAGTGTAGCCTATTCATCAAGAAGGGACGTTTATCAAATGGGGTATATTTTAATCACTGACACAAAGCTATGAATATGTATTGTATTTCATAGGGTGACCGTTTATTAATAAAATACTTTTTTGTGTTTTCTTTTGATTATGTCTTATTATAATGTAATATGAGTTTGTCATGATGCACATTTCCAGCTTAGAATTAGGCCTATTACCCTATTTAAAAGATAAATCCAGTGCTGTTTGGTTTTAATGCTAGTTTTTAGAGACAGGCTGTCAAGTTGCATATTTATAAGAAAAATCCTGCATTAATCTTGTTTAACTCCATGTCTATAATGGAGAGTCAGTAAGGTGTTTTTTAACAAGGGTGGATATACCAGTACTAATAATTCACTTCAAACCAAGACACTCTTACATTTTGGTACATTTGGAATCCCACACCTTAAAGAAGAAGTTGGGCGAGAACAAAAAATCAGTTTGCATGATTTTTCCTTTGCTCAAATGTAGTTGATCTGCAAAGACATTAGTCTTAAGTTTTAACTTAAACCTTTACTTGGCTATAAAATAGGCAGTTCACTATAGAGTTCCAACTAAGTTGGTCGCAATTACTGTTTTGTTCATTAATTCAGATAACAGTATGTCACAGAGTGTCAGAAACCACATTTGTAATCTCAAATAAAACCACAATTGTACGAGATTACTGAACAATTTACACATAGTAGTTTGCACAGTGCTGATTACTGGGGTATCAGCTTCCATTACTTAGCAACATTAGCCGTGTAGCTCCAGTGCAAAATTAAGAAGCAAACTTCAGATTCCAAACTTGTTTTGGCTAACCGGCTCCAACTGGGGTAAGGAGAAAACTTTTAATTAATTTTATTTTACAGACTATTCTTTTAAGTACAGTCTAACTTTGAGTGTGCTTCCAGATGCTGCTGTCATGGCGATCTCTGCCTCCATGTCTGGCAGTAGGAAAACGGGCCTCCTCTGTTTATGTTGGTGCTCTGGATTTTGTTCCAGCCAGCAGCTCAGTCGACAGGAGCTCTTTGGAGCAGCTCCAGATGTTTGTAACCCGAGCCTCACGTCTGTTTGTGATAACTGGAGCAGGACTGTCCACTGAGTCAGGAATCCCTGACTATCGGTCAGAGGGTGTGGGGCTTTATGCACGGACAGACCGGCGGCCCATGCAGCACTCAGAGTTTCTGCGCAGCGCAAAAGCCCGGCAGCGCTACTGGGCCCGGAACTATGTGGGCTGGCCACAGTTCTCCTCCCACCTGCCCAATTCAGCTCACTATGCCCTGAGGGACTGGGAGGAGAAGGGCAAAGTTCACTGGCTTGTCACTCAGAATGTGGATGCTTTACATTCAAAGGCAGGACAGCAGAGGCTTACTGAGCTGCACGGCTGTTCTCATAGGTAAGAAAAAACATTTACCCTTTACAGTAGTTATGTAGAAACAGCCCATAAACTGAGCTTTCTCATTTTAAGAGCACATTATGAGTGAGACCCTGCATAATCCTAAATTGTAATATACAGCACTCATTCAAAGGTTTCATACATAAGCATCATTGTTACTACTTATTTTGGTGTTAGCAGCAAATTTCAAGCATTTAAAGTGAAGCATTTAGATAAAAGCATGCAAGATTACGGAAAGCTTACATAACACCAGGTGTGTCCAAACTTTTGATTGGTATTTTGTATATATGTATCAGGGTTATGTGCCTGGGTTGTGGTCAGCTGACTGCCCGTGAGGAGCTGCAGAAGCGCTTTGCTGCTCTGAACCCCGGCTGGGAGGCAAGTGCAGGGGCAGTGGCACCAGACGGAGATGTGCTGCTGGAGGACGAACAGGTGCGGCACTTTAGGGTGCCGGCGTGCCAGTCCTGTGGCGGCATCCTTAAACCTCAAGTGACATTTTTTGGCGATACAGTTGAACGTAGGACTGTGCAGTTTGTGCACGACAGGCTGGCTGAGTGTGATGCTGTACTTGTAGCTGGATCTTCACTGCAGGTGAGCACTGATTGCTACTGATGCTCATACTGAATCATTCAGAACATTTGCGCAAAAAGAATTAACTGCTTCTATGGAGCAAGTTATTTGTTTAGCCTGTTCAGAATTGGCACTTAGAGGCTGCTTGAGTCCTGTGGTGTGAAGTAGCTGCTGCAACTCATGTTTCCTACACGAGGCTTAAGTTGGCTTCTTCTTCGCCAGCCTCTTATTAAATTATTCCGTTCCACCTTCGAAGGAGCAGCAGTAACATGTAACAGACTGGTTAAGTTTAGTCTAGCGTTTTGACACATTTAGATGATGTCTTAACAAATAAGTTTGCATATCTGAGATATTAGCACAGCTATGTAATCTTCGTATTAAGCAATGTTGGAAAACTATCGCCTTTGAATATAAAGCTCTTTACCTGTCATTGTAGTTGACTGAGAAACCTCACTATTTTAAACAGCTTGGCTAATCAACCATCCAGGGGAGACTAACCAAACATTTTTTAATGTTTGTCAGACACATTTGTTGACTCTGCAAAAGAAAAAGAAAAGAAAGAAAGAAAGAAAAAAAGAAGAGCTTTTTCAGTTTGCCCTTGTTGAGAGAGTGGGATGGATCCCTGCATGCTGGGTTAACGGTCTGACAAACAGCCACATTTCACTTCTCTCACCTATAAAGGTATGTAGACTCCAGGTGTTTCAGCCAGGTGTTCCAGGTGTATAAAAATCTCCATAGACAAATAATAGCAGTAGAATGAGTTGTACTGAAGAGCTCAGTGACTCTAAATGTGACACTGTCTTAAGATGCCACCTTTGCTACAAGCCAGCATAAATTTCTGCCTTGCTTGATCTGCCCCCGTCAAGTGTAAGTGCTGTTATTGAGAAATAAAATGTCTAGGAGCAACAACAGCTCAGCCACAAAGTGGTTCTTTGCAAACTCAAAGAGCAGGGCTGCCAAGTGCTGAAGCTTGTAACAACTGATGCAACATCAGTGCCTGACCTCAAAAATGCTGTTTTGACTGAATAGGCACAAATTCCTAGAACACTTTCACAGAAGAGCAGAGGCCTGTAGAGCTGCACAAGGGGCTAAGTCTATATTTATGCCCATGGTTTTGAAAAAAGCTCATAAAGGGGCTCATATACTAGCCCTTATAGGTGTGAAGGTCAGGTGTAGTTATATTTTTGGCCAGAGAGTGTACTTCAAGTAGTGTCTATAACAGTTTCACTTGCCATCACCACAACAGCAACGTTCTTACTAATGTAAAGTTTTTAATAAATATTCCCTTTTTCAAAGCAACACCCGTCATTTTTGGCACAGAATCATGCTTCTAAATTGTAATTACAATGTATATATAATAAACATTTTTATTATTCTGCCCAGAAACTCTTAATTTTTTCCACAAGATGAATTGGCTTGGTGGCCCTAGTGGCCAGTGCAGATTTTTATGTCTGTCTACCCCTGGGTAGAGTGGTGTATATATGTACTAAAACCAAACCTGCTGTTATGTCCAGGTGTATTCCGGGTACCGTTTCCTGTTAGCGGCCAATGAGAGACGAATCCCAGTGGCTATCCTGAACATTGGCGACACAAGGGCTGACCACCTTGCTGAGCTTAAAGTGAGTGCACGCTGCGGAGAAGTGCTTCCAACCCTCAATCCCACCTGAGATGGAGAAACTGATGGAACTTCGTGCTTGCCTTTTGACTCTGAAACCATGTTTCACTCAGTCTGTACTGTTTTACTTCATGGCTGCTCCTGTAAAACATTTGGGCTCTACCTCAGTATGGAAATAACAGAAAACACTAGAGCTGTTAAGTGGCTTAATTATTTATTGTGGTTGATTTGTTGACCATAACTGAATTTTAATGGTTTTATTTAGTGAAAATGTGGAACCGGGCCGAATTAATGATGGAAAATTGGGAAAACGTAGTCTGTGGGTAATGCAATTATATCTTTGGCTTTTATAGCCCATCAGTGAGCCCATTTTTATTTGCAACTCAGGTTAACATGGTAACATCAAGGTAATGAACATCACACATAGGTGACGTCAGGATAGTGCTGAAATGGATAGTGCTGTTAAGCCCTTTGGAAATTTTTCAACCAGTTTGTTGACTGTTATATACCCAACAGAAAGGTCACTGGACACAGATTCATTTTGAAGTGTTTAAAGAGATTAAACATGTAAAAAATATATTTATTGTAGAGTCATAACACAGTTGTGTATGAGAGAGAGGATGTATTTCCTGTGACATATACCCTGGGGCATTATTTGGACTGTAATGAATATTAGTAATATTCCTTGGAATTAAATGAAATGTTCTCCATTATTGAATGCTGCCATGTAATGCAGGGAAGATGTCTTTACCTTAGAAATAAATACATTTTTAAATAACTTCAAAATGTCTTATTATTGATACAGAGCCTTGAAATCAGCTGAAGGTTCAAGTAAATGTGTAGGGAACTTTAAAAAGCACTCACAAAGTTACAGAGGGCAAAATGACTGTTTCCTTTGAAAAATGGAGCTCAGTCAAAACAGCTTGTTTGCTAAATCTCTGTCTCAAAAGCTTGGTCCACTGCTCTATGTGAGTGTAGGTTTCTGACCACAGTATTTCAGGAACACTGAAAGAGTAAATACAACTGCAGTGCTTTCCATCACCTGTTTGCCAGCAGACCCAAACTTTGTTCACCACCAGTGGTGTCATACTCAGACAGTTCTCAAAGCCCTGGGACTGATCAAACCAGTAAGAAGCAGGATAGCCCAAAAGGATCCCAAAAAGAGTGCACAAGTTCCACTGACCATACAGCTCCTCTCCCAACACACTGACTGAAGATTGAGTCTCCTCTTTGTTCATTAAGAACGCCAAGATGTCTTTGACCATGTCCTCAGTTTTACTCTCCATGCCACTCATGGTTGGCTGCTCTCTCCAAGGACAAACATCAAAAGTGATAAGACTTCTTTTTTGCAATAGTTCTGCCAGGTGTGACTTCATCAGCTCAGAGTTCACAACAAGAGTGTTCCCATCGATGGAGACTATCTGCAGTGCTCTAGACAGCAATCCGATCTCCTCTAGTGAGTTCACATACTGCAGGATTTGTTCCGCAGATGCAGCGTTGCTGTCATACAAAATAGCTGGTTTAAGTCCCAGGTTCACTGCTAAAATCTGGACAGCTAAATCAAGGCATGATGATGGAGGAAGTCGTTTCTTTTTATTCCCACAACTCAGGAACTTCTGGGCAGTTGAGATAAAAATGTCTGCCGGGTTGACCATGTTTCCTCGTTCTCCAGAACCAGCTATGAACACAAATAAATCTGAACGGCCTTGACCATAAACTCAATCATGGATGGCTTATCCTTTCAGGAATGCTCATCAACAGGCATAAAACTTATTTGGATCAGGACTCTCTTGTGTGGTTTAAGCTGAGATAAACATCTTCACACATCTTTCTTGTCTTCTTTTTTAATCACAGTTATGGGCAAAAAATCTGTAAAAGCTACGTTCTGTTGTTGCTAGCTAACCAACCAACAGGTTAGGCAACGTTACAGACGTCTTAAACTTAGAACAGAGTAAATATATTTAAAAATCTGCTTTACTGTTTTTATGTCGTTTACCAGAAACGTTAACATTGAGCTCCGCTTTGCTTCTCAACACGTTTCCTGTTCGAAATGTTCAGTCGCGTCGTTGTAACCACGCGTCAAAATAATAGTCCCAATGTTCCAGTATAATACAACCCATTCTTGTGTTTCCCAACATCTTTGCTGTAGCCGACGTGCACTGCACTCTTTCTTAGTTTTATTTGTTACCTCGGGAAGAGCTTATTTAATTAGTTAATTATTCGGATCAGGTGTTGGGAGCTTATGATTATCACTAGAAAAGCGTTCCAATTAAAATAACATACACACTATATCTAAAAAAAAGTAATGTTAAAAGTTAAGCTGCCATTGAGCAGGAAAGAACACAAAAAGTGCAGTGCATGTGTACTAGGACTGGACTCAGGAACAACTGACCTATTCTTTTCTAGGGATATACTGTTTTAAACACTACAGTTCACACATATACAAAATATAATGTCCATGAACATTTCCGCTCGCAATGTTTTATACCGCGAATTTTCGGTAGTGGTTAAGCTTCTGAACTTTTATTATGAAAGAACGTATCTTTTCAGTGATCAGGAAGTAAACCGTGTTTTGTATTTTGCCAGCATGTCAGCTGTATTAGGATCGTTGTGAGTGATTTAGGTAATCGCTGCTGATACAGCAGCGCGTGTATTGATGTTTACAATGACAGATAAACATATACACCCATAATCTGAAAGGCGAATTTGCCCCTGGTGGGGTTTTCCTGCTCTAAACTGTGAGGGCAGAGCTGAGAAGTTTACCATGGGCTCCCAGGACGTTCTCAAGAGTGCATCAGCTCTTGCATCCTACAATGTCTTGCTTCAGGTACTGACGTCCCACCGTTTAGAATAAAGTTACATGTAAATAGGTATAGCAGTAACCGTAACCTGAATTGCGTTTTTTTTCCATATTTAGGTGATGTTCCGCCTGCTCACCTTCTTCTTGAATGCTTTTACACTGCGCTTCGTGTCCAAGGAATTAATAGGCGTAGTAAACGTCAGGTATGTCGGCAGTACTTGCTGGGCTTATCTACTTTGGTTAATCGTGGTTACTGATTATGTTGTACATTTACTCTGAGACTCAGTAAAGCGCTTGTGTTCAGGTTGATGCTTCTGTACACCACGCTGGTTTTCCTGTCCAGAGAAGCGTTCAGGAGGGCGTGTCTAAGCGGTGAGGGGGCGGAGCGTAACTGGAGGCAGGTCATCAACCTGTTGTGGCTCACGTAAGTATTCAGTCTTGTCTTCACTGCGCTCTTTACGGCGGGCTGTTGGGTGATTTATCACAGCGTGATAAAAATTTAGAAATGCATGAAAAGCATCCATTCATAATTTCTGTGATGCAACATACCCCAAAACTTAAAAGAGAGCACCACACATTGATTTTCAAAAGTTAAATAGACTATAAAATTTAATAAGATTAATATTTATATTTTTCCAGGAATATGAAAAAGGAAACATAATTAAAGGAATGAATAAAAATAAAGACAAAGAATCTTAATAGGTTATCACATTCACACAAACACACATAACCTCACATGCAAAGACTTAAAGAAAGAAATCAGCCAGCTAAAACTCGAAGAGAGAGAGAGAAAGAAAGAAAGAAATTCAGAAAGTGGTGCACATGGGAGCACCTGCAGGTGTTGCCCCCTCCCCCAGCTGCTTAATCAAAGCAGTTATAGCTTTATGCAAATTACATGTACATTAGCCAATCTACATGTACAATTGCTGATTCATCATTGACTTGAAGTGGTTCATAAACTAAACGTATTGTCATTGGTTATATTCAGTCAGCAATAGTGTCCTTTGTGTGCCCTCACAATGTATTAGAATTACTACCTCTTGGAAAAATCGCATTACTCATTACTTTACTTCTGTTTTGCTCTGGACTGACTATATAAGGGAAACCCAGTAGTCCATTTGAATAATTTATTTAGAAATAAATAGTCAATCATGGTAAACATCATTTGAGAGACACATCACTATCCCTGCCTTTAAACAAGACAGTAATGCTGAATAAAATGATGAACAGCTGCTGCTGTTTGAAAATTAAGAATCTAGCCAGTAGAAACAGTCCAAAAATAGCAGCCTTGAAATAAAATCTTTGTGAATGAAATGTAAAGCTTACACAGCTGTTTCGAAAAGAAAAGTAATTCATTTTTTCGTTTTGGCTCTCAGTCTCCCACTCGGTTGTCTCTGGGGTGTGCTGCTGGTATGTGTGTGGTGGTGGCTCCTCCAGGCTCCAGATCCTGAGGCTGTTCCACATTATGTCCCCGCTGTTGGGTTCTTTTGCCTGGCTGCTCTTACGGAGTTGCTGGCTGAGCCGCTTTGGGTCCTTGCACACGCACACATGCTCGTCCGCTTAAAGGCAAGTGAGACTGTCTTTACTTTACTGACTCTACTTTCTAAGGCCCATATCCCACATTTTCTTCTATAATAATAATAATATCGTTATTTATAGAACATGGTTCATACCAGTGGGAGCTCAGTGCTCTACAGACAGGTGATAAAGAAATTATTATGAGTATTCATTTAAAATCTTATAAGGCAGACAGATCAAATTGAAAAGATGAATACCGAGAGAGACATTTTTTTTTTTTTTGGAAAATGAATTTTAAATCGCCACGAGACACACAAGCAGAAAAGTTAGCGTTAATTAGTCAGTCTATGGTGGAAAAAATAACTTTGGTGTTATCTTTGCATTTATTAATTACACTACAGAGGTTGGACTGTCTAGACCTTTTCATAGCATTATTGTAGGTTGAGATCTGTTCTTTGAGAATGTCATAATGTAGCTGCAGTTTAGTTTTCCTCATTCATCCACAGATTTTGGTTGGTGCAAGAATGTTAAGAGTACCTTTAATCTAGAATTTAGATCAAAGATCAGCTCAGAAGGGAGTCAATGTTATATTTCATGAACTAATTTTATTTTCCTGTGAGGCCCACTTATATATTTAATTATTACATGACCATTTTCTCTCTTTTTATCACTTAAAATTAAACAGGCTGTTTTTGTTACTGACATTTGTAAATGACCTCTGATCTCTGTTCTGTGTTTGTCATGTATTGTGCCCATATTCAAAAAGTCTGTGCTGGAACACTTTGTGTAACTTTTGCATGAATGGACGGGGCTAAAATGCTGTAGAATGAATATGCATACATGCATGGGCTGCTTTTTGCAGCGTGACTGTCATGTATAGACTGTATGGGCATGAGAATGACCAGTACATTTTTGAAACTTTTACAGTGTTTACATACTGTAACAAGTCTTGTATTTAAAAAGCAAGGAAAATTTGGTTTTCCATGATACAGGTCCTTTAATTTGTAAGTTAGTGGTGCCATACAACTTATAAAAGAACTCACTTGATTGTTTCTCAACTTCTTTTTACAGGTTGTTGCTGAAAGCTTAGCAATGATTGCTAAATGTCTTGTCACTGTGGTGATGGTGGTCTCTGCTCCTGATTGGGGTCTCTACATATTCTCTGCTGCCCAGGTGAGGGTCTGTGTGTACGTAAGAGGTTAGATGTGTGTGTGGTCTTTTGTTTTCTTTCTCTTGCCGTATCTGTATCTTTGTAACCTGTGTGTATATGTGTTATAGTGTGTGTATGCAGGATTCCTACTTCTCTGTTACGTCATCTACTTCCTCCAATTCCTTGGTTCTGAGGAGGCAAAGAAGAAGTCCTTTCCTCTGGATCATGTCTCACAGCTGCTGCCCACCAGAATGAATGGACAGGTAAAAGGTTGATGTTTTTCTTCATTTCAGTCAGGAATAGCTGTGATCTGCTAGCTTTTGGTACCACAGGAAAAATCTTTGTTCAGCAACAATTCTATCAGTGATGCATTCTTTTGTATATGTGCTCAAAGAGTAAAACAACATAAAAAGCTCACATTAGAACGGAGAAATAGATCTATTACGCAGGTTAATGGTGAGTCTTCACCCTGTTACATACTGTCATTAGAAATCTAATCATAGCCATCTTGAGAAGTGTGAATTGTTCTGGTATTTGGAGGGGGGGTATAGGCCTGGGAAATATGACAATATTTATTGTTAATTAAATTACATCACAGTATGCATATCTGCATATCTGAGCATATCTAGGATATTATCCTGCAATTTCAGCTGATTAATTAGAAAGAGAGCATAAATAATCCAGTTTAATTGGTTTAATTTAGTGCAGCACAGTGTGTGAAATGTTAAATACAAACCACTGGATTCACAGTTTTGATAGTATTTATAAATGTGGCTCTAATTTGTCTGTTCCAACTTATAAGATGTCAGAAAAAATAAATATTGTGACATATGGTGTATTATGAAAACGTCTTGGAGTATTGTGATATTACTTTTTTGCCATATTGCCCATCTCTCTTCCAATTCACCCCTCTTACTAGTAGCTCAACACAGAGTCACAAAATTTCACTATATTTTCCCCCCTACAGTGTCCTAGTTAATGTGATAACAAACCTATTGGGAAAAAATAAATTATTTGATTATACTGAAGAAAAATATGCATGTCAGTTAGCATTCCACTGGTGGAATGACCACTAGGGGGCCTGCAGATAGAGGCTAAAGTACTCGCTGAAGTACTACTATACCCGACCCAAGTGCTAAAACAAACTATTACAGTACATTGTAGTCCATGTCATTATTTAAAAAAATGAAGAGTGACCCTCTCTAAGACAAATGCTGATAGTTGATGCATGTTTATGTCTGTGTAGCTGCTGATAAACTGGAAGCTTGCCACACTGACTTGGAGTTTCTTCAAACAGTCCTTCCTCAAACAGATACTCACAGAAGGTAAAGTGTTAAATTTGCATTAAATTTTTGATATGTGCATTTTTCCCAATTTTCAAAGATATTTTGATTAAAATATATATTTCAGGTGAGCGTTATGTAATGACCTTCCTGAATGTGCTCAACTTTGGAGACCAGGGTGAGTATATTCATCTTAATAGAAAGCAACTTTAAGTCATACCTTTATGTAAGTTCGACTCACTTTCCCCAGGTCTGTTTTTTCTTTAGGGGTGTATGATATAGTGAACAATCTTGGCTCGATGGTGGCTCGGTTTCTCTTCCTGCCGATTGAGGAGAGTTTCTATGTGTTCTTTGCCAAAGTGTTAGAGCGAGGGCGGGACGTACGGCAGCAGAAACAGGTCAGTGCAACCAGTCACACACCTGCCCTCAGCCAATCAGGTATGAGCTTGGATGGAAATAATGAGTGTTATTTGGTCCACAGGAGGAGGTTTCCATAGCAGCAGATGTACTGGAATGTCTGCTGAAGCTGGTTCTCCTGATTGGTCTGATTATCACTGCGTTTGGTTACTCGTATTCTCACCTGGCCCTCGATATGTATGGGGGAGGACTTCTGAGCAGTGGGACAGGTAAAACAAACACACATACACATGTACACACACATACAGAGGCCCCAAAAAGTATTTGGACATTGTTAAAGTCACATATTAAGAAGGTTTTTTTCTAAAATTACTATTTTGGATATACAGCACTGTGCAAAAGTCAAGAGACCACTCTTCATTTTATTGAATTTCCAGTCAAACTGGCCTTTAAGTTCAGGTTTTTATTTTTTTGGCACCAGCAGAAAACAGTTACGTACTTATCATTTAATGGAAGATTATGCAGAAGCCTCAACAAGGAAAATATAGTATCAGTTTTTTTAGTATTTGTTGTGTCCACCCTTTGCCTTTAGCACAGGATTCAATCTATTCAGGAGACTTTCTTTAAGAAAAAGTTCAGTCTTAGTAGTTGGTTAGATTTTCTGCTTCTCACAATCCAAATAATCCGAAATATACTCAGTGATGTTTAGATCTGGACCCCAGTGGTGGCCCATCTATTGTTCTGAGTACATCGGCAACTTCTTTGTTTGATTTGCAAGAGTTCACCTTTTTTAACTTGTATTTGAAGGCCTTTTGATTGGAAATTAAAAAAATAAAGGGTGGTCTCTGACTTTTTCACAGGACTGTATGAAGTTACCTGTGATAGTAAGATGTCTATTAGCATTTTATGTTAATATAATATTACGTTTTTTTTGTGCTTGTTTCAGGGCCTTCTCTTTTGCGGTGCTACAGTTTTTACGTACTTCTTTTAGCCATCAATGGTGTAACAGAGTGTTTTGTCTTTGCTGCCATGAGCAAGGAGGAAGTGGACAGGTTTGTCTTTGTAGCCATTTTCTAAACATTTATTTTTTATTTATGCAAGTATGTCTTAATCATTTTGGTTTGTTTGTAGGTATAACCTAGTGATGCTGGGGCTGTCTGCATCCTTCCTGCTGCTTTCTTATTGGCTGACCTGGCTGTTTGGGGGCGTGGGCTTCATCCTGGCAAACTGCTGTAACATGGGTCTGCGAATCATGCACAGTCTAATTTACATACACCGCTACTTCCAGCACAGTGTCCACACCCCTCTGTCTGGACTCCGCCCACATCCTGCTCTGCTGATCGTCCTCACGATAAGCTTTGTCCTCACAGCCTTCTCAGAGGTAAAGCTGCAAACAGTTAATATTTATGTGAGGTCTGTTATGTAAGATCAGTGCATCTGATTTGTTTTTCTTCTATGTGTATTTCAGCGTATGTTGTGCTGTGACAGCGGCTGGTTGCTAAGGCTGGCGCACGTCACCATTGGAGCAGTTTGTTTACTGGGTGTGGTCATCGTTGCGTTTCTTACAGAAACCAGACTTGTTCAGTTCATTAGAACTCAGCTACTACCCAAATACAGCAAGAAACACACATGAACTTAAGATAAAACTTTGACCTTGAATTAAAAAGCAGCTGTGAGTTTGGTGTTCAATTGTGGACCAAATATTGCCTTGTTTGATTTAGGCATCTGTGAACACTGTATAGATAATCTAGAAATATTCTTAACATTTTTAATGTTTTCTTAAGATTGGTCACAAGCTTTTTTTAAACTTTGGAATACCTAAAATACTTTCGACTCATGTCTGTTGGCTTTTTACAGGGGTTTCAAAAAGACTGTCCTTCAAGACAGTCTAATGATATGAAAAAATATGTGTAATGGTGCATGACTGTTTAGGATGTTCAACCATGAAGTACAAATGCACAAAACAGATCTCTTGTGTGTTTTCTTTGTTTTAGACCCTCTTACATATCTAAAAACCAACCATTATTATCTCCTGCACTAACTTACCAAATTTCCAAAGGCAGGAATCTACAAATGTTCTCTCTGTGTGAAACTACAATTATTCACTTCTAGTGTGCTTATCCTTTATTCACGATGAACCCTGAAGTAGTATGCAGTTATTACAATTAGTAAAATAAATTGACTTCTGATAGTGGAGAGTGGTTACAGTTTTATTTAAAATTTTATGATGTTTTCTTAATTCTTAATTGAGGTGATGATGTGGTGATAGTAAAATGTATTTGTGATTTTAGTAAAATAATAGGTTTTTTTTGGCTGATTTTTGGCTGTGTTATACAGTGCATTTATTTGGAAAGAAAATATGGAAGGGGAAAAAACTGAAAACATATAAATTAATAAAATGGTTTCTGTCAAAGTGTGGTCAGCCTCTTATACTGTTCCTTTATCCAAATCCTGAGATTTCAGGCTAATGACAGACTCGTCTGTTACATCTTCTGACTTTTATTGCACACTTTCATTTGGACAGTTCTCAAATTTTTAATTTTATTTTGCAGAATTTAGTTTTAGAGATGTAAACAAAGAAATTAAAAGTTCAGATTCAGTGGTGGTGGTAGGAACCAGGACACACATACACCAACCACTTTTTTATGGAAATCTCCTTGTCTCTTCACTCATTGTCCATTTTATCAGGTCCATCTACCACATAGGTGGGTTTGTTTTGTAGTTCTACAGACTGTGTCCATCTGTTTCTCTGCATACATTGTTGGCCTCCTTTTACCATGTTCTTCAATGGTCAGCACCCCCACAGGACCAACATAGAGCAGGTATTATTTTGGTGGTGGATCACTCTCAGCACTGCAATGACACTGATGTGGTGGTGGCGTGTTGGTGTGTGTTGCACTGGTGCGAGTGGATCAGACAGCAGTGTTGCTGTGGTTTTCGTTCCATTTACTTATAGCAGCGCAACACTCACTAACACACCACCACTACGTCAGTGTCACTGCAGTGCTAAGAATGACTCACTACCCAAATAATGGCTGCTCTGTGGTGGTCCTGACCATTGAGGAAATGGGTAAAAGGGGGCTAACAAAGCATGTGGAGAAATAAGTGGACTATGGACTACATAATCCACCTGTTTCTATGCATATTTTCTGTGTTTATATTTTTTGTTCATACACGTCCTCTGAGTTTTTATATGTAATGTCGATGATGGTGAAATAGATTTATGTAACTTACTCTCTACAGCACAGTATGTCATTTCAGTAGAATGAGACAAGGAACAGTCTACACACTGACCTAAAAACAACACTAATTAAAACCATGTGGTGACCAACACGAACGTACAACATCAGAGTGTGATCCAGCACCACTACCTCACATGTTCACTTAAGAGCACATAAGTTTGTCATTGCTGGATTGAAGGAAGCATCTGGAACAAACAGCCGTCACCCCATTATTATCATGTACATCACCGTGAGAATGGAAGGAGTGAGGAGAGAGGGAGGAGGAGTTAAAGAGTGACTCATGTTCTGGCTAAAAGTATTATAGTCCCCTAGGGTTTGTATGTGGACAGAATTCTGGAAGGGAAGGGTGTGTGAGTATAAATAGGAATAATAGAGGAAAGGAAGGAGGGAAACAGAGAAACTAAAAGCAAACAAGACTTCAAGCACATGCTGCAAAGCTGCAGTGAAATTTTGGATTTATTCAGTATCTAGAAGCTCCTGAACTGCAAGCATGTCTCAGGTATGTGAAAGCAACTTATTAGAACAACAAAAGAAGCCTTCAGCAGCAGAGGAACGTTAATCCTCCCTTCTCTCTAGCTACAGGAGGAGGAAGAGGAGGGGAAGGTGAAGAGGCCGGAAGTGAGAGATGAAGACCTAATCCAAGCGAGAGAAAAGCTGGCCTCTGGGACGGAGGTGAAGAGTAAGACCTTTCAGGTGATGGAGGAGTGCGGTGAGTAATCTCAGCACTAAATGATTGTGCGTGTGCAGTCAGTGCTGGTGAGTAGGTCAGTGGGACCCTGATGTTTGAAACTGTATGTAAGATTCAGAGCAGGGCTGCTTCTCTGAAGGGGTTTGAAATGTGTGTGTCTGTGTGTGTCTGTGTATATGGTCTGCTGGCTCTGCTGCTGTTTCCACTCCATATAAAGTAGCACAGGCTCTCGAGGCTGGGACACACAGACAAATGCACTCTAGAGAGTGACAAATATGTGTTTATATGGAAGTTTCTAGTCTAGCCTGTATTCATCTGTCTCAGTAATAAGTGGTCACATAATATTATTGTCACATAACTGCTTAAGGCATACAACACAACCCACTGTTTAGCTAAGGACTGCAGCGATGTAATATGTTTCTTGTGAATTTTATTTTACTATATTTATATAATATGGAAGCCTATTCCTGCCAGGTAGAGAAGAAAAAAATCAGTTATTTCCCCCTTCTCTTTTTCTGACTCAACTCGAAAATTTGAGTTGATATCTCAAAATAATTACAGTTTCTCTAAATTTTGACTATGTCAAAGTAATTTTATTGTATTTTCTCTAAGGTTTGACTTAGTATCTTGAAAAATTACTTAATTTCACAAAATATTGACTTGCTGTGTCAAATTTGTCTCAGAATTTTAATTTAGTATCTTAAAATCTTAACTGTTAAAACTATGATTGATTTATTTTCTTAAAGGTTTGAGTTAGGATATCAAATTAATGACATTTTCTCAAAATACTAACTTACTGTGTTGAAGTAATGACTTTTTATAAATAATTACTTAGAATGTTGTAATAATGACTTGTGCCCAAATAATTCATTACTTTCTTTAAATTTAATGTCATTATTTTTGACAGTCAATATTTTGATATGTCATTATTTCAAGATATAAAGCCAATATTTCAAGAAAACAAGACATTATTTCAAGATACTAACTCAACATTTTGGGAACGCAAGTCATTCTTTCTAGATATTAAGTCAATATTTCAAGAAAAGGAGTCATTATTTCAAGATTTTAGGTCAATTTTCAGAAAATAATAAAGATATTAAGTAACTGTATCAAGAAAATAATGTAATGAGCCCCAAACGGACCTTTGCAAAAAATATTAAAATATTTAAGCTTTTAATTGAGTTTGAGGATTAAAACATACTCATTAAATGTCCTGCTCTTCCAGAGTACAATACATACATTACCAAATATCAGTTTAAACTACTGAAACATCTACATTGAAACAATGTCTGACAACAAGGTTTTTAAAATTACTATCTAACAATACTATTATCGTGCTTTCCTGTCTGAAGATGTGTTAATTTGTTTTCTTTCATCAGAGCGTGTTGGAAAAGTCGCTCCATCTGTATTCAGCAATGTTCGTTCAGGTGGAGAGACCGTCTTCAACAAACCCAGCAGGAAAAAGTAGAACTCGCAGAGAAGAATTCAAGTTTCAGTACTACAGATTTACAAAATTTGTCTCATGTGCTGAGTTAAGAAAAGTGTTCAATAAAAACTTTGAAAGTCTTGCATGATGAGCTTTGAGTCACTGAGGACAGCCACGGTTACCTGCTCTATACTGAATGTTCTGTCACTTTAAAGTATATCTTTTGTATAGTTACTTGATTAAAATATAATACAGTTATGTTGTTTCAAAACCTTGAAGTAATAATAAACTTTAAATAATTATAAGTTAACATGCCTGAATTTCCTATAAAGGCCATTTGTTTGAAAGGAGACTGAGACACAGTGTTATGCATGTCAAATATTAAACATACAGAACATGATTAGAAAGACAAGTTTATTTAAATTTCTTACATCGCTTTTCACATCTTATCAATAACAAACATTAACAGTATGTAAAAGTCTTCAGCTCAAAAGGCTAAAAAAAGAAAAAAAGTCACAGACCCGCATTAAGCAGAGGGATGACAGGTAAGAGTAATTCTTGTTTAACAGTAAATTTTTAGGGGCAAAAGTCTGACAGCGTAGGCAATGAGGCCAGATTGACCTGCGCACTGTTTTGCTTGATTAGATTAATGGTGAATGGTAGGGCCAGTACAGCAAAGGGTTGAATGGGAGAGTTATTTCATGAACTTGGTGTGCTGGTCCTGTAGGATCTTTGCTGAAGACTTGGCGTCGTAGAAGAGCTCATTTATTTCTTCCACCTGCTCTCTTTCTACTCCTTCCTTACCTTGAACTCGTGCCAGCAGATTGGCTGGAGTCAAGAGCTGCACTGCATACCTGCACACACAAACACACAGACCTCAAATAATCAATGATTTAAGTGTGCTGTGAACTGCTTAGAGTATTCAGAGATGATGCAGAACACCAAGATCATTTTATAAGACCTAACCTGCAATGTGTCTTGTTAGAGGATGTGACTTTATAAGGTATTTGTGGGAATGAGTCATGTGTATGATTTTCAAGTTACCTGAGGGTTGTCTTGGTGCCGATCTCTCCCAGGTGAGTTAAAGCCTCCTCGCTAATGTTGATGCCTTCTATCTGAGCTCGGATTTTAATGATCTGCAAAGGCAGATACAGACATTAGCACATATTTTTTGTACTATTTGAATAGTAGTTTTACACGGGGAGGTGAGGTAACATCATTTTTACCAGCTTTTGTCAGTTATTTTAGTCCCATCCAAATCTACCATGTCAGTAGTTTTTATAGACTATGTGCTTTTAGCTGTTTAGGGTAAACAAAAGAGCAACTAAATTAAATGTTTTGACGTGTTGTCTACTCTTCAGTGCATAAGTTGTGTAGCCATGATTTACTTCAGTCCCTCTAATTCATACCAAGACTTCTTATCCAGCGTGATTCGGTCATAAACATTTCAGACATCCTGTGATAAAATGACATTATCCTACCTCACCATGGAAAAATAATCATGTTAATGGCATGTTTGTCTCTTTTTTTTGTATGCATTCACCTGTTTCATTTCCTGAGGAGTGTACAGCATGGTTCTGATGATCATGACTCGATCCAGAAGGTCGAGTGGTATTCCATGAGGAGAACTGATATCCTCCGTCCCCCTGAGAAAGGCAACAAACAAAAAAATTAACCGACTTGCATCAGCTTAAATAATCATACTCACTTATAGCCACGCAAATTCACTAACTACATCTGTTCAAAGTCTTCAAAAATAAAGCACACATTCTTAAAGTACTAGAAGCCCATTTAATTCCTTACTTTCATATCTACATGTTACTATTACATTTTAGTTCAATAGTAATTACATAATTCATAGTAGTTACTAAGTCATAAGTCTTAAGATTAATAACTGAAAAAAGAATAAGGTTCAGGGGTTAAAACACTACATACACAATATTTCACTTCTCCATGCAGATATTCATCTTCATAAAGACCTTAAAAAGTCCTACCTAATGAGGCAGTTTCCCCGGTTAGATGCGAACACTACAATAGGAGCGATGGAACTCTCCAGAGCTCGGTGCAGGTACGTGAAACACTCGATATCCAGCATGTGAACCTCATCAATGAACAACACACCAGGCACAAGCTCCGCCACACCTTGATCTATGTACCTATTTACCACCTTATTAATCTCCCCTCGCAGCTTATCTACAAACACAGACACCAAGAGTTAGCATGGCAGTAATGAAGTTAGATTGTTTATATATAGAACCAATTCAACAGAATAAAATGATGTGTGTGTGTTGTAAAGTGTCCTACCTGTGATCTCAGTCTTCTTGGGTTTCATTAGCTGACCCATCATAGAAAGAATGTCCTGGCCTCCCTGACACACAAAGCAAGAATGAGTGCAACACTGCGATTTATACACTCAAACATATTTGACTTTGAAGCTTTTGAGATACAGTTTATGTTCTGTGCATTTGTGAGTCAGTGATTTTGTGTATACCTGAGGTCGTGCATTAGCTATATCCAGGTCATGTAGCGTAACATCTTGTATAATCTCTTTCTTCTTGTGAACATCTCCTTTGGGCAATGGCACATATTCTTCTGCCTCCAAATCAAATTCTGTCGCAAATGTGTCACAACGTCCCTGCCTCTGTGGACCAATAACAGCACAGAATACGGAATGAACACAGCTGTAAACATTAAGTAGGTATCATACGTTTACAGAACAGAAGGTTAACCATTCACCAATCTTATAACCAGAGACAAACATACACATTCAAAGAAACATCTTTCCTCCATGTCTTCTTCACCTTTGTCAAAAAGCAGGCGACCTCTTTTTAAGAAGCTGTCTTTGGAAAGTCAGTATTGTTGAAAGTGAGAAGGCAATGCAAGGAACTGTGCCACAATATGTATGGAGAGCATGAAAGGTCTGTCAGCAGTTTGAAATACAGTCTTGTCTTTAATCTTTTGCCAGACGGCCTGCCCACCTGCACTGACTAAAGGATACATCAACACACCAAACCTGCAAGTATGGAAGAGACAGAGCAATAGTCTGTGTGAGTCCTAACCTTGACTGCCCCACTGTTGGCTTCAATGTAGATGACATCACCAACCTCCACCCTCTCCTTCTGCAGACTCTCATAGATACTGGGATCAAGCTATGAAACAGAGAAACAGAATAAATGGTGTATTTATTTACAAGCCATATTTTTCCTAATTTCACAAAAAAAATCTATTTTTGTTTACCTTCAGCTGTTTAGTACCCTTTGCTGTCTTCAGGCCAATGATGACATGACTGATAGTTTTTCCATAGCCGCCCATTGGATTTTCCGTCTCACATGGGGTCAACTCAGTCACCTCACCTTCATACACTTCTTTAGTCTCCTTAATTCTCAGACCTACACATTCATAGCATTCATATAAAACGATTTGACTGACGAAGAAGAAAATAGTTGAAACAAAACTATTTTAAATGTAAGCAAAGCAAGATACAGAATTGATAGGAATGCACCAATTTGGGAATTCTTGGCTTATGCCGTTACCCAATAGTTTTCATGTACATGCCTGTCTAGGCCTATACATAAACATTTAGAAAATGTAAAAATATGGATTAGCATTACAGATAAATGTAAAGGTTATCTGTATAGAGTTGCAAATGCAGTAAAACGCAGACATTTGCTTCATCAGTTGGTACAGTAGGTGGGTGTAATGCTATAGAGTGGGTTAATAACAGATTAGCTTCTCCGTTCACACAGTAGCCGCTGTTTCACCTGTGCACTGCCTTTTGGTGTCAGGTAACCGTGTGTGTGCGGGTGTGTATGCCACGAGCCAAATGCAAAGGGCAAATGTAGGGAGTATGATGACAGCAGCACAATAGACCCTCTCTGGTCTCACAAAGTACTTTTTTGAGGGACTGTGATGTAGGCCTCCTTCTTGCTCTATTTCTTTTCTTTTTCCTCACCTCTGACAGGTTAGATCAACACATACAAGCATGCATATAGTGTGTGTGTGTGTGTGTGTGTGTGTGTGTGTGTGTATATATATATATATATATATATATATATATATATATATATATATATATATATATATATATATATATACACACACACACCTTTCTCAGGAGGGCAAGTTTGGTGGTTTTCCTGCTTGAATACACCTGATTCAACACAGATTTAGTTGTTGCGTCAGATTAGAGAAATCAGCAAACTGTGCTGGACTCTGGCCCTCAGTTCCCCTCCTCTACTATAGAGGGGCTTCCATTTTTCTTAAATGTATGAATGTGGGACTCACCAATTGCTCTTCTGAAGTTCTCCATCAGTACCTCTGTCTTCTTAATCTCTGAAGAGTACACTTCACTGCCCACCATGGGACAGAAAGGCACCTTATTCCCCAGCTCCTGTGCCATGGCCAATGCTAGAGCCGTCTGTAAGACATAAACAGGTGATTAATGCACATGTTCATCAATCCAACAAGTAGCAACTCATAATTATTCATGCATGCAAAGCCAGACATGTCACCACTTTCGGGCGTAACAGTCCACACCGAGGGGAAAAAGTAACCACTATTGGTGTAGATACCTTTCCAGTTCCAGGTGGTCCCGCTAGTAATACAGCTCTGCCGGCCATCTTTTTAGAACGAATCAGCTCCACGATGATGCCACAGGCCTGACCAAAGGGAAAAAAGCTAAAATTCAAACTCATGTAAATGAGCTAATGTGTTGTTTTCTACGATCATGCAGTGCAGGTGTGTTCTCCATGTACAAACACACAGTCAGCTAGCTACAGTTATTTATTAACTCTTCAGGAGAGTGTCAGAGTATAATTTCTCAAAATAGCGCTGGAACTATGCTCTGTTGGAATGTGTGTAGAGAAAAAAAGTACAATTTGACGTTAAAATAATCCTCAGTTAAATAAAACGTATCTATCTGAATGCCGTAGGTTAGCGTTTAGACTTTTTACAGCCAGTACGTTTAGCAAAAAAGCTTTAATATAACTTAATGCTACAGGATGAAGGCATATGATGGCCATATTAGCTAGCTAGCTGAACATACTAAAGAGTTACACTTTTCATGACCCAGAATAACTTATGTACCCTCATTCCCTCATTCTGTTATTCATCAGTCTGGCCAACCAAAATGAACTAGTTAGCTGGTTAGCACAGCTCCCGTTAGCTAACGCTAGTTAGCTACCTCTCTGGCGGCCTCCTGGCCCACCAGGCCGGACGCAGTCTGCTTAGCATTGCCGGCTTCGTCCAAGCCGAGGCCTTTTACGTGGCTGTGAGAGGCGATGCGCTGGGTCTTCGTTGTGCTTTTCACCTCCTCGATCTTCATGGCTCTCCGCTGTGGTCCAAAAAGCTAAAAAAAACACTTCTCTCTGTCTTCAACAACGGCCGCCTACTTTCGCCGTTGAAATCGGCGCGACTGCAAACACGGGGGACCGCGTTTCCATGCGGGTTACCAAGGAGATTTGGGGAAGTCACCTCCTCCGGTAACCTTTTCTTAATGATTATTGGTTAGAAGTCCTCAAATCTGCTCGTTCATTGGATGACACCGATGTCTATCAAAGGTGAAGCTCTTTCTATACACCCCTTTTCCGCTTGTGTACTAGTTTGAAGAACCGTATAGAAACAGAGGCGATGTGTTGTGAGCTTTACAATTTGTATTTCACTCCATATTAACTTCAGTGAGAAAAACAATGTTTCACAGACAGTTAATGAATACATTTCGAATGCCTTTGTTTTAGTGTCTTTTCTCTAATACTATCATTAACGACATCCCTCGTTTTAACGTAACTCGACACCATTAGTCCGTTAAGTTATTCACCGTATTTCTGAATAAACCTGCAGTCGTTCCATGTGAGCGCAAACACGGTTATTCGCTTTATATTAAAGTATTTCGTGACTGTTTCTTTGCATGCTGGTTCGTGGCAGCACACGGATCAAACCTCACTTGGAACCTATACTGAGAATCAAATTTAGCAGGTGGAAATGTTTTTGGCAACGCAGGAAGTGCATCTGTCAGATGATATGGCATAACGTTAACGTTACTGCAGAGCAGATGAGGCCTGGGTTAAGATCTAAATTAGTCATTTTTGTCATCCGTGTATCTTAAAGTGAAAGGCTTTGGTTAAATTGCACCCCGAGAGGAGGTCAGTAGAACTTCTGTGTGTGAGAATAGCTGAGAGCGCAGCGTCAGTCTTTGATCAAAGTCCACGGGCTCCCTGTCGTCTCTCTCTCTCTTTTTCTTCCATTCGTTCGCTGCCCTCTGTAGTTCATACTAATGGCAGATCCGAGCGCCAGTGTAGGGAACAGCCTCCCTAGAATCCTAAACTTTAACGTGGGTGTACTGGGCCATGTGGACAGCGGGAAGACATCTCTGGCCCGGGCTCTGAGCAGCACCGCCTCCACCGCCGCCTTCGACAAGAACCCTCAGTCCAAAGAGCGAGGCATCACTCTGGATCTGGGCTTCAGCGCCTTCATCGTGCCTTTACCCGAGCACCTGAGAGAGGCCTGCGGCGAAAGACAGTACGACAGCTTACAGTTCACACTGGTGGACTGTCCGGGACATGCGTCTCTCATTCGGACAATCATTGGTGGTAAGCTGAGTGTGTGGGTTTCTGTCTGTAGGTAGTTATTAACAGAGCAGGGTAGTAAGTAACTTACCTACAAAAAGTCTGCTTAAACAAAATTTAGAGGCGTTTGTACTTTTTAATTATCCTCAAATGATAATTTTTTTATTTACACCACCGTTCAAAAATATAGAAAAATGTTTAAAGGGCCCGCGTCCTACACTTTCCTTCTATTTTTTTTTCTCCGAGGTCCTCTTATAAGATTGGTGTGGTCATAATTCATTTTTACACAACAATTTTCCAGCCTCTTTTTGTTAGTGTGCCTTTAAGACTGAAATAAGATAGTTGTGCTCTGTTCTGATTGGCTGCTCTATATTGTGCCTCATTCAAAAAGCACTCAGAGCTGAAACACTGCTTAGAACTTCAGTTTAAATGGGCGGAGCTAAACTGCTGTAAGCTGAACAGGTGAGTAGATGCAGTTACATCAGTTACTTTTCGTGGCATCACAGAAACAAAGCGGTCTATTTTTGGAACATGGTTTTTTTATATGGACTGTATGGACCGGGGAGTGAATGACACGTTTTGAAACTTTGGCAATGTGTACATATTACTTCAAACTGTATAAGATCAAGAATGAGGTTATAATAAAACCTCCATCCTTTATAACATCCAGAATTCCTCATCAGAAGTGGTGATTAAGTGTCGAGACAAAAAAGGGAAAAAAATTGCTGTGAACTGAGGATTACAGTATATGATTTAATACGTTCTTTTTGATTCCATAAATACCATACATTTTTAATAAAACATCTAAGAAGACCCTTTGGTCTTGTTTGTAATTGTTTAATCTACATCAAATAAGTTATTATTATTTATTAAAAAACAGCAATTTTGGAAACAAAAGTGATCATAATGGTGAACTGTAGCATTTGTAGAGGGTTAACATGCAGTAAAATTAATAAAATGGACATTTTAGCATAGTAGCCTTGCGTCAGACGTCACAGCTCTGCAGACTTCACTGTTCTGTTTCATTAAACTCAACTGACTCTGATATGATATTAACAATTAGTTAATTAACAATCAACTAATTAACAGTATTCTAATCAACTGAATTCTAAGCATTAGAAGGAGGAATATGCTAATCTCTGCAGAGCCATGACCTGAAAGGAGTCCAGTTTGACTTTCCTGATCTGAGCTCCCTTATCTTCTCGAGTACAGCAAATGCATTATGAGATATCTGTTATGTAATCATTGGTCTAATATCCAATAAATAGACAGGTTCCTATTCTGATACATACCGGATGTACCCAGATGTTCCACAGCAGTTCACATACTTTTTACTCCTACTCAGGTTCTGTTGTGGTAGCTACTTTTACCTTTAGTTTTACTTGAGTCAAGCAGTTGTATTAAATACACATTCTGTGTAGAGCTTTTCAAAGGAAAAAGTGGATGTATTTACACAGAACCTACTCTTTAATACTTGGATTTGTTTGAAGTGGCATAGTCATAGCGGTGATGCATTTTTTTCCACAGCCAAGCAATAATGAAATCTGAGCTTGGGAACGATTTCCTCCACTCTTTTCCTCAGAATTAGTTGCGTGTGTACATTCCATGTAACTCTCATGTGTAATGTTACACACAAAAACACTCCACTTTTAATGGCACAAGAGATAAAAAATAACATTTTTCTTGGTTTATTGTTTTGAGTTTGTCCTTGTAATCCATCCATCAATTATTCTAAACAATTAATGTACAGTAGCAGCAGGATTTCACTCTCTTAGTCCAGCGTTTATGACCCTGCACTTCCAGCTGTGATCTGAAGGTGGAAGCGTTGCCTTAAAGGAGCACTTTCTGTAAAGGATCTTTAATAATTCTGTCCTTTAGGCTCAGGACACTGTGGATAACAGCAATTTTTAGAGGAAATTTTGATATGTTCTGCTCAACATGGGCTGTGAAGAACACGAGTTGGTTGCAGATTAGGGTCGGAGACACGTGAAGCATGCAGCAACACAGCAGTATATATGTAAACAAGTGCACAAACGTCTCCTACACAGCTCTCTTAAAGGGCCCATATCCTACATAATCTCAGCTTCTGATTTGAGCTTTGTGTGATTTTATGTAACAAAAACATCTTAACTATTATTATTCCAACCTCTCTTTATTCTTTAGGATGAAGTAACAGTTTTGTTACTGTGCCTTTAAGACTGATCTGTGTAAGTGACCTCTGTTCTGATTGGCTGCCCTGTATTGTGCCCCATACTTTTTTTTATTTTCCTCCAAAAGCGGTCCTGGCTGAAACGCTCCTCGTAACTTAAGTGTGAATGGGCGGGGCTAAACTGTTGTAGGCTGAATGATATGGATATATGTAAATGTGTTGTTTTTTCAGCTTAGTTTCCATGAGTTAATGGTACATTTTGAGATGTTAACAATGTTTATGAGTTACATTAAAGTCTTGTTTAATAACAGTGATTTTTTTCCATGACATGGGCCATTTAAAGTAAGAGATGGACAGGTCAGTGGACAGACGGACAGACACAGGAGTCATAAACAGTCCCTTTCCTGTGGGGTTACAAATGTGTGCAACAAATATATTAAATATGATGTAACTTGAGCTACATATTAATGAGATTTTTAAAAATGTGCAGGTGAATATTATAAAACCAGTGTTTGTTACAAATTTTACATGCATTTAACAGTCTTGCTGGCCTTCTGCACAGCTGTCTGTAGGTTTAGATGTGTAGTCAGACAGGCTGGTTTCCCTGTATCCATATTCACCTCGTCTCAGAGGCCCTGTGGTTGCGGGGGGGAAGGGAGGGGGCTTTCGGAGGGAAGTAGAATCTTCTGAGGTCTTACTTAACTAAGACTAAATATATTTAGAGAAAGAGAGGAATGGAGAGAGGAGAAGGTTGAGACCACTTACAAGGATGTAGCTTGTGTTTGGGGGGCACATGTGGTTGATTAAGGCGGAAGGCTGGTGTTTAAGGTTCCAGCTAAACTTCCTCCCTCCCCCCCGAGGGAACACTCCGTAAAGAACAAGCATGAAGGAGAAAAAGGAAAGACCACCTTTTCTCTCTCTCTCTCTCTCTCTCTCTCTCTCTCTCATGTCATACCATTATAAATTTCTCTTGGTCTCATCTCAACTGTGCTTGTTCTCAGAATCGTGTTTTAGTAACAGTTCTGGTTCCTCAGTTCTGGTGTGTTTTTAGGTGCTCAGATCATTGATCTGATGCTGTTGGTGGTCGATGTGGTGAAGGGTATGCAGACGCAGACGGCAGAGTGTCTCGTGATTGGTCAGCTCACCTGCTCCCACATGATTGTCATCCTCAATAAAACTGATCTGTTACCTAGTGACAAGAAACAGAGTGCCATCGACAAGATGACAAAGAGGATGCAGAAAACTTTGGAGAACACAAGGTGAACAACAGCAGACATACAGTAACATACACAATAGTGCAAAGGTCCACCCTCCATTTAATTTTAAGTTAAAAGGACCATAAAATTCAAGCTATTGATTTTCAGGAGATATTTTTGAGGAAATGCAATATAAGATCATCTGCTTGCATAAAGAGAAAAAGAAAATAAATGAAAAACAGACTTTCCAAAACTCGAGCTCAAAAAACTACTACAGAAATTGGCACTCCTAACAGCCGTGCAAGACCTGGTAAACCACCAAAACTTAAAGCTTTCATCTTTTAGTGATAAGAAAAAATCAAGCTCCACACTTGCTTCGGATCCACAGGTGTTTCTGTCCATCCTTCCACTGTGAGAATGTGTAGCGAAGCTCTTACTGAGAAAAGGAGATAGACAAAAAATCTGTTAATCCAACAACGAAGCTGCTGGTTTCTCAGAACAATGGACTGACCACACAAGTCCAGACCTCAGCATCACTGAACATGTTTAGAATTACTTGGATTGTAAAAAGTAGAAAATGCAGCCAACTTGTAAGACTTCTTTGAAAACCTGAAAGCAGGAAACTAAAAAGAATGGACGCTGTAATAAAGAGTGGACACACTAATACTGCAAAATGTTACATTACATGTAGTTGATGTGGCTTATGTATGATTTTATTTTAAACATACATTTATATACAAAAATTTGGGCTCCCCTGGTCAAATTACATACTTCGGTTTCCTCCCACAGTCCAAAGACATGCAGTCGGGCCAATTTGACACGCTAAATTGCCCCTATGTGTGTGTGTGTGTGTGTGTGTGTGTGGTCAAATCACATATTTTGTTAACTTTCTAAGTGAATATAAGTCAACATATCTTCTACAAGGAGCACACTTCTGCACATCTCAACTCACAATTACTGTATACTTGCTGAATTTGGTATATTAGAAAAATTAATATAACAAAATATGTGGCATGAACAAAGGCTATGACCCATTCAATGTGTTATATGTTAATTTTTCCAACATGTTAAATTTAACAAATAAATGGAAATCGTGCTCTTACATGAGCAGAATTACCATTTAAGTTTGTTTACTGTAGAGGATGTGCTAACTTACTTTGTCTTAGAAAATCAATAAAATGTAATGTGACCAGGGCTGTTCAGAATTTTGCATTTGACTGTATGTGTTCTGCTTTCTTCATGACTTTGATAAATGAATTACTTTAATGCAGTTTTGACTAAAAATTAAATGAGTAAAAGGTGGTGTCTGATTTTTGCACGATACTGTAAGTTACCTAAATTTCACCTGAATTTAGGGGTGGGCAGTATTAAGACATTGTTATACATTCTGTCACAATATTTATGTATTTTTTGAGCATTTCATGGATTTCATTAGTCCTTCTGAAACACGGAACAATTGAATGTCTCCTTAAAACGAGAGTATCGTCAGTCCTCTTTAATTGGATTAAATGCAGTGCAGTATGAAATATTGAATAAAAATCATTGTATTGCTTTGATAGCAGTTTTTTGCTACTACAAGTGCATTCTGCTGGTCCAACTTATCAAATCGCAGAAAAACATATTATGATGCCTATTGTGTATAGTTATAATGTCTTTAAATATTGAGATATCAGTTTGTGCTATATTGCCCACCTTTACCTGAGTAGTTACTCAGAAAGTTACAGAACAGTTCCAGTATGTTGGTCCAAATTGCCCTCCTAAATCTGCCTGCTCTTAGATGTACTGTTGTTATCATGTATGTTTTTTGTTTGGTTAGATTTAAAGGTTGCCCTGTCATTGCTGTGGCAGCAAAACCAGGGGGACCGGATGCTCCAGACACAGAGGAAGCACAAGGAATTACAGAACTTATAGAGGTTAGGCTGTTACATTTGTTTTAATGTTGCCAGTCTGCAGTTTTGCTGCACTCCAACATTCAATATATTGACACCACTTATTACTTTGAATAATTTGGCTAGCTTGAGTCTTGTAGATTGGGTTTTGGGCTGAACTGGACATATGATAGGTCATATTTATAAATGTGTTTTGTCTGATGTGTTTGTGTGTGTTTAGTTGCTAAAGTCCCAGGCATTCCTGCCTCATAGAGACGCCTCTGGCTCTCTGCTGATGGCTGTGGATCACTGTTTCTCCATCCGTGGTCAAGGGACAGTCATTACAGGCACCATTCTGCAGGGGGCGCTGCGTGTCAATGACACTCTGGAGATACCTGCACTTAAGGTACGTAGAAACGCAAACACATACCACACATCTATATTGTGGAGAAACATGCACCAAAGAAGTTCTTTCAACCACAAACACAACTGAAGGTACTACACTAATTAGTGCTAAATAAATTATTACCAACTGTATTTTGCAATTTGTGCAAGGATTGATTGTTGTCTCACTGCAGCATAGGAGCAACTATATTTTCTTCAGCTTTTACCTTTACCTTTAAAGTCAAGTTGGTGTCAATTCAACACATTTTGAAAGTTTACTAACTTATTTTTGTAGTTTACCGACTCACTTATTGGGATTTCTTTAGGATTTCTTTGAAAATATTCGAGGTTTTTGTATCTAGTCTACAGTGATTATGGCTGCATACAGTTCTGCTCTCCCGGTCTATCCTCACCTCCCCCTCCACCTCCCAGTTCCATTCATGAAATGTGAACCAAAGAGACCATTGCCTATCACTTACGCTGTGGGCTTATGTTACACATTTCATAAACTCTTGCCAAAGAAACCGCCTCAAACCTGCAAATGAGTACAGCCTTTTATACCAGTAACGCACATCTATTTTTTTTCACTTGTCGTAAGCATCATGTCACTAGAATGCATGCCCAAAATGCTGCTGTGATGATTTTTATTTGTGAAAACAGCTTTGCAGACACTTTTCATTTGTAAAAACTATGACATAATTTGGCTGGAACAGAACAGAAACACTTTCCTGAAAAGAATCAAGGGACTCTACCAAACTTTATCCAGGACTGACCATGTAATAATATATCAACTACACACTATAGCTTGTAAATATAAATTTAGTATGATTTACACTAAAACAGTGTTGGTGTCTGTCAGTTTCGTACTGGAACTTGATACTAGCTTATGCAATGCAGGAAACCAAACTGCAAATAATGTACTAAATCACTCTGAAGTAGCAAAACATTTTCAGGCTTGTCGATCTGCTGTGATTTGTAGGTCACCCGGAAGGTGAAGTCTATACAGATGTTCCGTAAGCCAGTTCCCAGTGTGATGCAAGGGGACCGCGTTGGTGTGTGTGTGACACAGTTTGATCCAAAACTGCTGGAGCGTGGAGTGGTGTGTACACCTGGCTCACTACGAACTCTTCATGCTGCCGTTATTTCTGTGCAGAAGATCGAATACTACCGCGGTGCGCTGAGCAGCCGTTCCAAATTCCACATAACCGTCGGACACGAAACAGTGATGGCTCGCGTGTCGTTCTTCAGCAGAGCATCTCTTAACGGCCAGGCTGGAGCCTCAGATGGAAGTCCTTCGGAACAGAGTCCAGACTCTTTCTCATTTGACTGGGAGTTTCAGCATCAGGAGGAGTTTTTCAGTGGTCAGGCAGATGCTGAGGGGCAGGCACCACAGCAGTGGGCTTTATTGGAGTTTGAGCGGCCAGTCACATGTCCACCGCTCTGTTTGGTGATTGGCTCACGATTGGACTCTGATATACATGCTAACACATGCAGGCTTTCTTTTCATGGAAAGTTGTTGGAGGGCTTCGAAGACAAGAACTACACAGAGACCACACTACCAAGACTCAAAATTAGTAAAGATAAGCATAAAGAAGGAGCAGTGGAACGGGTAACAGTCCCTTACCAAACACATACGCATTCAACTTCTGTATTATATGACCTGCTGTGTAAAGCTGTGGTTCTGTGCTCCAGTCTTGACGGCCCACTGCCCTGCACTTTTTCCCTGCACCAACACGCCTGGTCTAAGAGATGAGATAATAATCAAGCCCTTTGTGAGTTGGATCAGGTGTGTGGGTGCAGGAAATAGTCAAAACTGCAGGGCACTATGATCCCAGGACAGGAGCTGAGAATCACTACGTTAAAAGGAAATTGCGCGGGGGCTCCCGAGTGGCGCAACCGTCTAAGCGTTGGCCCTATCATCAGGAGATCGCGAGTTCGATCCCTAGTGATGCTACAGCCGTCCGTAGCCGGGAGTCCGAGAGAGCACAACTGGCCTCGCTCTCTCTGGGTGGGTAGGATGGCCCCTCCTTCTCCCCCCATCACTCAGCGCGATGCTGGTCAGCGCAGGCGTCTGTTAGCTGACGTAACAGATCTGGCGGTTGGCGCTTTCCTCCGAGCGCGTTCGGCCGTCCAGTGACGTTGCGTGAGCGGCAGCTCGAAAAGAAGCGGTGGTTGGCTTCACAGGTCTCGGAGGAAGCCTGTGTTAGCCTTCACCCTCCTAGCGTTGATAGCATCGTGTGACTGGGGGAGTCCTAAGTAGCGGGTGGAATTGGAGACGACTAAATTCGAGAGAAAATCGGGTAAAAATTAAGTAAATTGCACCAGTTTTGCAAAATATCTGCATAATTTTATCATTGGAATGTAAACAAAGTCATTCAGATTGTTTTAATCGAAATAGCGTGTTGTAGACAAACTTACCAGATCAGATCTTTACAGTGATAGTGGTAGGAACCAGGGGTCTACAAATATATAGCCACTTTATTAACTGCAGTGTCTGCAAATGTAGGCATTTTATTTTCTGTCCAGTAAACATACACACGAGTTTTTATACGTTAATATGTTGGTAAAGTGGTAAAATAGCAGTAATTCAAAAACAAAATCCACTGTGCCAAGAATGTGTTTTTTTGAAACATGTTTTAGACCAAAACTTTGGTCTCAAAACTATCATAAAATAACGGTTCAGACATCATGCAGAATGTTCATGACCACTTTGTCTAAAAGATTTCTGTGAGGTAACTTGTAAACGCATTAAACACTTTAGACTTCTGTTTCCTGTCATCACCGCTATGAACAGTTCTGACTCTGATTGACTTTTACTTCTTAATGATTGAATTATGCTGAAATTTTGATTTCTGAAAAATTGGTCGAATTAATTCAGTGAAAAATCTAATTCACCCTTTCCCCTTGCCCAAAATGTTGTCAGTCAGCCAAGATTGTTTTGTGTGGCCGAAGTTTGCTTTAGTTTTGCACTGGAGCAAATGAGTAATGAAGGGTTATAGCTACTAATCAGCATTGTGCAAACTGCATGCCTAAATCAATCACACATTTCCTCAAAGCATGCCAAGCTGTTAAGTAATCTCAAATAGACTTGTTTGTGGTTTTTGACACTATGTGACATAGTAGTATCTAGATTTGAGGGATAGATTGAGATTACTTAACAACTTGATGTGGTTTGAGGAGAGTATGTGATTTAGGCATACAGTTGGTAGGACATGAATTGGTGAAATAAAAGCTCCCATTACTTATTAGGTGCATTAGCCTCTTAGCTAAATGAAGTGCATAAATGAAAATGCTGTGGACACCACACCTGCCTTGGCTGATTACGTTTGGGGTAAACGGAGAATATGTGTAGTTTTTCACCAAACTATTTCTTTAAAGTCACTTTGATGTGTAGCATTATATTGTTTGCAGTAGTTCTTATGATGTGCCTGTGAGTTACACTGTAGTTATTCCAGATATTGACATTATAGTAACACATTTATAAATACACAAGCAGAATTTGTCTGCTTATACTATAATATATGCTTGTTTAGATTAAAAGCTGTATTCTGTTTGCTGCCTGATTATGTGTTACAGTATTGAAGTGTGAAGTGATATGCTTACATTCCCCCTGATTCTCCTTGAAATGATCACTTCTGTTTTTTTAACTGTTGTTAACTCCTTTTCTTCTGTGGTCAGGTGACAGACGACTACACCGTGATTGGCAAAAACCTATTTAAAAAGGAGACCAACATTCAGCTGTTTGTAGGGTTAAAGGTCACCCTTTCATCAGGAGAAACAGGGGTCATTGAAGGCGGCTTCGGACAGAGTGGCAAGATCAAGATTAGAGTGCCAGGTACGCAATACACACAAACAGGATAAACAAATGTACCAACACACCACCGTTATACATATAAATACACTACATATGATGTACACATCTATTCTCTTTATACTGTTGACGTTCTGCTGGTTTAAGTTCTTTTTTATCATTCAAGCGGTTCCTTTGCTACGTTTCTAGTTTATTTTGTCCTGTCATACGGTGATTCATTCAATTGCTGGCCACGCACAGATGCACATGTACATGCACTTATTTGAATTACACATAAAAAAAAAATACTAAGTACTTGCATTCTTGTCCTTACCTTAAAGCCAGAAGTAGATCTTAAACACATATACACACACACACACACATTTAACTCCACTCACATCAGCCCCTGAGGGCAGGTCTCAAAGGCAGGTCATAAAAGGAGAATGAATTGAGTTGGATTAACATTAAAAGAGTTTTCCCATTTTAGACATCTAAAAACTGGTCAGAATTGCTGGTTTCGAGCTTTTGTCTTTAATCAGGGCTGGAAAAATCAGCAGAGAACAGAGAAATTATACTTAAGTGAACATATGAATATTTTGTCAATCTTTTTTTCTTTAAACACAGAAGGATGGAGTTAAAAATATACATAAGTGAAAGTGAAAAAGTATCTACACTTAAACATACTCAAATATGTGCTTTTAAAAAGTACATTTTTTATGACAAATACATTTAAAGTTCCTTTATTTGGTGGTGTGTGATGTGGTGACTAATAGGCTACACAAATTAGCACAGTTGTGGGTGGATTCCTTTTACAATGATGTGAATTAGGTTGGATGTTTAATAAAACAATAAATTCAGTTGCACAAGAACTCAACCGATTGTCAACAGAAAAAGAGAGATTTGCAACAAGAAATGTCTAAATGAAAATGTAAGGAGTAAAAAATGTTTTTTCTCTTGAAACAGTAACTGAGTAAAAAGTACTTTTCAATTTCGGTAATAGTCACGTAAAATACAATTCTAAATCAAACCAAATAAAAAAATAACAAAGTCCGATTACACTACTATTTTCTATGTCTGCCTTTAATTATAACATTGCAGTGTTATATAGATTTCAGAACATGGCCCAAATCAGGTAATGCAAAATGACTCATGATGCTTAGTTTGAGAATCGTTTGACCGAGTCTCCCTTAGTCACTAACTCCTATCTAAGATATGAGAGGTTAAATTCAGTTTTTCTGTGTGTTTCTTGAGACAATAAATGCGATTTTCTGTGTTTCTCTTAATCTCACCAGAGGGATTGAAAGAAGAAACAAAGCAGCTACTTTCCTCTTCTTCCAAGAAAAAAGGAAAAGGTGGGGCCAAAAATGAGCCGACCAAAGATGAAGAAAGCAAGTCGGACTCTCAGCCAATCACCATTCACCTGAACTTCAAAAGATATGTCTATGACCCCCATAAAAAGATGGTGCAGTCCTGACTCTGACAACGCTAATTCTTCTGGAAAAGACCACTTGAGAGGAGCAGGAAGGGGAGCTTGATTGAGTTCTGATTGGTCAGATGAGGTGCTGAAGGTGTGCATGTGAGGGTGTCAGGAGCTCTATTTGTGCTATCCTCAGGTTTGTATTCTGTTACTTCGCAATCTTGCAGTAATAAAACACTCAACACTGGAAAAAAGACATATGCTTGTGAAGCAATTCTTAAACATTTCCAGCCCTGAAATCACTGAAAGAAAAACACTTCCAGTTTCATTCTATTTGGAGTTAACCAAATAGAGTAGGTTTCTTTTTGTCTGTTCTAACTTGTCAAACCTCAGAAAAATATTGTGATGCATGTATTACTAAAATATCTTGAAGTCTCATAATATTATCGATCACAAGTGTTTTGAGTAGTTTGCCCAGGGATGCAACCCCAAGTACCCAGTCAGTTCTGGGACTTGAAAACACAACCTTGCAATTTTTAGCTTGCCTCTGTTACCACTAGGCTACCAGCCCACTTGTTAGTTGCATTGACCTTGTAGTTCCAGAGGCAAACCATAATTATTAGTACTAGGCCTTCCATTTGCACCATTAATGTCAAAACTTGGTCAAAAACAGATGTGAACAAAAACACTGCGATGATTCTAATGTCTGCTAGTGCCCCTATGGGACTCTAGTAGTATTTATAGTGGTATGCTAAAAGTGATTCAATGAACACTTTTTGGCCATTTTAGATTAGACACTGAAGCTTGACATTCCATGTTTTTATTTGAAGCTTGTAACAGACATATTAAAATATATTTTACCTTGTATGTTGTGGTTTTAGAATGACTCTTAGTGAAGAGCCATGGCATAGGGCTGCTACCGCTGTTTTTCATTTTTAATATGTTGACATGTTAGGCCTTCAGTTCAGTTCCTGAAGTCCTAACTAATGGAAGAGTGGCTTGGCTGTGTCTAGCTAGATACTACGGATGACAAACAAATCCTGATTGGATCATTTTCTGTCAAGCTCTCCAAGATTTTAATCCTTTCCAACCAAGTAGTACTACATTACTTGTAGTTACTTGAGAACAAGAGGAATTATAATTATGTACCTGTATTTAACCTGATATGAGCATCTCTTTCCACTCCTCAACTGTGTGTATATCTATGAATACATGTTCGGCCAAGCGATAGCCACCTATGCATAATGTTAACATGTTTGCAAGCATTAGACCGTGTGGAATGGAAAGATTTTACATAAATCCCCCCTAGGATGAATCCCACAGCTGCTATGACATTTTCACGCTCACACTCTTCTCATTGTTCTCCATGTCGCCTGGCTGGTTTGCATAGCTGTTCCTGCCTTTGTATTCCAACTTAGAGCAAGCTTCAGGCAAATTACCTTAAAAACACAGATACACACATACATGGCAACTGTTTTGAACTTCCGTGTTTGTGTTTTATAGACTTGTGTAGGAACAAAGCACTTATTGACAAAGTGAGAACTGCCTACAGCTTGTGAGTTTCTATATATGTGCAAATATAAGGAACTCCTGCCTGTAGCACATTCTTGCTTTGACTACCAAACTATCTGTCAGGGTTTGATTTACTTTTTGGTGGAGTGTGCAGAAAGTGTATTCTGCATCTGTCCAAATGAGGCTGTGAGGAAGGACAGCAAATTTGACATCCAGAGTTTTCACCATCTACTACTAATAATAAATTATAAATAAATAATATCAATCACCTTCTTTTCCTCCCTCTCTCACTCCCATGTGCTTGTCTTGTTCGATGTTATTTGCCTTTATTATGATTGTACTTTAATTTAATGGCATTTACATTAGCCTAAGATATAAAATATATTGCCTGATGTACACAGGTTTAGAAGATAATAAATAGGGATGCATCAATATGATAATCGTGGCCCGATTCAATATCTGTTTTTTTCTAATATAACATTTATTTCTATAGGGTTAAAAATAAATTTAAATAAAATACTTCGATTTTTGTGCAGTAGCCCAGCATCAAATATCTGCTTAAAATATCAGTCAAATCTAAACATCTGTTCAATGCAAATCTTTCTTTTTTGAACAAATAACTTTATAATACCATTATGATTCCAATATTATCATACATCCATAATAATAATAAACATTGAAGTGAAACACTTATAAAAGTTTGATACACTTCGACGTGTAACTTGCATAACTGCTGCAGAATGTCTTTGTACATCCAGTGTCCATCAGGAAAATAATTGAAGTTTGTTTGGTGTAGTTCTTCTCTTTTTTAAGTTCTCTTTGCCTAAAATAAACAGATAAAGCTCAGAAGTCAGAGGTGTGACCAAACACAAAGCAGTACAGATGCTGTCCCTAACAGAAACATTTATGACACAGTTCATTTCTAGTCAAAACAGCAATTAAGCAGTAAGTTATTTCAATTAAGCACAAGTTATTTATTTTTCAGGGTCAGGAAATAAGTGAAAACATACTCAGTGCTGCTTGAAGGTTTGTGAACCCTTTATCAATTTGCGAATTTCAACATAAATATGACTAAAAATATGATTTGTCATAACAATAAATAAAAAAACAATAAAACAAATAACACAAACATGTATATAGTTCTTCACCCATTTTTTGAACAATGTTATCCAGCGTTAAATGTCTTTGGTGGCAAAAGTATGTGAACCTCTAGAATTATCAGTTTGATATAGGTAATGATTTGGGTCAATTAGTTGGATGACAATTAGGTGGGAGCTTGACTCATCCCTGCCCTTTGGCAAAACTGAACACAGCATTCAAGCATAAGACCCTCATCCCAACTGTTAAACATGGTGGTGGCGGTATTGTGGTTTGGTGCTGTTTCGCTGCTTTTCAACAAAGACAGTGTGCCATCTTTTGATGGCGCTGTGAATTCTGGATTGTAATAAGAAATTCTACAAGATTAGAGATTTTAGGGCATCTATCCGTGAACTGAAGCTTGACATAAGGTGGGTACTGCAAAAAGAGAATGACCCTAAACATGAAAGTTAGTATATTAAGAATAGTTAAATCAGAAGCAATGTTACATTTTGGAATGGCTGAGTCAAAGTCCAGACCTTAATCCAAAAGAAATGCTGAGGCAGAATTTAAGGTGTGGCGTTCATGCAAGAAAGCCACCAACATAACAGAGTTGAAGCAGTTCTGTTTGGAGGAATGGGCCCAGGATTCCTCCAAGACAATCTGCAGGGCAGATCAACAGTTACAGGAACCATTGGGCTCAAGATGGTCACACCAGTTCCTAGAAGCATAGGTTCACAAACCTTTGCCAAAAAGACATTTAATATTAGATTACTTAGTTCATTGAATGAAGAATGAACTATATACTCTTTTATGTATTTGTTTAATTGTTCTCTTTATCTATTGCAATAGGTTAAATGAAGATATGATCATATTTTAGTGCAAATTTATGTAGAAATTCACAAAATGATAAAGAGTTCACAAACTTTAACACCTTAAAATCTCAGACTTATTATATAGTAAGTCTTATTATTCAGTAACTACAGAGACTACAAACTGGTTGGTTCTTAAGTTAAACAAGCGTGTAATAAACCAGTAGGGGTGTGTAAATTTTAATATGTATATAAGTGCTTGATGGCACTTAATAATAATAATAATAATAATAATAATAATAGTAATAATAACAACAACAATAATAATAGTAATAATAATAATATTAATAATAATTGAAATTTAGAACTGTTTTGCTAATATTTCCCTCAGTTTTCTCCCATTTTCTTTTTATTTCTTAATCATTTTTTGCACTCCTGTTTTAAACTCCTGTTTTTTCACTTTTTCCCCATTGACTTTCTACTTTTTTATGCCAGTGGATTATTTTCTATGTAATCTTCTCTGAAATATCTTCTGAAAAACGAACTTGTACTTATTGATGGTTTGGACTGGAAATTAAATAAATGAAAGGTGATCTCTGACTTTTGCACAGTATTGAAAGTACAACAGTGTTTTTTTTTTTTATTTCAAAATGAATAAACAAAATAAAAAAGGAATGTGTTATGAGCCATACTTTTTTACCTTTAATCATGGTGTTTAGGTGCCGGAATGGTGTGGTTACGGCCATTCTCTCATGTTAGGTGGTGTCTGCGTGTCTGAAAGCTTTCTTATGTTCTGTATTATTATGCATGAAGTGGATTCATTAATTACAGCAGGAAAAAGAGACACAGTCAGCTAAACACTGCAGGGCATTACAGCCGTGTGTGTGTGTTTGTGTGTGTGTGTGTGTGTATGTGTCCTTTTTGCTAAAGAAATGCTTTTGTTGGATGATTATACTGTGACTAATCTTACATAGTTTAAAGCTCTGAGTGCCTGAAAGAGTTTGCTGTATCTGCTATCCATCAGCCTGAGCAAATATTCTGACTGTTACAAGTTGTACTACGATTATGAATTCCATAAATCTTCCACTGTAGTGATCTCTCTCTCTGTCTCTGTCCCTCTCTGTCTGCTTCTCTCCATCTTTCTCATTGTCTCTCTTCCTCACTTTGCTTTGTTCTCTCTCTCTCTCTCTTTCTTTCACTTTCTCTCACTTTTTCTTTCACTGTTTCTCACTCTGTTTTTTCTCTCTTGGATTCTCTCTCACTCTGGTTCTCTCTGACACTTTCTCTCTGTTTCTCTCTAACTCTCTCTTTCTCTCTCTCTTCTCTGTGTGTTTGTCTGATAGTGATCTCAGTTCGATTCCGTTCAGATGGAGTTCTTTCATGGTGTTTGTGTATATATGTGTGTGTTTGATACGACAGCTTGAGTCTGTTAACCTCTCTAATCGGGGTTCTTCATCAAAGAGGTTCTGCAGAGTGCCTGTTTAAAATTCATAAAGGAGTGGAGAGAAAGGAAGGTGGAGGGATGGAGGAGGGTAAGGAGAGAAAAGGCACAGTGAGGGAATGAAAACAGAACATGTCCCGTGAGATCAAGGCTGCTGATTGGCTGCTTCCTTACTCCTGACCCCTGCCTAGCCTTTAGACTAGACTTGAGTAAGGAGGGTCCTATTCTGTACATGAGTCGTCACCAACGTCACCACCATCAACTTCATTAGGGGTGTGTGTGTGTTTGTGTGTGTGTGTGTGAGAGAGAGAGAGTGAGGGAGATGTAATTATTGTTTGATCAGATAAATTGTAGTTGCTGTGTGATTAGCATGTATGTATGGCTGCATATGCTATTGCCTCTCTCTTTCTCTCT